CCGATTAAAAACTGAACCACCCTGTATATGTATTTATTTTTGGTTTTCTAGTTTTCTAGTAATCAGCTATGCTGTACCCTATATATATATATATATGATATGTATATACTTTATATGTATATTTCTTTTTGGGCAAATTAAATAAATAAATTATTTATTTGTTACTACAAAGTGTTCACTACAAATGATAGGTTATAACAATCAGAGGTTTTAAAAACGAAAACGATTAAATCTCCTCCTTATAACTATAGGAGGTGAGGTATAATACACAACATATTTTGGTAAAAATTCGTCATCGTAAAATTTGACGAAAACATGTCGATTTCCGGTGGTTGTGTCATATCCATCTGGCGGTAAATCGGTCCAAGAATTCCCAAGATAACAATTTCCAATCAAAACATCTGCTATTATTATAGCACGATCTAAACCAATTGACATAGCGGCATATTGATTGGCGTAAGCTGCATCATCCGCGAAGCTGATACCTTTTCCAAACTTATGACGACTAACTCTGCGCCAATTTAAATTGGAACGCAATATCGAGGAAATATTGCTAGCTCCAGTTACATGAACCAACGTTTTTTCGCAATCTTCATAACCTCGACTCTCGTACTCAGCCTTTTTAATCATATACCATCCGTAAAGTGATGGACAGTGAATCTTTTGTATTTTCGAAATACTGCTTTGCATAGTGCTGCTAAGATGTTTTAATACTAGTTTGTACTCTAAGGAATTTGCCGATAGTTCGATCAATTGAGTGTCAAATCCAAGATCACCATCAGGCATTTCTCCCAATACAACATTTTTAAAAGATGCCCTGAAATGTATAAATATTTAAATTAAAATCATTTATTTCAAAAACCCAAATTATTTAATTTGAAATTAAATTCATTGCAAAGAAATTGTGTTGTATGAAAATATATATGTTTATTAATCCGAGGCATAAGAAACATGACCACACCTATGTTTACTTTAGTCGCCTCGTTGTTATCCAATTAATCATAACTTTAAACCAAATTCTCGGAATTCATATTTCATTTCTTACTAATTTGTGATAGAATTTTTGTTGATAGCAACATTTTTAATGAGTAAACAACGAACATTTAAAATAATAATAATTTTATAATAATATAATGTACTTACATTTTTTTTGTTGGAACGATACTAATATTGAGTACTGATTCTTTGCGTGTGAAACGCAAAACTAACGTGATTAACGTGATGTATAAGTGCGGAGAACTGCATAAAGTATTTGGGGGAAGTCCCTACGTCACTCCACAGTACACAATAAACGTATAAATGTAGATAAGACCCTTCCACATCACAAAAGAACGCAACGATTTAATTCAAGTCATTTTGATACATCTGATTCATCATTGTGTAGAAAGAAAATGCCGTTTTAGCAGCCTACAAAAATTTTTTTTAATACAACAACTTGCATGAAAAATAAAACATACATATAAATACATCCGTAAATCTAAATTTGAAAATCCGCCGACACTAATTTTAGTTTCCTGTTGCGATCGTAGAATAATTGTAGAAATAGATTTTTGCATAGAAACTGATGCGTGAAACCAATTTGTTTGATATGCGACGTCAGCAACGCTTGCAGTCTAAAAATAATAATGTTTTTAATTCTTAGAACTATAAAAAAATTGTTACATTATAATTACCTCGTCTAGTATAACTTGTCCACCATAAGAAAACACAAAAACCTGTGTAAACATACAAGTTAAATAAACAACGTATTGTGTTAGTGTATTAACAGTGGGAGTTCCATGTAGCGTGAGTAAAAATGACCCAATGCACATGCTGAATATTAACGAAGAGAATTGCGTGAATAAAATGTTTGAATATAAAGTGTTGATATCGTTAATAAAATCCAAGATAAAGTTGTGGTGATCGATAATTTCGATAAGGTTTTCTTCATCATTTTCAAATTTTAAATTTTCTAATTTATGTTTAATTAATTTTAATTGCCCAATAAGTTGGATGACGGATCCCGCGAAAAAGCCATCGAACGTATAAATTCCCCAAACCAGCACAAAAGCGGCTATATTGACAAAGAGAACTAAAAACCAGTAACAAGAGTCTTTTTCAATATCGCAAAACCTATAACACTCGGTTGGCAAAACTCTTTCTGTGCTTGTTAGTGCAGCGATTTCATAATAAATTGTCGTTCCAAGTATTGCAGATTTATAAAAAACCATAAAATATCTGACTAAACGAAACTGATTTTGAATTTCTTCCATTTCCGGTTTCACCTCCCAAAATCGTCCTGCTTTTTCAATCAAATCTTGTAAAACCGATTTATTTATTTTATAAGATAAAAGTACAATAACAACTTGAATACTTGGACTTAAAATATCGGATTTTTTCAAAGTTTCTATACCAGTGTATTCATCGACAATCATATAAAAAGCCAGAAACACGTAGGTCGTAGATACAGCGAGGAAAAAACAAAATTTTATTATAGAAAAGTAACCTGGAAAATGAGGGTGTAAACCCCACAAGAAATCTAAATAAAATAAAGCTTCTTCGTAGTAATCAAGCGATTTTACGGCTTTTTTAAAATCTGTGTAATCACGCTTTTTTATAACAACCATATTGAAATGTTTTTTTTTTAATTAACGAAGCTTTAACAAGTTGATTTCCTTTTATATCTTTAGTAACGTGTGAATGTTTTGAACTGATTGGAAATTTTCTCTGGGGATATTAGCATATGTTGAAACAAGGTGATTTATTGGAAAATTTCTCATTCTCTATGTAAATAATATATAATTTTTAATATTTTTAATTTTGAAAAATGTCACAATTTTGTGATGATTTTGTAATAAAAAGATAATGAGATAATTAATAAAATAATGTACTACAGTAAAGTATTACACCAAATAAAAATAAAATAAAATAATAATAAAAAAAAAGAACAATAACAAGAGAAAAAGAAATAGTGCAATCACGAGGCAAACATTCATTTGTATACCAACTGATTTTCAATCCAAGCCTTGACAATTATTAGAGAGATATGAAATACATCATAATCCTTAACTCTACTAAAAATAAAAAAAAGAAAGAAAACAATATCTTAAATAATGTAAAGAAATATTCTCAGCAAAACTGTGACTCACCGGTCTCTGCCAGAAATAGTAGTTACCTGCTCTCCAAGTAACCGTGCCCTCAAATGTTTTTTAAAACAATTAACACCGAGATTCCTCAACTCGTCACCAATGCTCCCGTATGACTTATATATATGAAAAGAAAAAGATCTTTGGAAAAGTGACGTTCTGTGTCGATGCAGCACCTAAATCTAGTTTCACGATTGTGAATATCGCACCTGAAAAAAATCTTATTGTACAAATATATAGGGGTTTTAGTAGTAATCAATTTATGAGCGCATCGACAACCAGCCTGATTCAATAAGCCAGTGGGAAATGTGATCGAACTTCCGGATTCCATAAATAAAACGAAGACAGCTATTCTGAACACTCTGAATCCTCCCCGAGTCATATGAGCACACAGCCGGATGATATAAGGGAATCATATAGTTAAACTGAGAAAGAACCAAGGAGTCACATAAAGATTTTTTCAACATGATAGGCAAATAGCTTCTATGGGGATATAGTAGCCTTAACGAGTGATACGCTTTCTTGATGTAGTTATTAACTTGACTATGGTATCTTAAACTGTTATCTACAATCAAACCAAGACTCCTTGCCTCACTCACAATCGGCACTTCAGATCCCTGAATGTAAACTTTAACCAAACCCTTTAACTGGTCGCAAACGCTTTTGTTACCAAAGAGCAAAACGGCAGATTTATTAGGATTAATTTTCAGACAATGCAAATTGGAAACATTCGTTATATATTCCAAGTCAAAATTTAAATTATTAATAGCATTGTGCCATTGAGATGGACCAAAAGAAACATAAAGCTGGGTATCATCGGCATAATTGTGTTTCACATTATGAAAGATTTTTGAAGTATATATCGAAAACAACGTGGGACCAAGAATTGAGCCCTGAGGAACCCCAAAATCAATTGGTCGAGAAGAAGATGTTATGCCCTCAATCCGAACACACTGTGATCTCCATCCAAGATAACTGCCAAGCAGAGCAACCGCCGAAGGATCAAGCCCAACAGAGTGAAGAATCCTAAAAAGGACCGCATGATTCACAGTATCAAACGCTTTACTATAGTCTAACAAGGTAAGAACGGTAACTTCACCCTTATCAGTCGCAGAGATAATGTCATCTGTCACCTTCAGCATCGCAGAGCAACAATCATACCCTCGACGAAACCCAGACTGAGTAGATGATAGAGAGTCAGTATCCGTAATAAGTACTCTTTCAAGAACCTTTGATAACATTGGCAGAATACTAATGGGTCTCAGGTCCTTCAAAGCTTTTGGGTCACTACATTTAAGTATAGGCTTAATTAAGGCTTCCTTCCAGCAATCAGGAAATACACTTTCCAGAATGCAGGAATTTATAATATGTGTAATAATTTAGTAAATCACATGGTTGCACAAGTATTTTATATTCCAAAAACCGCGAATAAGTGATTACGATTATATCAACCTGAAACTGGTCCGAATTTTATCACCATGATGAAAAAAACACTTCCGTCCTAAAGTGTCGCGAACATAGAGATGTGATCATAGAGACAGTAGTAGGTAATATTAATAAAATAAGAATATGACTTTTAATAGACATTTTATTTTGTTATTATCGTATAAAAACAAAGAAAACATTCACAAGTGTAATTATTAATTTACATTCACAACATACATATATAGATATATATAAATTTCTTATATCTTTATATATATAATAAAATTTAAAATTGAGTTGGCACAGAAATAATAATATACTATAAAAAATTCCGAAATAATATAATATAGCATTGTTATTGTCAATATCACCATCGTTTCCATAAAGATTTCTTTATGATTTTTTAGATCTCCCTAGATTTCTTGTGATGGCAAAGACGTCCATGCCAGCCTTGGTCGCAAATGCATTGGTTATCTACGCAGGTTCCGCGTTTGCAAGGTAAATTACATGTGCTTCTGTGCGCCTTTGCGATAGCGACTTCGCAATGGTTGCCGCGAAAACCATGTGGACATCTGCAGATGTTCACTCCTCGACATCTTCCACCGTTTAAGCATGGTATCATACATTTTGCTAAAATATAAATGATTTACGTTTAATTATCGCAATATGGGAAGAAAATTGACTCACAATATTCGCAATGTGGCCCAAAAAATCCTCGAGAACATTCGCAAGTATCTTTTTGAACGCATTTCCCTCCATTTAAACATTTTTCCCCGCAAATACCTCCTTCACAATGTAACCCTTGAAAACCTGGTGGACAACTGCACACTCCAGGAGATGTACAATTTCCACCATTAAAACATTGCGGATAACAAAGGGCGGTGCTACAATAAGGTCCCATGTATCCCTCTGGACATTGGCAAATTTTTTCGTGATTGCAACGTCCGTTGTTAGCACATTTTTTGTCGCATTCGGGATCGGGACTTTTTTGCGAACATTCTTTTCGTAATTTTAATCTTAAGGGAGTGCCATTTAGCGGCCGGCCCTTACGCCCCTTCTCGATAAGAAGTCCAATTCCAAAAGTAGCAATCCCAGAATTGTTTCCTGAACATGGTAAAAATATACTGAATTCTTTAGCCCTTCTCGGTACCCGACCCTTAGTTTTGATCGAAATAACGGGAGGTTTTAAGATGTTTTCGTTGTACGATTCAAGCCGATCAAAATCGTAGTAATATTTTTTGGGGCCTGCTTTCCACGTAAAATTAACATAACCCATTTCTGTTGGTATAACAGGCAAGTGTTTCTCAAAATTAGGGTCTAAAATATACGGAGAAACATCGCCATTTATAATGGCATATATTTTCATTGGAATACCTATAAATATTCTCTTTGTGCATTGTACTTACACAATAATTTAAATATACTATGTTCTTACCGCTAACCAATTTTACTTGTCTTTCATCTATCCACATTTGTAAGTCACCATTGTTCTTTGGATCACTTATATCTGCGTATTGGGGCTCAACAAACGCACAAATAGTGCACAAAAAACCCAACAAAATACTTCTCCACTGTGCCATTGTCGTATTGGCCTTTTTTTGCGATTTGGATTTTCAACGTTTATATTCGCTACATTATTTTCAGACTTCTTGGCAGATGATTCAATGTCAACAACCTGACAAACGTTGTTAAATTCATGATATCTTTAGCATTTTTACGATCTTACTTGAATATATGAAATTAATATAAACAAAAACTCGTCAGGCCGAGTTGATACGAGCACATTTTTGCTGTACAAAATATTTATTTGGTGTATTATTATTATTAAAAGATATTTATTTCGTTTTTTCTTTTAATTTTTTAATTATTTTTTAAATAATTTCTTTGTATTTAAATTAAAATATGTTTTTATCGGGGTAAAAATAAAAATTGATCCTATGAGTTAAGGCTGAAATCAATTCTTTTAGTTATTTCGTAGACACGCATTCGGTAGAATGGCTGAAATGTAAAGTTTTAAACGTAAAAATAAATTTGAATGAAAAATTTTTTTTTTTTGGGTTTCGGCGCGTTTAACTAATTTTTGAATGAAACTTTCGTTATGTGTTAATGATTTATAATGCATGATTGAATAAAAAAACTCTATTAATTTCGCTACAAGCATGCGCAATATCAACGTTTTCACCGGATGCGCGTTATTTTCTGACGCCAGAATATGGCGCACAATTAACCACACAAGTATTCAACTTTAGTACAAAATATCTATTTCAGTTCCACTCGAATCGTGGTATTTACAAATACATTAATTTCCTATTGATCGCTACTATCGTAATCTATGGACATCCGACCGATTATTTCGACGGAATCGTGAGTAAAGGTAAATATTATTCAGTTCGGCTTGACACCAATATGGTCTATATTTGTTTGACATTCGCATAGCCATGCGAAAATGATCTTTTAAGGCATGCAGTAGAGACGGTTTTCGTTTAAAATATCTAAACCACGTTGTTCCCACCAAACATCAATTTATAAGTTTGAATCTCAACAACCAATATCATCATATTTCCGACATTTTTTTAATCACACTCATAATAAATTAAAATGTCGGAATATGTGTAGTTAATCAGTATTTGTGTTGTTATTAATATATTTTCTAATAGTAGTAAAAATTACATGTGTAACATAGTAATTTACTAACACCAGTTTTAATGCATTATTATAACATATTTTTGCTTATATAGGAATCGAGAATATATATTAAGAAGCCCAATGGGGCTTATATTAGGCTTATAGCAGCTTTTATTTGGTAATCAAAGAAAACATTTTGATGAAATCCAGCTTGAAATTAAAATGAATTAAGAAGGCAATGAAACTAATGAAGAATAAAGAATCTTAATTTATTGAAGATAGAAATAATTGCCACCTTCCAAGGAACTGATCTGATCGAGTAATTTTGGAGTTATCCTATTTAATATATTTTGAGTAACTTTATTAATTGTTGCTACTTATATATAACAAAAAATCAACATCTTATAGACTAGAGAGTACAAAATTGTTAGGAAGTTAAGTCTAAGATGTGAAATTATTGTATTTTGCTCACAGTAGCTCCAAATGATACACTTCTTCAAGATGCAACTCTATATAACAACATATGCAATTAAAGAACTGTGGAGGAGAAAATTCCAGAAAACTTGGAATCACTTCTTATCAAATTTGAAGATTACACATCAAATATCGCCTGACTAATCCACCAATACTTATCTAGGCGGCAAGATATAAAACGCGGATTTTGACTATATTTGAACATCATAACTCAGAAATCCAAATAACTACACTAACGAAATTTGGTATATTCTTATTACAATAAAGTTTGGAACGTTTGGACTAAATCCGTCGACCGGAAGTGGCGCTTAACCTGCACACATATCGATCCTGTTTCATATTACCTTGCACTTTAAATAAAGATATACGATTAATATATAGTTTTTTGTAATATGCTCAGAATTCCAAGCGTACTATTCATCTAATTTACGCATTTTTCTCGATATTTACGCAACTGGGAACAAAAGCGGATGAGAGCAATGTTGTTAAGAATAAAATTTGCTACAATTTTCAATCTAAAAGTTTTTTGTAATATGTTCAGAATTCCGAGCGGTATTATTAACAACATGGAAAACTACGCATTCATCTAATTTTTATATTTATATAACCTCTCGATATTTATGCACTTTTGCGCTTAGATGCGTAAATATCGAGAAAACAACGAAAATATCAAAATTAGATAAATTCGTAGTTCTACAAGTTGTTAATGGCGGGATTCGAAGCGGGAAACTAAGTCTACCCTGCGTGATGTTTGTGGAAGAAATATCTCGGTCGACTTCGAAGATGTCGGCCGCCCTAAGTATTTATTTATTTATTTCCAAAATAAACAGGGTTTCCCCTAATTACAGATTTCGGAATTACTACATAATAATTAAACAAAATTGAACTAAATATTAAACTAAATTAAATATTAAACTAAGCCGTACTCGATTTGTAAGCAAACAATAAAAAAGCAAATAAGTAAAAAGAAACAAAATGATACAAAATAAAATAATGGAACAGAATGCGCGAAGAATTATGAACTATAATAAGATTCTATAAGATCAGCCACTGCACTGGGCGGTTGCAACGTTCATCACAGACATCAAATTCTTTTTTACTGTTTTTACATCAACGCCAAATAGTGGGATGAAGGAAGCCATAGATAGTTTGTTATATAACAAGAGAATTCTAATAAAAGGAGAATTTCTTCTGAGTTCAGTGGTAAAGCGGGGAATGTAAAATAGATTTTTCAATCGTCCACAATATGCCGGCACGTAAAAACCAATCTTTTCCAAGATTAAAGGTGCATCTATTTTATTGTTTAATATTTTACATAGAAAACAAAGCGATATGATTTTCCTTCTAATAGATAACTTAGTTATATCAAATAATGTACGCGCAAATTCGTACGATCTGAACCCGATAAAGGCATTAAATTGTTTGTAATAAGTATACCGAATAAACTTATTTTGAATAATTTCGATTAAGTTTGAATAAAGGTCTGATCCAGGATCCCATACAATTACCGCGTATTCTAATTTAGATCGCACCAATGAATTGAATAATAATTTTAACGTCTCCACATTTGAAAAACTATAAGCATTTCTTATAATAAATCCTAAGAGTCGAAGTGCTGCGGAAGTTATGGTTTTCACGTGCTCGGCAAAGCATAAATTGTTGGTAAAAATAATACCTATATTGTTCATGATATTTGGGGCGGCCGACGTCTTCGAAAATCTCAACATTACATGATTTAGTGAATAGTGTAAAGCAGATTAAAGTGCGGGAATAAAGTGTTTCACGTGTGAAAGTGTCCTTAGTTATTCAGTTAACATGCCACAATAATAACAAATGAATTCAATTAAATTATTTTTCGTGTTATTGATAAAGTGGAAATGAACAGTTTTAATATTTTATTTACAAATTCTTTTATATTAATACTCGTATTCGAATGGTTAGATTTTCGTACAATATTTACTCCAGAATTACTAGTCAGTTCGGATCACTTGCTTAAAATATGATAAAATCAAATTTAAATAAGTTCTCAATATTGTATCGGCAATAAACACAACATCGTAATTGTAAAGATCGCATTATTCACGTAATGTCAAGTCCATTCTAGAATATCGTCACATTTCATATAAGTTTTTCCTATAAAAAATCTTATTTGAATAGATGTCAAGAGCTGCAGAAAAAGAAGCGAGTGAGGTTCTTCATTCTTTATTATCAGTGGAACGTATTGAAAAACAAGAACACACGGAAACTTTTCAAACAAATGGAACAAACGGAGAGACTGCAGAAGCAGAAACACAAATTCAATGGCATACCCCAGTTTCAATTGCTGGGCACAACATTTTTTCTTCGATCGATGGGGCAACTCAGTTTTCACAAACGATTGATAATCAACAGGTAATGTTCAACATTAATATTCTTTAATTGATTAATTTTTGATTTAGGTAATTTGGGAGGAACATACAATGGAAACCGAACACCATATAAATTCAATATACGCAACGACGATGCAAACTACGAGTGCTGATGATGATCAACTTCAAGAATCGGAACCGGTAAAGAAAAAATTAAAGCCGGCCTCGAAATTGTTGGTAAAAAAATTGAAAGTGATTAAAAAGAAAAAGAAATTTCTGCCGTTAGAAGGATCGATGGAGCCGACTAAATTAGAAGAGAGCGCTACGCAGGTAAAAGAACGTTTTAGACGTGGTTGTGAGTGTCAGGACGAAAGTTGTTTTCGTGGTTTAAATCCCGACAGCGTTTATAAACACCGATTAAACATAGCCGAATTAACAAAAGGCGAACATGACATGTATTTAATGGGTGTTACAATGGCGTGTTTGGCGAATCCCGATACAACGGTCCGGCATAAAGAACGACGACGTCTTCGATCGCAATACGTTTATCAAGGTAGACGGGTTTGCCTCGATGCGTTTTTATACTTAGAAAATTGTACTCATTATCAGTTGAAACGAATTCGAAAACACGTAATGACGCATGGTGTAGCACCTCGAGTACACGGTAATCATGGTAAAAAACCCCACAACACCTTTTCTTTAGATATTTATAGACATGCTACAGAATTTTTAAAACAATACCTCGAACAACACACAAACGAAGCAAACGTTAGTAATTCGAAACAAATCATTCAATTACCATGGGATATAACGCGTAAAAATGTACATGATGCGTACAAAGAGTACGGAGAAGTAACTGATCCTGGAATTAAATTAATGGGTTATTCAACATTTCGACATTTTATGAAAGAACAATTTCCTCATGTGAAATTTTCTAAAGTTGAACTTAAAAATGCTGCCGGTCAACAACACCAACAACAACAAACGTTGCAACAAACTCCTCAAACGGACTCTAATCAAACCACTACAATACAAATACAGCAAATACCTAAACAACAATTACAAACGAATGTTGAAAGACCGCGTGAACAACAACTTCCGAAATGTATTATTAATCAGGATGTACAACAAGTTATTCCATTAGTTGTGGCTCCTCCGCATGGTGATGCTGGAGGTGGTCAACATCATCAGCAAGCGACATTTTTGGTTACGCCCGTCCAACAATTGTTACCTAACGGGAATATTGTTACCGCTACACAGACCAATAACCATGCCACTTCGAATACATTTTCGTATCAACTAGCGAATACGGGATATGTGATAAATGAACACCATACACCGTATGCGTTTAATCGTATGTAAGTATTTTTTTTTGTTTATTAATTACACCTCAAATTGAATTTAGTTTTTAATAATTTAAGTTAATTGAATTTATGAGAAAGTTATTAATTATAAAAATTACTTTTTCCTCTTTTTTTAAGAAAAAGTTATTAATTTTTAGTTGTACGTACCTAATATATAATTTTTGAATTTTCTTTTTACATTATTTCACTTTATTTTTAAGTTATGTGATATGTCTAAACATTTATCTGTGATATAATGTTTAAGAGTAAAATTTTCAATTTTCATCAAACTTTAACGTAAAATGAGCATTATTGACATCGAAACAAGAAGTCTCATTTAATAAACGCGTGCGCAATATTTTTAATTGAAATTTTTCAAATGCACATGCGTTTAATTTTCTCGTTAAACTAAATTTATTTTGATTCAAAAACCATTTTTACTGCATTAAAATATTTTTTATTGGACTTCTTTATCAGTTGTTATTTAAACGCATGCGCAGTCGATACTTTTATTGATATTTTTTTTAACGCGCCTGCGTTTGATGTACAATTTGATTTGAAATATGGTTTAATATATGATTTAATACCGCCATATGGGATGGGATTTTGAATTTGTTGCTAGAACATTTTCTTTATGTTACAATACAACTTTTAATGAATTAAATAAAAACCGAAGGAGTGTGGCATTTTTTTATTTTAAGGTTAAAATAAAAATTGTGCTTGTAATAAAGTAGCTCCATAAGTGAAATCAACAATAAAAATGTTGCGATGATTATTAAATTATTTTTTATTTAACCCAACTCCTTATATACAATATATAGTGTGTTTGATTTTAGTTGTCACACCGCGTTTAGGCAATAAAATTATTCACTTTGAGTTGTTATGTTCTTTGTGTTACAAAATTTAAAATGGTCCGCAATCGTTTCGATATCTTCGGTATGCTTATCCATATCCGAAATTAGTTGGTTTAATTGTTCTTCGATCGAATTTAACTTATTATTGGGCGGGGTTATTAATTTCGAAATACTTTCCTGTTTTGCTTCAACATTTAACGATAAATTAAGAGTCCTATTTACTAAATTTTTCGCCCTCGCTTTTGATTTATTTACCCTTTCTATACTTGCGTTCAATTTCGTTTTCGCTTCATCATAATTATTTAATAAACCTTTTAATTTCAGCATCGTTTGCTCAGTTTTCGTCTTAATGTTAATTGATTCGTTCTTCAAAGATTGAGCTGCAAATAAATTACTACCTAAAAGTTTTTTAAGACCAGCTAATTCTTTATTGAGGGTTTCTATGTTTTTGGAAGTGGTTTCGAATTGTTGTTGTGTCTCATTTGTTAGTTTATCAATCTGGAAATTAAAAAAATAAGGTTTTTTTGGATTAATATTTTTTTAATAATTACGTTGTCTAAATGTATTGTTATATTGTCAAATGATTGCGAGATGTTCCCAATTTTCGTTTCGGTTTCTGTTTGAATGATTTCTGTATTTTTTAAGAAATTTTCAATGTTATTTACGATGTTTTTGATATCATCAACTTGTTTTCTAAAAAAATTAATTTTATTTATTTTATTATATTAATAAATTATTTTTTGACTTACTTAGCATCATCGGCGTCTTCTTTTAATTTTTTTGCAACGCTTAAATTTTTTTCAGTTTCTGCGCGAATCGGTTCGACGTTTGTTAAAGAATCCGCGGTCTCTTTAATATTTAATGCAAATTCTTCAATATCTTCTGGTTCCCATTTAAAATTCTTGGTTTTATTATCGATTTTATCTTGAATTTCTTTAGGAATCGGATTGCTTTGTTTCATAAACTCGTCGATTTTAGCTAATTTATCGTTGACTTTATCTGTCATATCGGAAGCCTCGTTTTTGGCCTCTAAAGATTTATTAAACGCAAATATTGTTTGATTTTTAAGTAAGGTGCCGTTAATGCTTCTTAAATTTGTTATGTACTCGTTAAGTAATTTCTTTTTGTCGTTGTATAAAGCTTCAGTGTTTATGGATAAGCTGTTTGCGTTTTTCGCTTGGTTTTTAGTACCATTGCAAGTTGTTCCACCGCAAGTATTATCGCATGGATATTCAGACCCATCACAAATTAATTTGTTTAATTTAGGTAAAGAATCATTTAAATTTTTAATTAGTTCAGTTAAGTTCTTTAAGGAAGCCACATCTTCTTCGTGTTTAGTTGAATTTGATTTACTTTCGGTACTTTTACAACGACTTTCAATGTTTTTTATAATATCCTGAGTGTTTGTTGCGCTTTTAGCAGCATCATCTGCTTTAGTTTTAACGTTTTTGATTATATCTAGAGCATCTTCTACATTGCGTTCTTGCAATTTCGTCCCATTCGCCATCAACTCATCTGCTTTATTCCTTAACAAATCTATTTTATTTTTGAAGTTTTGCAAAGTTATATTTGCTACTTCGCTAGTTGCGTTAGCTAAGATTTCATTTAAATGCTTTAATTCTCCGCGTTCCGTTTTGTTGATTAATTCTCTTAAACTATCGAGCTCTCCCTCAACTAAATTTGAATCATTCTTTGGTGGTTGATTTAATAAATCTTCGATGTCGTTTAATGTATTTTCGATTAAATTAAATTCCTTTGTGTATGCAGCTTCAGCTGTAACGTTATTACGATCTTTTAATTTATTTATTTCATGTTCAAAATCAATTAAAGTTTTGTTCCATTTATTGAAACATTCCCCGCATTTACAAATTCCAGTGTTTCGATCGCATTGTTCAGTTTCGAGATTACATTGGCATTCTAAAAGAATGATTAAAAAAATTAATTAATTAATTAATGATGATGATGTAAACTTACTAATACATGTATCGGCTTTAGGATCACCCCAATAATTCGCTTTGCATTCATTACATCGTCTACCTCCGAAATTTTCATTGCAATCGCAATCTCCTGAATCCTACAAATTGGGAGTGAATAAAAATTTAAATAATAAATTGGAACAAACCTCGTTGCATTGGGGATGTTTAGAACCAACTGGGTCACAATCGCAAGGTTCACAACCTTTTCCACTGCGAATGTTCCAATAGTTTTCTTCACATTTATCGCAGTCAGCGCCGACTACATTTGGATAACAACCCAAAATATAACAGACGCGTTCTAAAAAAATTAATGTAACCAACGTAAATTTTAGATTCATCTTTTAAATTTTTTTTTCCTTATTTGTTATCTTATCAAACACATAAATATCTAACTCTTAGATTAAAATTTACCTTGACATATAAAACATTTCATGTAGATTACAACTGCAAAGTTAGCAATGCTATATTCTTGGTGTCTAAAACATTTTTCCCAAATCCAGTAATACCATTTGATGAAAAAGAGATGTTACTTGTAGCAACATTTCATTCGTTCTATTTCTTTATTAACGATTATAAGGCGAAAAAAGAAATTACGACTTAAAAATAATTTTTAAGGATATATTTAAAATTATATATAAAACATTTTATAATACACTAAAAGTTAATAGGATTGATAATCATTTTTTTTTTGTACGATACAAATCTACAAATTACTTATAAAAAAAAGCAATTTATATCAAAAAACGTTTACCCTAAAATAAACATCCCTTTGAAAATATTTACAAGCAAAACAAAAAATCTAAAAACATCGTTTGCAACTTTGTTTTAGATAGAATTGCAATGTTTAAAATATTCCGCTTTCTTTTCAATATCTTCGGTATATTTATCCATATCCGAAATTAACTGTTTCAATTGTTCTTCCAACTCGCCCAAATTATTACTGGACGGGCTTTTTAATTTCGAAATGCTCTCCTGCGTTGTTTTAACTTTCGACGACAAATTAACGGTTCTATTTACCAAATTTTCCGCGCGCGTTTTTGAATTATCCGCCTTCGTGATGCTCGCATTCAATTTCTCTTTCGCTTGATCGTAATCGTTTAATAACACTTTTAATTTATCCATCGTCTCTTCCGTTTTTGTCTTAATGTTGGTTGATTCATTCTTTAAAGTTTGAGCCGTAAATTGATTTCCGCGTAAAAGTTTTTTAAGATCTTCTAATTCTTTATCGAGGGTTCCTAAGTTTCCGGAAGTATTTTCGATTTGTTGATATGTCCCGTTTGTCATTTTATCAATCTAAAAATTAAAAAAATTTAAATAATTTTGTTTTAATAAGATTTTTTTAATGCTTACATTGTCTAAATCTCTTTTTATGTCTTTAAATGATTGGGAGATGTTTCCAATTTTTATTTCAGTTTCTTTTTGGACGTTTTCGGTTTTCTTTAAGAATTCTTCAACGCTGTTTACGGTGTTTTTAATATCATCGACTTGTTTTCTAAAAAATTAATTTTATTTATTTTGTTGTATTAATAAATTATTTTTTGACTTACTTCGCATTTTCGGCATCTTCTTTTAATTTTTTGGCAACGCTTAAATTTCCTTCGGTTTCTGCAAGAATCGGTTCGATGTTTGTTAACGAATCGGCGGTTACTTTAATGTTTGTGGCAAATTCTTTAATTTCCTCCGGTTGCCATTTAATGTCTTTGGTTAAAATATTGTTGATTTTATTTTGCAATTCTTTAGTGATTGAATTGTTTTGCTGCATAAACTCGTCGATTTTAGCTAATTTGTCGTTGACTTTTTCTGTCATGTTGGAAGCGTTGATTTTGGCTTCTAAAGATTTATTGAAAGCGGATATGGCTTGATTTTTAACTAAGGTGCCGTTAACGGTTGTTATGTTTCTTATGTATTCGTTAACTAATTTTTCTTTGTCGTTGTATAAAGCTTCAGTTTTCATGGCTAAGCTGTTTGCGTCTTCCGCTTGGTTTTTAGCACCGTTGCAGGTTATTGCGCCGCAATGTCCACATAGAGCTCCCCCGCAAATGTTATCGCATGGGTATTCAGACCCATCACAAATTAATTTGTTTAATTTAGGTAATGAATCATTTAAGTTTTTAATTAAGTCAGTTAAATTCTTTAAGGAAGCCATATCTTCCTCGTGTTTATCCGAATACATAGATTTCATTGATTTTAATTTATTTTCGGTGCTTTTGCAGCGACGTTCAACGTTTTTAATGATGTCCTGAGTGTTTGTTGCGTTTTTAGTGGCATCATCCGCTTTGGTTTTGGCATTTTTGATTATATCTAGAGCACCTTGTACATTGCGTTCTTGCAACTTCGTTCCATTCACTCTCAACTCATCCGTTTTGTTTCTTAACAAGTCCATTTTGTTTTTGAAGTTTTGCAAGGTCACTTTTGCTACTTGATTACCACTATCGGCGTTTGCTAAGATTTCGTTTAAATTCTTTAATTCTCCATGTTCCGTTTTGTTGATTAAATCTCTTAAGTGGTCAAGTTTTCCTTCAACTGAATCCAAATCAATCGTTGCCGTTTGGTTCAATAAATCTTCGATGTCGTTTAATTTATTTTGAATGTAATTAAACTCGGTCGTGTAAGCACCTCCAGCCCCAACATTTTTAATGTCTTTCGCTCTAGCTATTTCTAATTGGGTTTCATTTTCAAATTTGGTTAGAGTTTTGTCCCAATTGTCAAAACATTCCCCGCAAGGTCTGCAATGAGGAGCAACTCCGACGTAACCTCTCGCGCATTGATCGCAACGATCTCCGCCAATTCCAGGGCGACATTTACAATTTCCAGTTTTTTGATCGCATTGTTCAGTTTCGGAACCTTCGAGATTACATTCGCATTCTAAAAAGAAATATTAAACAAAATTAATTAATTATTTAATGACAATGATGTATACTTACTGATACATTTATCAGCTTTAGGATCACCCCAATAATTCGCTTTGCATTCATTACATTGTCTTCCACCGAAATTTTCCCGACAATCACATTCTCCTAAATACTAAAAATTGGAATTGTGAATAAATTTATTTCAATTTATTTAATTTAATTAATAAATTGATACAAACCACGTTACATTGGAGATGTTTAGAACCAACCGGGTCACAATCACACGGTTCGCAACCTTTCCCACTAGCAATTTTCCAATGATTTTCCTTACATTTCTCGCAATCATCGCCGATTACATTCGGATAACAGGGACATTTTCCCGTATATCTATCGCAATCCCCGGCAGTTTTATTCCAACCCAAGATATGGCAGACACATTCTAAAATAAATCATTATGAATTTATAATTTTTATTAGATTGAAATGTACCTCGACACATCTCCTCGGGCGATGTCCTATAAAAACCAGATCGACACATTTCGCAGTGATCACCGGTGGTTTCATATAAACATTGTTTGCATTGTCCGGAGTGTGGGTCGCAATTGCCGGGTCGCATAATATCGATGTTATCGTTACAATCGCAAAGTTGGCAGTTTCCTCCCGGAACTTCCGGATTTCCGAAATAATTATCCGCGCAAACATCGCATCTGGCGCCTGTAAAACCTTCTTTGCAGGCGCAAATAACATCTTGCGTTAATGGATTTAATTGGCAAGTATCTGCGAATGAATGATTCGATCCCAAAGTTCCAGGACATGGACATTGTCTACACGGAATATCCACGTTTAATCTTGGATCGCCGTAATACCCATCAACACAATGATCGCAAGTGTGGCCTTCTGTAGCATCTCTACAGTTACTACAAGCTCCTGTGCGAGCGTGACAAGTCTCGGCATGTCCGTTACAATCACATCTTTGACAATTTGGGAAATTCCAAAATCCAATTCTGCATTGATCGCATTCTCTTCCGTAAGTGTTTGCACGACACTTACATAAACCGGTGGTTACGTTACAGAAATTATCTAACGCTCCTATACTATTACAATCACATGCTTTGCAACCTTCTGGGCCAAAACCGTAAGTTCCTGGAGCGCATCTATCGCAACGTCTTCCCACTACGTTTGGTTTGCAAGTGCAACGACCTCCGTGTTCATCGCAAAGTTTACTTACTGCGCCGGTTGGATCACATTGACAAGCAAGAGCTCCGTTAATAATAAACGCCCCGATACTATTAAAATCATTCTTACAAACTTCCGGGATGTGTTTGGTATCAACGGGTGGATTTTTAAGTATGTCATTACAACTAAATCTTTCAAATTCTCGTCGCCTTTGTTCGGCGGGTGCGGAACCTTTAAACCACGGTATACTTTCAATTCGAGGTGTTAATACTATCGAATCAATCAAAATTGACGCTGTGTTTGGACTTTCGTGTTCGTATTGTGATCGTTTAAATTCCAAAACGAGCTTGTAAGATTTTCCAGCTTCCAAACAAAGCGGTTCTGGAGCCACAACACTTCTACTATGCGATGGTAAGCTAATATGTTTCGGTTCATCATCAAGAGAAGCTTCGTTACAAAGACTATCAACGTCGACAGGATCTGGACGTATTAAACTCATTTCGACATCGTACCAAGGTTGATTGGATGTGGGCTCATATCGAAGAACCGCGTCGTATAAAGATGTTGTTCTAATGTTATTAATCGGAAATTCGATAAACGAACCTTCGTAAGCTCTCATAAAACCAGATCCAGTCCATGTATTTGGTTGTCCATCTCGATATGGTTCTCTTATAACAACTTGACAATCACTAGATCCTTTAGCTAATTCGGCTTCGTATAATAAAAAGTCTAAACTGGCTGTGAAATGGAGTTGTTTTGGGATATTACAAGTTCTTCCTGACATATCTCCTCTACATTTACATTGTCCGGTAAATAAATCGCAATTATTATCCAACGAACCTCCAGGATCGCAATCACAAGGTTCGCAACCATCTTGCTTTTCAGACAACCCCCAGAATTCCGGTAGACATTGTCTACAATCTCTACCAGTTACATATCGTTTACAAGTACATTCACCCGTATCTACATCGCAACCTTGATTATCTAAAAACAACAATTATTTAAATAATAAATTATTATTAATTTATTTAAGTCCATACCAACTGTTCCCAAAGTACTGCAAGTACAAGGTTGACATCCATCTGGATTTTCTGATGTGAAATTCCAAAAACCGTTCTTACATTGATCGCATCTTCTCCCTTCAACATTCGTTTTACAGTGACAACTACCAGCGACAAGGTTATTTACTGTATCTGTAATCGAGTCGCATATTCCTAAGTCCAAAGAACCTTGTGGATCACAATCACATTCTAAAAAAAAATAAAATTAATTTATCAACTGTGTTTTTACAATATGGCAGATAATAGAATAAGTTTTGAAATATCAAATAACTAATTTAATCTTACCTTTACAAACATCTGGATCTTGAATATCCCTAGTTGGATCTCTATAATAAAACGGTTTGCATTGTTCGCAATGAATACCCATCGTATCATGTTGGCAACCATCACAAACGCCACCACTGACTCTTCCAGAAGCTTCGTAAACAGCTGAATCAAAATGACAACTCCAAGCATGATTGTTACAATTACATCTTTTGCACGCATTAGATTGTTTTCCAACGGCAGGTCGCCAAGGGAGATCATTGAAAAAGTCTTCGCATTTCTCGCAATTTCTTCCTTTTGTGTTGTGAGTGCATTCGCATCTTCCGTGAACCATATCTGGTTTTGGGTTAATTCCAGCTAAAGGTAAACATCGATTAGCGTGTCCATAACAAGAACATGAGCCTCTAACGACCATGTAATTAATGGCGTAGTAATATTTTTCTTGTATCTCCTCACGCTTGTCGAGTAAATCGTCTCCTAAGGTGTGCAATTTGGTGAAATTAATTCTTAAATTGGTGATTTTAAGTAAATTTTGAACTTGTTGTGAGTATGGGTTATCAATTTTAACATTTTGCATCAACACCCTGTAGATAACTTCACCGTTACTCGACGGAGACACTCCTGAATAACGGGATTCGCAGACTACATCTGTTAAATTTTCGGGCGTCCCTTTTTTTATTCCTGGAAAGCTGTCGTCGCAGTTATCAGCAAAATATCTATAAACTTGCCACGTTTTGTTGTTATCGTAAGATCTTTCTATTAACATCGCAGCAGGACGGAACGTTCGAAATTTCATTATTAAATGGGTAAAATGAAATTCTGCTTCTAAATTAAGCTGAACATAAACGTTCTCTTTACCGTTTTCTGATTGCCACCATGTTGTTTCTTGAGTACTAAAAGAATTTAGTTAATAAGATTATTAATAAATAAAAAGATTGTGTACCCCGGATAAGTTTTTGAAACAATATTGCTAATATTATGATTTTTAATCGCTTGATTCGACCCAGGTCTTGAATCGCACCAAAAGCATTTTTTCTTCTCCTCCAAATGCGAAACGATACAGTAACGTTTTTGTTCGTAAAGACCGCACGTTGAGGAGGCGTAAAGTTGATCTTCTCTGCCAATTAGAAGATTTCCGGTTGCTGGGTAACATGATCCTTGTTCGCAAGGATGCAGCTTCAATTGGGTGAAGGCTAATAATAGTTGATTGATTCTCTAATTAATTTTAAAGCGTTAATCATCGACAGGATAAGTTTTAAATAAGTTTTGAACGTTTCGATCTAAATAAGACTAACTTTCAATATTAAACTAATAATACATTCAAAACTGATCCAGCACTTTATTTAATTAATAAATTAATGTTAAGAAAACCAACACCATCCAAATAATACTGAAAAAATTAGTTAATTGGGGTACAGAAAATATTCCCTCCACAAAAAAAAACACCACTACAACCCCATGAATTGGCATTGAGTCTTACATCTAACCTCTAGGCTTATAATACCACGTGGACAAATCCGTGAAGGGATGAACTTCTTCTGGGTCACTTTCTGTGTCAGGGGGTGGCGTTTGATCACCCCTCAACACAAACGGTGCTAAATTACAACATTACTGCTTTTAAAAACTAAAACGTCGATATAATATCAAAAAGAAATCTAAAGACTATCTTTTTTTCCAAAAATTGAATGTATTTTAATTAATTTTTAATTTACCTTTTGATATTCCTTTTGGTTTATCTCTGGTCCTTGCATATTGAGCCTCAGCGAATTTATTACCTAATTTAAAAAATTTTATTTTTAATGAATTAATTTTCTTCATTTAATTTACTTACATATTACTAATAAAATAAATGATGTGACTATACTCCATAATTTTCTACGTTGATACATGTTAAAACTATTTTTTTTGCCTAATGAGGCACTGAAATAAATTTAAAAAAAATTAATATAAATTTTAAACGAATATAAAAATATAGTTTGAATGAACTATCAGTATCGAACATCCTACGCGTATATAAATAGAATACAAAGTAATGAGTCCCCTCTATCAGCAAGGAAACACATCTTTCGTTACAAAAAAAATGCACAATTCACTATTATTCGATTGAGAAGCATTGTAACGTTATATGTTTTGTATTATTCTTGATGCTGAGTACTTCAAAAAATTTATTAAAATTATGTTGTTTAAAAATGATTTTTTTTTTAATATAAACTTCACCCACTTTAAATGGCCTTTGAACTTTTCGACAAACCAATGAACTCTGCGTTATCAGGGTAGCATTAAAAGTGTTCCCGTCAAGAATCGAGGCGTTTTCAGATTGCAGGTCATCCGGAATAAATCCGTAAACGCCTTCCTAAGTATTTCTTGGAAGGAAATAATTTTATAAATAGCTTCCTCTCCTTCTCTTTTGCCGACTCGATTTCATGACTATGAAAGATTTTATCATGAAAACGAAATTTAAAAAACTATATATTAAAATGAAATGATTCATTTTAGATTTTCTTTGGCGCGGTTCGTGGGTGTGTTTTTTTGGAATTTAAGGCTATTTACCTGTCAATATACAAAGCACGTGTGCGTCTGTGCAGATATATAAACACAGACGGTGATGCCAAAGTTTTCTTCTTAAAGAAGAACCACACTGTAGCACACTGTAACAACTCTCGACATTTTTAACATTTTAAACATTATTTTTTTTAGTTCACTAAATTCAATATGATTAAATAATTTTTAATTCTTTCACCATAACAATGGGGTAACGTAAAATGCAGAAATGCAGAAGAGGTCTTTTGGGTCTCCTCTTGATGGCACGTGAAACAGACTGGGACCTCTTTTCCTCTTTGCAAAAGAGTGGGAGAGTATTATGAGAAAGAGAACCTTAAAGTCGGCTTCTTCCACTGCCAGAACCGAACTGAGCGTTGCCGGACGGAGTCTGGTCGCCTTATTGTTTTTGCTCTTAGGATAAAGATAAATCGAGATCTGTGTAAAGAGCTGTTAAAACCGTTTGCGACGTCTACGACCTATCCCGTCTTTTCAAAGGAGGGATATTTGTTGGTGGGCATAAATGGAGGGGTCCTTCGGGAGTTAACATGTGGTCCGCACTTGTTCTAAATGAAAAGAGAACCAGAAAAGAGGCTATTGGGCGTGCCACAAAACTTCGAGTGCTGTTTACGAACTCGAAGCCTCGTTATCTTAACGATGACCTTTTTTTAGAAATAAAAACATTTTATATTTTAAACGTTTAGAATTTCATTTTTTGGGATGGCAGATTTTCGTAATTCGTAACCATCAAGAATAATTTATCAACGGCGCGCGACTAAATGAGCTATCTAAAAACATTTCGTTATCTTTTTCCGGCCAAAGGTTACTTCCCCCATACCCGTGGGTGGCTGTAGATAGTATGTATCCGGAATTTTGTTCTAATTCATTCTTTAATTTTCATACTGATGATTTCTCAATTTTTATTTGAAAACTGTAATCATTAAAGAAACAAACCAAGTTTATAAAGTAATTACTTTACCGGCTTTTATATTAATTAGATTTACGTATAAACCATTATTTTATTAGTTTTATAGTCAATGATCTCAATTGCAACGTCTCACTTGGTATGCTCCCTATATTTTGACTATATTTGACGAGCGCGCTACATCAAAGTTAAAAGTTCAACATTTCGGTATATAACAGTAGTCGAGGTGGTATATTTAAGGTTTTATATTTCTTGAAGATATTAACTATTACATATATTTGGCTGCTATATGTATATCATGCTCAATTTCATAGCTGAAATATGCATTCGTAGCCGAGGACGCTTACGGCCGAGACGCTATATTTGAGGGTAATTAATTCATAATAATCGTGGATATGTTTTCAATTTAACGCAATAATTAATTTCAAATTTCAAAGTGACATCATTGTAATACCCTTTGATCTAAAAAAATCCAAATACTGGATTTTTGACTTATTTACTTAATCTTTGTTTTTATAAAATAGCATATGCAATCAAGTTATTATATGAACACTAAGTTGCCTATACACATCAATTAATTAGAATAGGGATTATTAAAACATTAATACCAAATAATTTTGTATTAATTCTTTGTGTTATCTTCCTAAAATATTTTCGATTTCATTTTGTAATCGCCAAATCAAAGATTTAAGGAGTTCAAGAACATAACCTCACATTTAATTTCTTGCGTTAAATTAGATAAAAAATGTTACTTTATTTATTAAGATTACCCCGGTTTAACATCAAGCGTTTATCTCGATTATCAAGATTTAATTCGACGTCTATTCAAGAATTTGATCAAGATGATATAATTGATAAGTAAGATTAACCCAGATTCGTTTAAATTAAGTTAATTAAGACATTTTTAGAGATTATCAAGCGTTAATAGAACAATATTTACCTTCAAATATCGTACATCGATGTTTTATAATACATCCTTACGTTAAGTGGGGCCCACAAAAAATAAAGGATGTTACACTAACCGGTCAATTAGATGAGGCAATAGCTCTTGTAAATAGTTTACAATCATGGAAAGTTGTTGATAAAATTTCGGTTCCTTTAGAAAGTTTAGATAAAAAATCTATTTTTGGAAGTGGAACAATAAAAAAATTACAAGACACAATTAAAAGAAACTCGTCATTAACATCAATTTTTATTAACATGGAACATTTAAAAACCTCCCAAATGGAGGAAATGGAAAAAATATTTGCCCTCCCAATTTTTGATCGCTACAACATTGTTTTGCAAATATTAAGGTTACACGCTATAAGTAAACATGCTAAATTACAAGTTGCAATAGCCGAGTTACCTTACATTAAATCAAAATTAAAAAAAATATCTTCACTTGGTACAGATTACGATACCAGAAGATTAATTTTGAAAAATCGCGAGGAAAAACTTAAAGGGGCTATTAAAAAATTACGATCTCAAAGAGAACTTTTACGAAATCGCCGCATTAAAGTATCTTACCCTGTCGTTGCTGTTGTCGGTTACACAAACGCAGGAAAAACTTCTTTGATTAAATCACTAACAGGGGATCAAAAATTACAACCAAAAAATCAACTTTTTGCTACTTTAGATGTAACGCTACATAACGGAGTTTTACCGTCGAAATTAGAAGTTTTATATGTTGATACAGTCGGGTTTTTATCGCAAATACCAACCGGATTAATCGAATGTTTTATAGCAACGTTAGAAGATGCATTACTTGCCGATCTCATTTTACACGTTGAAGATTTATCAAGCCCTAATTTTACACATCAAAGAAACCACGTTTTGGGAACATTAAAAGCGTTAAGCGGAAAAATGGGAACCGGAAACATATTGGATAAATTGATTTCAATTGGAAATAAATGTGATATTGAACATAACATTGATACAAAAAAAATTGATGATGATTATTTAAAAATCTCGACTGTTAAAGAAATAGGTATCGATGCTTTACGAGAGTTAATCGAAAAGTTAATCATAAAAAATACAAATCGTCATGTGATTACGTTAAATTTACCAATTGGTGGTGATGAAACTCGATGGTTGTACAAAAATTGTACGGTGATTAATGTGGGAGTTGATGAAAATAACAGTGATCACCATAACGTTAAAGTTATTATAACATCAATGTTACTAAATAAATTTAAACGCCAATTTTGTTAATTCTAAACCTTTTATATTTCTTTTAAAAAACTTTTGTATAAAAAATCAACATATTTTATCAAACCCTATATTTATGAACAGCATCTATAAAAACTTCAACAGCGGATTCTTCCATATCCGGATAAATTCCATGGCCTAAATTAACAACGTATTTATTCGTTCCAAAACCTTTAATCATTTCTTTAACAAGATTTCGGATGTCATCCTCAGAGGCGTACAGAGCGCAAGGATCTAAATTTCCTTGAACGGCGACTGCTGAGCCTAAAATATTTCGCGGTATTTTAGGACTTATCGTCCAATCAATCCCAATCATATCATAACCCAAATCTTTTTGTGTTTCTAAAGAATAATGAGATCCTTTTGCGAAAAGAACCTAAAAATCAAGCTTAATAAAAATAAAATAAAATAATAGAGAAAATTTACCATTGGAACTTCCTCTATGTTATTCTCTTTTAATTTTAAATGAACGCTTTCTGATATTCTCTTCAAATATGGTTTACAAAAAACGTCGAAAAGATATTCGTTCAAATAATCGGCGTTACTCTCGAAAATTTGAACAATTTGCGCCCCCGATTTGATTTGCATCACTAAATAATCAATGATAACATCTGTTAGAAGTTGTAGTAATTTGTGGGCGCATTCCTTGTTGCTGTATAACCATTTTTTAGCTTTCGAGAGGGTTTTACTTCCTTTTCCTTCGATCATATAACCCATTAGGGTCCACTAAAAATTATTTCTTTAATAAGTTATGAAGCAAGTAATGTTTGGGACTTACAGGACCACCTGTAAAGCCAAATAACGGAACTTTTCCCTCTAATTTGTGTCTTGTTAACGTTATAGCATCCCCTACATATTTTAATCTATCAACAGCTCCTGGTACATTTAATAAATCCATATTTTCGATTGTTACTGGATTTGAAATTACTGGTCCCTAATTAATTATAAAATTTATTACTTAATTAACTTAATATCAAAATGTAATAAGCAATGGGATGACAGATGGAATAAGATGAATTCACAAAATTGTTTTATCTTAATTGTGTATTAATTGTGTAGATGCGATGTTTGGATAATATTAAAGGAAACAACTAAGTTGGTGAGGACATCTAGACAGACTAAAAGGAAAATGGCAAGTACAACAAGTTTTGAGGTACAGATACACATGAGGAGAGGATGACCAAAGGAGCCCTGGGAAGCCAAAGAACTGAAACAATTCTATAAAATATTAACCTTATTTAGTTTTATCAATTATTATATGTAACTAAAATTACCTCTCCTTCTTTCATTTCAACATTTAACCCCAAAGCTTGTGGAATAACAAGAATATCACTGAATATAATTGCAGCGTCCAAATCGTACCTTTTAATAGGCATTAAAGTGACTTCACAAGCTAAACTTGGTGTTTGGCAAATCTCGAAGAAGCTGTGTTGTTTTCTAAAATCTCTAAATTCTATAAAAAATAATAAAATAAGTAAGTACAAAACGAATTAAGTTAATATACCTTTCATGTGACGACCTGCTTGCCTCATTATCCAAACGGGTAACCTTTCAATCTTCTCCCCTTTAATTGCTTTTAAGAGAGTGTCGTTTTTTAGCGGTGGAAAATTCATCTTTGCAAGCAAATTTTATGTAAAAAATTAAGGTATTTATATTTTATTTACTTACTGTTCTCGCAGTCATTTAACAATGACTGCTCAATTTTAATTGATGATTAGGTTATGCGAGTTATGCAACCAGTGTGAGATTTTGTTTTTGAGGTTATCTACACATTATTATTTTAATGTTATTTTAATACTTTTTAAAGTAAATCGTGTTTTATGTGATCTTTAATTTGTTATACATCAATTTTTAGTTATTATTTCATATTAATTATGTATTAATTTTTATTATAAAGTCAAGGTTATTTGTTTAATTGTTACAAATAGTTAACATAACCTATTTTTTTTTTTAACTTTACATATATAATTTTTTTTTAAGAACGTAAAGAAGATAATAAGGAGGGATAAGAACTTTTTAATCACTTTGATGCGGTAATAATAATTAATAATGATGATATTGGTGTAATAAAATGCTAATAAATAAAATATATCATTTTAGGTTGTCTCTCTATAATAGAAGGGATCATCATCAAAAAGATGATAATAAAAAACGTATTCTGTTATTTATATACCTACGGAGTGGTATTACGCCACTATAGAATCAACTCGCAGAGTCTGTGTTGAGGTTGTGCTTATAAACTCCCTCTACAAAATTTTAACAGTTGGTTAGTGGTATTTATACGCAGCACAGCGACGACACGAAGTGCTGCAACGGGTTAAAGAGTTTTGAGAGTTTTGAGCGGCATGAGTGGTAAGTTTTTTCCCCAACACGAGAGGATCCCGCCGCCGTCGATGTTGAAGTTATCTTTTTGACCCCTCTGTGACCTTCAAATAGTATTCCAAAAACGTATTAACCTCAATGGACCAATAATATTCGCAAAGATGTTAAAAAAAATTATTTATCGTAGCACAAGAAAAAAATAAAAATAATTATTTAGAAATCTTTACCGGTGAATATCTGTATAAAAGAATTTTTGTTACAGTCAACCGAAAATAAAGTTTTATCGCTACTTTTTTTTATCGAAATTGTGCCAAACTTGTATTTATATTTATAAGCCAAACACTTTTTATCGCTTAATACATTAATAAGCCGGCGTTATAAAATGTATTAAAATTAAATCGAGTTTAAATATTTGAAATTCTTAAAAATTTTAGAATGGGTATAAATTAATTTTAGTTAATTTTAATTATTATTTTTAATTTTTTAGATTTTGCATGGGTTACCTTAGCTACCAACGACTCCTATTCGTTAGGAGCGTTGGTATTAGCTCATTCTTTAAAACAAGTGGGAACAAAACACCAAATGGTTGTTTTAATAACACCCGGTGTTACAAATGCTATGAGGTGAGTTAATAAAATAAAACTTTATATTTAGATTTTGTTACGCAAATTTTCAAAATACACAAGATACGCATTAGTTTCTGGCTCTGTTGGACCATATTTTTGTTTACAGTCTGAAAATTTAGTTTATGGGGCCCCAGAAACAGTATTAAAATCGCGAAAGGGCAACGTGCCAAAATGCCCAATTCCCGCTTCCTGGGATGATAAATAAATCGAGCATGCGCAATCGAAATCGTTTTTGTATTTTCAACCTTAACAACTCGAAAAATAATCACATCATTACATTACCCGAGTATATAAGATGACAACCGAGGTCAATTTTTTTTACTTGAGTAGTAACCTAATATGATTAATACCCATACACTGACCTCATACTACATAGTGGTCACTTTCGAATATTGAATGATATGATAAACCTAATATCCAACATTTTTATTTTAATAATATCTTTTACTTGAAATTGTTTTTAGAGAAAAATTAACAACTGTATTTAATATAGTAGAAGAAGTGAATCCGTTAGATTCAAAGGATGAAGCAAATTTAAAATTGTTAAAACGACCAGAATTAGGAATAACGTTCACGAAGCTCCACTGCTGGCGGTTGATACAGTTTCAAAAGTGCGTTTTCTTGGACGCCGATACTTTGGTGCGTAAAAAACCAATTCACTTTTAATGTTGTTTTTGAAAATTTTATTTTTTTGTTTTGTCCCTCCTCATCGAAAGCCTAAAAATATTCGCTGACGCACGAACACAGCATCGGAAAACGTTGAATCTGTCTTTCTAAATTTTCCCCGGCATTAGATGCCGCCCGGTGTCGGGTTTTCTACTTGTCTAAATATATCCGCACATTAAAATAACATAACGCCATAGCCAACTTGCAATCTGCACCACCGCATACCGTCCACTATATTTAGTCAACGGATTAATCCTATTTTAGATCATTGCGATTTTGTCCACTTAAATCATGCCGAAACCTTTTTGTCTTTTTTTTTAATTTTTAACTTGTTTTCTTTACTACTTCGCATTTGAAATTTATTTATGGACAAGTGCGTTTCAGTTTGGCTAAAAATAGATTTTGTTTATTCAAACATGGTAATAATTTCCAAATCATTTCTATTAATAATTAAGTTCGAAATTAATATAATAAAAACAATATAACCAAGAACTACTTGAAGTATAAGTGCAGATAGTATAACACTTGGGTTGGGATTCATGGTCATGAATCTGACAGCAACGCAACCGAAATAGTATATTTGAGACCATATCCAAATTATTAAATTCATCCGAATACTATAACAACAGTTAGAATTGTTAATATTTTTTAGGTATTATCAAATTCCGATGAACTTTTCGAAAGAGACGAATTTTCGGCAGCTCCAGATGTTGGCTGGCCAGATTGTTTCAATTCGGGTGTATTTGTTTATAAACCATCTAATGAAACTTATTCAAAATTGGTTGACTTCGCCCTTCTAAAAGGCAGCTTTGACGGTGGCGATCAAGGTTTATTAAATCTTTATTTTTCGGATTGGGCGCATAAAGATATAGCAAAACACCTTCCGTTTATTTATAACATGTGTTCTACGGCTGTTTATTCTTATTTACCAGCTTTTAAACAGTATGTATTTTTGTTACGACTTGTATACAGTTTGTTCGATTTTAGCTATCATAGCAGATATCTTAATTATTGTTGGAGATATGACAAAATGTTAAATATCATGCACAATGCTTAGGGCAAAGCGATATTAATTTTTATAGAAGCAACTAGTCTAGATATCTGTTGTGACAACTAAAATCAAACGCACTCTATAACAAAATATTAATACATATAATGGACTGTTTATATAGATATGGTAAAAATGCAAAAATAGTGCATTTTATTGGCCCGGCAAAACCATGGCTGCAATATTTCAATACAGAAACATTAAAAGTTTATCCATCACCGGGATTGCAACATTTAGAAGAAACGCTTCAGAAATGGTGGAATATTTTCTGTTCTTTAATCCATCCGAATTTATCCAAAGATATGGTAAACATTGATTTATTATTATTCTTATTATTTTTGAGTTTTTGTCAACACAATAATTTTTTTACACGCTAACGTAGATCGAAGTAATTTTCGAAGAGGTGAGATAACGGTGCAATATCTAACATTTTTGTTGGAAATTGCAACGTTTTTTTATGGGTTTTTCTAGTAATTAGTTTTTTGTGGAGCAACCGCTAAAAACAAAAAATGCTGTGATTTTTTTCTGCATGCGTTATGTTTATTTAGGCTGGAAGCAAGCAGTCTGCCGAACACATCCATTCTAATCCTCAAACATCTTCCCAAACAAATAATACTCATCACATTCCAAATCAATGTTTTAATGAATTCGAAACATTAACTTTAGAAGATTATACTAGTAATATTTGGGATCCGTGGGATGACCACGATAATAAACAGATTTTAATTCAACATGAAAATGAACATATTGAGATTAATGATAGTAATATTAATAATTATATTAATAATGATATTAATAATGATGTTAATAATGATATTAATAATGATGTTAATAATGATATTAATAATGATGAAATAGTTTCGTTTAATTTAAATAATGAAAATTATATAGAATCATTAGAAACAGTTCCAAACTGTTTAGAACTTTTAGACGAGCAAAATTATGAGCTAAATGATGATCAAACTGATAAACAAATTAATGAAGATATTAATGAGTCATTTAATGAAATTAAAAATGATATAGTTGACAATTTTGAATCTCAAGTTTCGGAAGATAACCGCGAAATCCTTTCCTTAAAACCAAACATACCCGACACATCTGACACATGTGACACGCCACCTGGCACAGTAAGCCAAGAGCTAGCTTCTTTGCACGTGAATCATAGCAATGATGCGGGCATCGCGATCGATGTAAGTAAAACGCACTGAAACAAATTCAATCTTGCTTTTAAATTTCTTAAAATATGGTTTCTATATCTATGTAGTTATTAAGGGGGGTTTGTTATAATAATTTAATAATTGGATAACTTAAAACCTTCCCATAATAACTACTTTTCTGCTTTTAGAATTATTTTATTTTAAATAAATTATTTTTGCAAATTTGATGATTTGGTTTGGGTTTGCAGAGTGGTTTGGCTGGAGCATTCGCCCAATTTACATTGGGTGCGAAAAGAACAACTGGACAAGATGCTTTAGAGAATCATTTGAGAAGACAAGCTTGGGAACTTGGAAACATCGATTATTTGGGTAGGGATTCGTTTGATCACATCTGGTCGAAGATTTGCGAGAGTTTGGCAACACCTACTCAAGAAGCGTCCGGAGAGCAAAAAGCGGAAACGATGGTTCCCGAAGTCGTTGGAGGTACAATTCCTAAACAGAGGCAAAAGAAAGCCATTCATTGAGTTTATTTTTGAAAAATCTTAAAAAAATGAATTAAAAACGTACACTGCTAGTGCTGCGCGAAACGTTCTTTCGCTTTTTTTCCTAAAAAGTTCTCTTGAGGTATTGTTAACCTTGTTGTATTATGTTTTTTGATGATATTTAATTTGTTTTATACATTTGTATGTTAATAATACGTTGTAATAACACTTTTTCTTTTTTCAATCGATGAAGACGTTCCCACAACGATAACTACAACCCCAGAAACTTGTATCACAGGTCAGTTTGCGTGACAAACGGCTGAAATTTTGTAACGCTTATTATTATAATTTTTTCTCGCTGATGTTTAATATTTCTAAATAACCATTAAACAATTCTTAACGCTAAGGCTGGAAGATCGTGACAATAACGTTGTGAACCCTTTTTTTTAAAATGTCAGATGATATTGCTGCTTAATTAATGCGAAAAATACATTTATATTGGCGTAACCAAGTTTTACCTGTAACTTTTACCATACAGCATCCTTTTAGAATGTTTAGGTTAGGTAAGTATGTAACAATAACGATTTTTATGGCCGCTTTATTAACAAAAAAATTATAAAATATAACATAAAATGGAATCATTTTTATAAATAGCCATGAAGAACGAACCTACCCCGGCGGATGTTCTACTAAAAGAGATTATCCCTATTCCCATCGAGGCAATTCAAACCATTTCAGCAGAATCTCCCAAGCCTGAAGAGAAATCTTCACCCCCACAACCTTCACCAGCTGACATTTTATTAAAAGAAATTATTCCCGTTCCTATTGAAGCAATGCAAAAGCAACCTATCCCAAAACCTGATGACTCAACACCTAAATCTGACGCAGTTGCTGAAGTAGAAGCTTTACTTAAAGAACTTATTCCCGTTCCCATCGAAGCTCTTAAGACTGATGAAACAACACCGGTTGATGTAACAAAACCTGCAGATCTAAAATTAGAAACTGCCCCTGTGGATGTACCAAAGCCGGATATTACACCTGTAGATGTACCAAAGCCCGAAACTACACCTGTAGATGTAGCAAAACCAGAAACAGCACCTGTTGATGTACCAAAATCCGATATTGCACCTATTGATGTACCAAAACCCGAAACTGCACCTGTTGTTGTACCAAAACCCGAAACTGCACCCATTGATTTACCAAAACCCGAAACTGCACCTGTTGATCTACCAAAACCCGAAACTGCACCTATTGATGTACCAAAACCCGAAACTGCACCTATTGATGTACCAAAACCCGAAACTGCACCTGTTGATGTACCAAAACCCGAAACTGCACCTATAGATGTGCCAAAGCCGGAAATTACACCTGTAGATGTGCCAAAGTCCGAAACTGCACTTGTAGATGTATCAAAAACCGAAGCTGCACCAACAGAAACCCCAAAAGAAGAAGCTCCAAAAGTAGAAACAGCAATCACAGAACTTGATGTTTCACAATCTGTATTATCACAGGCTTTAAAATCTGAAACTACCCCAATAGTAGCTCCAAAACCTGAATCGACGCCGGTTGAAGCTCCAAAAGATGCTGTACTACAAGAATCTATTAAGACTGAACCACTACCAGAAGCGCCAAAAGTAGAAACTGCACCTATTCCTTTAGAAGCTCCAAAAACGGAGACTCCACAGGAAGCACCTCAGCCTGAAACGCAAGTAACTGAGGTTCCTAAAGCTGATGCACCAAAAGTTGAAGCTCTTAAAGATGAAGCTCCTAAAGCTGATGCACCAAAAGCTGAAATACCAGTAACAGAAACGCCAAAAAGTGAATCAACTCCAGTAGAAATTCCAAAAGAAACTTTACCAGAAAAAATTGTTCAACAAGAAACAGCAGTTTCCACTATTATAACACCTCCAACACCAACTGAATCAAATAAAATCGAAACGCCTACTATGGAGGTTGGCCCAGAGATGTTATCGAAACCTGAAGTTGTTGAAGTTCCCGAAGCAATTCCCGAAAAAGATAGAGTTCCCCCACCAGATTCGCAGAAACAAGAATGTCCGATGAAACAAAAGGAATGTTCAAAGACTGAAGAACAAAAATCTGAGTCCATTCCACCCGAAGTACAACCGCAATCGGAGATAGCCGCTGCCAAACCGAGTGAAACAACCGAACAAAAACCAGAAGTTACGGAAGAAGTTATAAAGAAGGTAAAGGTGGTGAAAAAGAAGAAGGTGCCAAAAAGCGATGCACCAAAAGGTGATGCACCAAAAAGTGATGCATCAAAAAGTGATGCGCCAAAAAGCGATGCGCCAAAAAGCGATGCTCCAAAAGTTGATACTCCAAAGAGTGATGCTCCAAAAAGTGATGTTGGAGCTACAGCTTCTGAGCAACAACCTAAAGCGGGTGGTGAAACTTCAACGCCAACCCCTCCACCACGAAAAACGACGACCGTTAAGAAGGTCAAAGCAAAGAAGCCATAAAATGTTACGAATTTTCTATGAATTTTTTTTCAATGTGTGTTGAATATTTATTGACTTATATCTTCATTGAAATAAAATAATATAAAAAAGAATTGGTATTTTATTATTATTATATATAAAATTAATATAAATGGTTATTTACAAAAAAAAAATTAATAATAATCTAATTTTTCATATTATCTTTTATCCATAATAAATATTCCGTTATTCTTGTGTACACCCCTGGATAACCTGGCTCTCCACATTTATTTCCGAAAGAAACTATTCCTACCTGTAGCCATCTTGTATCCCAAAGAAGCATCAATGGTCCTCCTGAGTCTCCCTTTTTAAAAAGTTAATTTATTTTGAAACACAGAATAAAACAATTTTTACCTGACATGCATCGATTCCACCTTCAGCATAACCAGCGCAAACGAAATGAGATGTTATTGGTTGGTAATAAGCTTGGTTACAATCATCATTTTTCCAAATTGGGATTACAGCTTGTCTTTGAACAGAACTTTCTTTTCCATCTAAAAATTAAAAAAATTTTTTACTAATGTATTTTCTTTACATTGACTACTTACTATAATAAGTACTTCCCCATCCAACAACAGTACTTTTTCTTCCTTCAAACGTTTCGTATCTAAGTGAAGGTGGAGGAAGGCATAATGGAATTACATATTTTGACCTTTGAACAATCCTATCCAATAAAAGAACCGCAATGTCATTGTAATAACCAACTCGGTTATATTTTTCGTGTCTTCTGATTTGGGTAACCCGATAAGTGGCAGGGTTTGATGGTTCGTCAGTTCTTTTAAGGTCCACGTCGCCAAGTCTAACTGAGAGTTGATATGATGCGAATCTGGAACAACACTGAGAATATTTTTTTCAAGGTTGTCCTACTTTATTAATTACGGTCGGTCATTGCCGTCTTTGGTACAATGGGCTGCTGTTAGTATGTGTTTTAAAGATATTAACGATCCCCCGCACCAAAATTCCACTTTTCGATTTCCGTGGAGGAAAATAGCTGCTACCCAAGGCCATTTTTGCGGTGCTGCTTCCTCTCCGCCGACAACGCGAAACTGTTCATCTTCTTGTTGACCACAATCTTAGAAAAAATAATAAAACTTAACTAGTTCTTAAGACAAAAGAAATTTTACCTTCTGCTTCGATGTTTGTTCCTAAAGTAAATATTTCGGGAAATTGTGTGGTAGTCGAAATTGGATAATAATTATGCGTCGTAGTTGTAAATTGAGTTGTTGTGGTTGGAATTGGAGTTGTAGTTGATACATAAGATTGATCTGTTATGGTATTTTCTTTTCTACAACAAACTCCGGGAACGAATAAACTTTTAAAACATAAAGATTGTCGTAAATCTTGAAGATTTAAAAGTAAATCCGGACAATTGCTTAAGTCATCACAAATTCCTTGTGTTCCATCTGGAGTTGTACACGTTTGCAGATTACTTTCTGTTGTGGTCTTATAAACGTAACTTGGAGGCGTAACTTCATCGATTTCTCTTCGTATTTGTTGTTCCCCAACAAAAGGTGCGATTGTATCGGTGATGTTTCTTCCAAGAACGTTTTTGCTAAGGGTATAAATTGCATTTGGCACATCTTTTGGTATATTTGATATGTTTTTGCTGTCTCTTGTGACATTGACGATATATTGTCCAATAGTGTTTAAAGCCCCTAAGGTATCCGTGATTTTTCCAACCGTTTCAAAGACGGAATTTCTGCTATAAGGAATTCCGGGTTCTGGCACTCTGTAGTAATTGTAAGGATCATTTTCGTAAGGTCCGGTATTTCTATGCCATCGTACCGATGAAGACGGCGAATGATAATATCTCACTGGGCCTTCCCTTGGATTGTAATCGTATGGACTGGATGAAGAAATGATGAAAAAAATTAAGGTGAACGTTTCTGGAACAGAAAACGGCAATTTTCTCTCTCTAAATAATCTGATAACTTTCTCCGGTTTCTTCTCTGGGTCAAGGTCTCGGTGTACGAAGGTTGAAGGGTTGAGACGAAAGGATCGAAGACTCACCGAAGCGACGGGAAAATAGCATCCTAATCCAGAAGGTCGAAGGAAGAAGCCGGCGATAGGTATGACCAAGATGACCCAAATACAAAGCATTACTGAGGAAAGTGCGGACTTGCACTATTCCGTTGGATTACTCCCACCTAGCGCCACTTTCTTTTTCTTTTCGGAGTCATCGCCGACGTCGACGAAGTTTCGGAGGAGAGGAGCCCCCGAAATGGGACGCGCGCATTAGCTCGCGCCATAAATCATCGCCACACGAAGAACTGCTTGACGCTAGCCCGGCGATAGTTTCAACGTTGTATTAAAAGCATCCTGTCGTTTGGAAATAATTTACATCCGCTGCAGTTGCTCTACATTTGCCATTCCATCGGACGTGCCGGCGATTAGTTCCCCGAAACTCACTGGGTTTATGTAATTCGAACCGGCGAAATTGAAAGTTCTCCACGATAGACCTTTTGTAATGTTTATGGTGGTAAAACCCGCGTTGACACACGCAATCACTATTTTGTAACCATTAGTCTTCTGACCCGGATCTTCTTTCACCAACATTCAATAATTTTTTAACCTTTCATTGTTTGGATATCCTTCAAAAAACTTTCTTAAGTTTATTATTATTGAAATAATAATTAAATATTTTCAAATATTTGGACAATTCACACCGATGTTGATATTTTCCTCTCTATTTTTCTCTTTTTGCAAGCTCAATCGCATCATCTACTTCTACCATTCTCTCAATCTCACCCTGCAGAGCTGGGTTGAATTGTGCTGGGCTGGGTTGGGTTGGCCGAAGCTGAATCTTGCTGGTCCTACGGTTATTTGTGAGGAATAGGACACCGTCAAGGTGGCATTTATGGACTTTATGGACGTCTTGCTCTCTCTTTCACTTTTGCTCTTAATATTGAGAAAAATATGAAAACTTGATGAATTTCTTGCTTTTTTAAGTTGTTAATTTTTGTACAAAAAATTGCTCTCTTTCGCATTTGCGCTCAGATGCATAAATAATAATTGAAGTTTTGAAAATCGGTAGATGGACTCAAGATATTGGACTCGAGATATATTTAGGCTATTGTTTAATAATAATTTTTAATTTTCTTGTAAGAAATAATGCTAAATGTTCTTAAAATAATAATAGGATGTAAATGAAGACTGAAAGACGTCAAGTTAGTGAATAAGGAAATAATTTGAATTTCAACAAACACTTTTTCAATTATGTTGGTATTGTTAGTAATGGAAAAAATGCTGATTCTAGATACAGCTTAATTTTCTAATATACATCCTGTATTAAGAATGTTATTATTGTTCATCCTTTGTAATTCAAACAAGTATTTTAATCATTTTGTGATTTGAAATAGAGAGGTCTTTATACTAAGTCCAATTGTAATTTAGGTTTATTCGTTGAGGAAACTTGTTCAACAGCATTGCTTGTGCCACATATTAATACTTTGAGCAATTACCGTATTAAAAAGCTGTAAAGAGGTACGCATGTACCACCCCCACCAGTCTCGACAGATTGGTACGTTCGAAATAAATGATATGATAGAATGATTGCTAGATTCAAATTATAGAAGAAGGCAGGTTTGTTATTTGTACATGTGCTGGCATTCGGCTCTTGCGCGCAGTGGTGTGTGTTTGTGCCCTTTTCGGTCATCGCAGCCATAAAGTAAGTTGAAACACTTTAGACGTTTTGATATGTAACAATGATGAATTAAATGAAATAAATCGCGCGCGAATAAAAATAAATTTTTCATCAAATATTTTTGATTATTGGGTTTGAAATAACAATATGAAATAAGAAGAGGTTTTTCAAAAGACATTTTCTTTTTGGGAAAATGCGTTCGGAAATGCGATTTCCAATGCCCGAACTTCGGAATCGTTCCTGAATAGGTTTAGTATAGTTTAGATCAATTCAACACGTAGACGCGCCTTTCCTGATAGTAAAGGATATACAGATTAACGTCAATGATGGATGGATGGGGTAACCGCGTCTGGGTCCGGCCAATGGCGAAGTGTTCCATCGCTTCTCCCCAGTTTCAATTTTACGAAGGACATCCTTTATACCCGTAATTATTTTGCATTTGATAGCTTCAGCTCATCAGCTATAATAGATGCGCGTTAACGCTCCGTGGAGCGTCGAGCGTCGTTCGTCTCGTCTGGCTTTATTTTAAATCATAAAAATCATTTCTCTTTTTCAATTGCAGCTCGATAATTGGTACGAGGATGACTACGAAGACTCACACGTTATCGATTAATTTGGTTTAATACACATTTTAATAACGCAACAAACCTACACTACTAACAAAAATTAAAAAATATATTAAAAATAAATATATTTGATTTGTACTCGTCGTGATTAATTTTTATCAAAATTAAGCGAACTCAACGGACTAAAATGGCTGATAACGATGAAGAGGTTGAAGACTGCCTAAGAAACACAGTTAACTTAAATAGGCACTTCGAAGAATGTATCGAATTACCAACTACCACCAGCATATCCGTGCTGGCAAATCAAGTCCAACCAAAAACCACTGCAATTCCGGAACGAGGCACGTGGGGTAGCAAATTAGATTTTATCTTGTCGGTGGTCGGGCTTGCTATCGGCTTAGGAAACGTATGGAGATTTCCTTACTTATGCTACAAGAATGGGGGTGGTGCATTTTTGGTGCCTTATTTTATCACTTTGTTCTTAGCTGGTATACCAATGTTCTTCTTAGAGTTAGCTTTAGGACAAATGATGACCATAGGCGGATTGGGGGTTTTTAAAATTGCACCTATATTCAAAGGTAGTGATTAAACAATGATTTCTTTTTTTTTAATTTTTTCACCATTTAAAAGGAATTGGTTATGCCGCTGCTGTTATGTCATGTTGGATGAATATATATTACATTGTTATTCTTGCTTGGGCGATTTTTTACTTTTTCATGTCACTGCGATCGGGTAACTAAATAATTAAAATTAAAAAATTAAAAATATAAAATTAAATCATTTTAGATGTCCCATGGAGAACTTGTAATAATTATTGGAACACAGAATATTGTATAAACCCGTACGATCGGGGATCATTACACTGTTGGGATCATTACAACGAGAATAACACAATAGTAAAAATGTGTTCGTTAAATCAATACACAAATCTAACAATTTCTCAATTAACCGACCCGGTCAAAGAATTTTGGGAGTAATAAAAAAATAATCTTAAAAATAAATTATATTAACCAATTTTTTTATTTTAGGCGAAGAGCTTTAATGATATCCGCCGGGATTGAGCACGTAGGCGGGATTAGATGGGAATTAGCCGGAACTTTATTACTAGTCTGGATCGTTTGTTACTTTTGCATTTGGAAAGGGGTTAAATGGACCGGAAAAGTTGTTTATTTCACCGCTTTGTTTCCCTATATTTTATTAACGATCCTTTTAATAAGAGGAGTTACTTTACCGGGAGCTATGGAGGGAATTAAATTTTACGTAATGCCTAATGTAGCAAAATTAAGAGAATCGGAAGTTTGGATTGATGCCGTTACACAAATTTTCTTTTCATACGGTTTAGGATTGGGAACTTTAGTTGCTTTGGGGAGTTATAATAAGTTTACTAATAATGTTTATAAGTAAGTTCAAAAAATATAATCTTATATAATTATTTTTTTTTTATTTTTAGAGATGCTTTAATTGTATGTACAGTAAATTCAAGTACAAGTATGTTTGCTGGTTTCGTAATATTTTCAGTGGTAGGTTTTATGGCTCACGAACAACAAAAACCTGTAGCTGAAGTAGCTGCATCTGGTCCGGGGTTAGCTTTCCTGGCGTATCCTTCCGCTGTTCTTCAACTTCCGGGATCCCCTTTATGGTCATGCCTTTTCTTCTTTATGATCCTCTTAATCGGGCTTGATTCCCAATTTTGCACGATGGAAGGATTCGTGACGGCAATCATAGACGAGTGGCCACATCTTCTTCGGCGCAAAAAAGAGATTTTTATCGCCATAGTTTGCGCGATTTCTTATCTTGTGGGGTTATCGTGTATATCAGAAGGTGGAATGTACGTTTTTCAAATTTTGGATTCATACGCTGTCAGTGGTTTTTGTTTACTTTTCCTAATTTTCTTTGAATGTATCGCTATTTCTTGGGCTTTCGGTGTTGATCGATTTTACGATGGCATTAAGGATATGATTGGATATTATCCAATGAAGTGGTGGAAAATTTGTTGGACTATCACAACTCCTTGTATTTGTATTGTAAGTTTAACACCTTTAATCCAACCTCATCATAAAGCAAAAATGTATCATTTTTAGGGTGTTTTTATATTTAATTTGATTCAATGGACGCCGGTTAAATATTTAAATTATGAATTTCCATTGTGGGCACATCTTTTCGGGTGGTTTACGGCGTTGACATCGATGCTTTGTATTCCTGGATACATGATTTATGTTTGGGTAAAAACACCGGGGGATCGAAGAACCGTAAATAATTTGATGATTTTATATATATTTTATATGATTATTTTAATTTTTTTTAGAAAATAAGACTTCTTGTGCGTATAGATAACGATATTAAAACACTGAGAGCGAAGATGCACGCAACGAGTATGTCAACGCAAGTTTAATACTGAAAGAACCTTAAAGATCGCAACTTACAGTGTTCATATAACTTTCTTTGGGAATACACACCAAATCAAATCAGATAACGAGTTTTAAACGAGTTTTAGATGATAAGCCGATCGTAATTTTTTTTCTTATTTATATACGTTGTATAATTCGTCATTATTATTATTATTACCTTCTTCATATTATTTTTTTGTTTCGTTTTGTTGCTAGTTTCTACTGTAACCGATCGTGTAGTAATTTTTTGTTCATCTTTACGCAACAGTATTCACGGGATCGTTTTATTTATGTTTTAAATGTATAAAGTGTATCGTAGATGCAATAGAATTTATCGCATATCAAGTTATTTAAACATGCTCTAACGATTATTATAACAGTTGAGTATAAATAATAAAAACATTGAGTACTATTTTCCTTTCTTATTAATAACCACCATAATATTCGATTAGTAGACTAAATTATTGACGTGTAAAATGTTTTCAGATGGGTGGGCAGGAGAGTTGTCTAAAAGCAGTAAACACTCAAACTCTCGAAACTTCCTGACTGAAAATTATGTTGCTATCCCTAATTTTGATAAAATCATAACTGTCCAACGAACATAAGTTATGTGAAGTTTAACCCTTTGAGTCCCAAGAAGTCAAACATTTTGAAACTTTGTGACAGAATTAAAACGCTATCAAAATACACTCAGTAAAGGCCTTTGGAATACAAATTTAGCAAAATATGCAATCCCCCTATTTTCGCATAATCTAAGTGTCAAAAAAGATGCTAATTCAAAAATTCCTGGAAACCGTGTTTATTGAAATTAAGAAATAAAACTTATTTTAAATTGAAGCTTAAAGCTTTCTCGTTAAATCGATGTATAATAATCGATGGGTTGAATTAGAAAAATATTGAGAAAAAGAGTATTGAGTTAAAACTTACATTTTCGTATAAGCTAAGAGTGTCAAAAAAGATGCTAATTTAAAAATTTCTGGAAGCCGTATTTATTGAAATTAAGGAATGAAACGTATTTTAAATTAAAGCTCAAAACTTTCTCTTTAAAATGATGTATAATAATTGTTGGATTGGATTGGAAAAATATAGAGAAAAAGGAAGTTGAAATAAAACTTACATTTTCGTATAACCTAAGAGTGTCAAAAAAGATGCTAATTTAAAAATTCCTGGAAGCCGTATTTATTGAAATTAAGGAATGAAACTTATTTTAAATTAAAGCTCAAAGCTTTCTCTTTAAAATGATGTATAATAATTGTTGGGTTGGATTGGAAAAATATAGAGAAAAAAAATGTTGAAATAAAACTTACATTTTCGTATAACCTAAAAGTGTCAAAAAAGATGCTAATTTAAAAATTCCTGGAAGCCGTATTTATTGAAATTAAGGAATGAAACTTATTTTAAATTAAAGCTCAAAGCTTTCTCTTTAAAATGATGTATGATAATTGTTGGGTTGGATTGAAAAATATAGAGAAAAAAATGTTGAAACAACACTTACATTTAAAAGAGTCAAAAAAGATGCTAATTTAAAAATTCTTGGAAGCCATGTTTATTGAAATTACGGAATGAGATTTATTTTAAATTAAAGCTCCATGTTTTCTTTTTATAATGATCTGTAATAATCACACCTAATAACCATTTATCAAAGAAATACCTGTTTGAACAACAAAATTCAACTGATTGCAACGTTTTTTATACAGATTCTTTGTTGTATTTGTATACATATACATGTATATACAACAGTAGTAGAAAGTACCGTCAGCTTTAAATGCGCCTTTAAAGTAACTACCGGTACTTTAAAGTACCGTCGGGACACAAAGGGTTAAAGCGAGATTTAAATCAGTAACTAATTGATTGAACGAACGGACTATTATGCACTGTTTTATTCATAAATTTTACCTAGTTGCCTTTTTATTGCTTCGAAAGAATGGGACCCCCACTTAAAAGTTTATTTCGAAATTTAGGATTAAATTGTTATTAATAAAATAACTTTATTATTAAATAAAATATTTATTATAAACAATAAGAATGTAACGAAATTAAGATAAAATTAATTTAATTTAGTTTAGCGATAAAATTTTAATTTATTTTGATATTATTTTAATGTTAAAAAAATTATTTTAGTATTGCCGATAAAGTAGATAATCGACATATCATCTTGTTGTCAGTTGTCAAAAATCAATGTCGAACTGTCACAAGAAGGGTGTCAGTTCGATATTAAATACTTTAAGTACCATTTTTTGGTTTCTACCTATAAGATATAAAACAAATGTGATAGTTTAGCAACAATAATCTAAATTTTAAGCGTCGATTCCGGTGTAAGTAATAAAAATGCATCTTAACGCGGATATTTCGAGCGCCCTGCAGCTGTTAGAAGACATCAAACAAACGGTTGATGAACTGGACGATCCCAAAATCCAAACAAACACCAGCCAGGATATAAATTTATTAATTTCTGTGTTAGAAAATCCCATCTTTAGAAGTATAGTAACCGTACAAGATTCATTGAGTGAGTTAAATCAACAGTTAGGTCAACATCCATCAATTCTCCCCGTTGATTTTGATATCACCCCGTCTGGCGAGTTAGTTTTAAACGTCCCACCGGGCGGCGAATTATACGACCATGGGTATGGGGAAGCTTATCCCCATTCAAGAGATTTCGATGAGCAACGCGTCCCTTCAGCTCCAGCCTCTCCAAATTCGCCGCAAATCCACGGTTTTAACGATGATAAAATGGTTATGATTGATGGAAAACCTTTGGATTCTAATATTTCCCATCAAGAGGTGAGTTTGATATTTTTAAGTGGATGTCCCTTTTGTCTGTATTTGTTATTAATATCCTGATCCTAGGCCTTACGCATATTGCATAAATCCCCAGCTATGGTTCTAATGCCCCGTCCAGACGACGATGTTATTCACAGATCCCCATCGGCGGTTAGTGACACATCCAAAGCCGGATCAGACAGCTTATTGGGCACTGAATGGGCTCAAGTTGAAGCGATTGACCTACTTAACGATGGAACTGGGTTGGGATTCGGTATTGTTGGAGTTCGCACAATGGGAGTCGTCGTTAAAACGATATTACAAGGAGGAGTTGCTGATAGAGATGGGAGATTACAAAGTGGTGATCATATATTACAGGTAAAATTCTTTATTCGATCAACTTACAGTGTTAATTTATTTTTTTTTATAGATTGGAGATGTAAACGTACACGAGATGGGTTCAGAACAAGCAGCCAACGTATTACGTAAAACCGGAAGTGATGTTAGGCTTGTAGTTGCAAGACCCGCAGATACGACATCGCCTGAGTATAAATATTTAAGTTCGACAGCGCCGTTAGTTCCAACTCGTTTGTTAACGCAACCGAAAGAATTAGATCGTTATTTAATACAACATAAATATTCGCCTATATTCCAAAAGCAATCAGATAAATTCAACGAGTTTTTGTACGAACAACAACCCAAAAATTACATGGCAAGTTTACCCCGAATCCCAGCATCCCCATCTTTACCATCATTAAATTTAGATATGGCCATGAAAATGCCCGAAATGGAAAAATTCAACGTCGAGTTAAAAAAAGATGCTAACGGGTTAGGTATAACAATAGCCGGTTACGTATGTGAGAAGGAAGAAATATCGGGAATTTTCGTTAAAAGTATCTGTAAGGGAAGCGCGGCGGATTTAAACGGAAAAATACAAGTTAACGATCGAATTGTTGAAGTGGATGGCATGTCTTTGCAAGGATACACTAACGTTCAAGCGGTAGAGGTACTTAGAAGTAGCGGAAATGTAGTTAATCTTTGTTTGGAACGATACCTTTACGGCCCAAAGTACGAACAGTTGCAGAAAGCAATTGCTGCCAACGAAATGAAACCGTCTACACCCACTAGCCCTCCTCAAACAACACGGTAATAAGCCTCCCAAAAAATATGAGAATAAAAAACCAACACAATTAAAAAAAAATACACAAAAAAAACACTTTTCTCTTTCAAACTACTCTAAACTTAACTTTATCTAATCGCACTTATCCAATCCATTAATTTTTATTTATTTTGATTTGATTAATAAAATTATTAATTTATTTCTTTATTATTTACCTTTTTTAAATTTTTTTTTTAAGTTTTATTTATTTTCACGATTAATTTCAGATACCAAAAATCAACGGATGACGAAGAATTTGAGCCGGTTGAAGCTCAAAACGAACATTTGCGGTTTTGCGATGCCGAGTTCACGCCGGCGATTGAAGAAACGATTAAAACGAAATGGCAACAACTAATGGGCCCCGATACGGAGATTGTCGTTGCTAATTTAACGAAATTTGGTGAAAGAGGGGGTTTAGGAATTAGTCTTGAAGGCACCGTTGACGTTGAGGACGGCCAAGAAGTCCGTCCGCATCATTACATCCGCTCGATTTTACCGGAGGGACCCGTTGGCAAAAATGGTAAATTAAAATCGGGCGATGAATTGCTTGAAGTGAACGGACATCGATTATTAGGGATGAATCATCACGAAGTTGTTAGCATTTTAAAAGAACTGCCCATCATTGTACGAATGGTGTGTGCTAGATCCACAAATAATGCATCTAGTTATAGAGTTAGTCAAGGATCGCCATTTTCAGAGAGGGGGGCATTGGGTGGTAGTTTACAAAATCTTCAACCAGCTTCTGATAGATTGGTTAAAGCTAAATCGGATGGTTCAATAGCTACAAGTATAACATCGGCGGGAAATGGTGATACATCCTTCAATAAAATTAAATCAAGATCGTTAGAACCCTTAACAGGCTTAGCAATGTGGAGTTCTGAACCGCAAATAATCGAATTGGTTAAAGGCGAACGAGGGTTGGGTTTTTCAATATTGGATTATCAAGATCCTATCGATTTGAATGACACTGTTATAGTAATTAGAAGTTTGGTACCTGGTGGTGTTGCTCAATTAGATGGGCAATTAATTCCTGGTGATAGATTACTTTTTGTAAATGATACAAATTTAGAAGACGCTACATTGGATCAAGCTGTTCAAGCGTTGAAGGGGGCGCCGAAAGGTATTGTTCGTATTGGTGTAGCTAAACCACTGCCAATTCCAGATACCGTCGTGCATAATGCACAACAGGTAGACTCTGAACCAAGATCTCTCGCACCTAGCATTTTTAAAGATTGATATAAAAAATGAACCTCTCTTATCTAAATGATTAATTTTAATTTTTTTCTTTTAAATTTTTATTAAGTATATCACACCATCCCCTCCGAATTTTCGTCCTTTTTATGGTCGTTCACCTTGAACATGGTGATAATTTTTATATATTATTTTCTTTTTTATTAATATTTTTAATGTGCGGTTGTTTGAAATATTTATATGCATATCATAACCTAACACACATTTTAACTGTTTGTTAAACATTTCTAATTCTCAATATACCGTTTCTCTTGTTACATCAAATAAATATTACAACTTAGATTTTACTATTATTTAAGAAAAATTCTATTGTACCGAACTGATAATAAAATTTACGAAACAGTTGATCTTTTGTATTATTTTCTTCATGTTTGAGTATTTAAGGGGGGAGAGAAACGATATTAAGTTTTAAAAAATACTCTATGTTCTTGGCCTTACCTGCGCTCTTTAGGTCCGTTTATTAATTACACGATGTTTATAATAAATGCCACAAAAACTGTAAGAAAATAAGATATCCACAGTGTTTTATCATGAAAAATTGATTAATTTTGGTCGTTTTAAGTAAGTTCTATTGGAAGCTTAATTTCTTACCTTTGTTTACTTCGTAGACGTTGGCTGCCTCAAGTTTTATTCCAAATTTTTCTCAATATTTACGCATCTGAGAACAAAACTGAAAGAACGCAATATTGTTAAGAATGAAATGTGCTACATACTTCTTTATAAAAGTTTTTTTGTAGTAAACTCCGAATACAAAGTTTTTTATCATGAAAAATTGATTAATTTTGGTCGTTTTAAATGAGTTATATTAAAATGTTAATTTCTTACCTTCGCTTTATCCGATCCAAAGCTTTGCAATGCTTGAAATAAAAAGAATCCGATCCATTATGATTCAAACGTATGCTGAACCTAGAAAATCTAGAATGAAATTAATAAATTCGTGTATAATGGTCAACTAAAATTACCCAAAAGCAACAACACAAATAATTTAGAATTTTTTGGGACGTGAAGATATCGTGTTAGTCAAACTGGCAACAATAAAGGCGCCAAATAATGTGAGAAATCCTGTCCAATAAAAAATTTTATTGGACTTATTAGAATAATGTGAAAGGAACAAGAGGTTAAATATGTTATTAATTAAATTATGAAGTGCAATCATCGCTTTTATTTATTTATCAACATTTTTTCATTTAAAAATAAAACCTTAAGGAGACGATTGTTACTTGACTATATATATATTATCCAAAAACCAATATGAAATAATTACAAGAAAAGAATATTTAACAACAACTTGTTAGAGACAAAGTTCACAAATAACTCTATACAAATATATATCCCCTACTTATACTTTATATACAGTAGTTAGAACATTAGAATTGATGGATTAATGTTACTAAATATTTATATATCAAGTCGTTTTGTAATAATTTATTTGACGTTTTAGATTATAAAATATTTTAATTAAACAAAAATTTACATCCCGTAATATACAAGCTTTATTATATGTTAATTAATTAACATAAGACAGGTACTTGATGAAATGTATTAGCAAAACTGAAAGTTGTTAAACGTCAAATAAATATATTCTAAATTTAATTCTAATATAGTGTGTGTATAAATTATCTCATCATACAACATATTTATGCGGTTCTAAAAAAATTTATACCTCAGCCGCGAATTATCTCCAACAATTTACCTTAAATGTTAAAAATATACTTCTATTAATTAGCCTTGTTATACAGATAACTATTTACACAGCCTTGGTATTAATGTAGTTAGAGTAAAGCAGATTTGGTGAAACAAATTCGTTTCCAGGACAATTTGTAGACACACTTTATAAAGATTAATTACCTACATACATGCAAAATAAACAATATTAACAAGCTTTTAATCTAAAGTGAAAAACGAGGATTATTTAAGAACGTCTCATGTTTAACATTGTATTTATTTCATATATAATTCTTCTCAAATGATCGATAACTTCTTTCATTTGTTTATTTTTCTGCACAACCTGTTCCATAACTTCCTTACTTTCTTCACAAATTAATCTATAAGCTTCCGAATTTTTCTTTTCATCATACTTAGGATCAATTTCATCTTTAAACGGTATTAAACTCTCAATATGCGTATATTCCATCCCTTGCAATTGGCAATTATCATTACACTTTTCATAGATCAATCTTAATCTTTTAAATAGTACCCTTATGGTCCTCAATTGTTCTTGTATCTTCGCTTTTTTATCGTTGCTTATATTTGTACCTTGTGGTGTGCCATTTGGAGGTTGAATTGTTTTTAAGGTTTGAAATACTTCTTGGGTTCTACTATAAATATCTTGGACTGTTTCTTGTCCAAATCTACATATTGAAGCTGTGTTAAACTCTTTATTTGGTTGTTGTTGAGGTTGTGCGGGGGTTGGAGGAACAGCGTTAGTTTGTTGCATCACAGGAGGCTGTGCTTGTTGCATTGGATGATGAGCCATCCCCGTCATTGAATTTGGAGGGATTTGCATTGGATTAGGTCCTTGATGTTGTGGCATTTGACTAGGTCCATTCATTGTATATTGTTGATTCATTTGCGCCATCATTTGGCTGTTTAATGGATTTCCCATCGGAGTCATCATGGGATTATTCATTTGAGGTGGCATTTGATTTGGCATTGGTACAGGCATTTGATTCCCAAGTTGAGCACCCATTTGAGTTTGCATTGGCGCCCCCATTTGCGCTTGCATCGGGCCGGTACCAAATTGAGATCGCATTGCGCCTTGCTGAGGATTTAAACCTGGTAAAAAGTGATGTTGAGGTGCCGACATTTTCGTATCTTTACTTTTTTAGATATTACTCTTCGATTTATATACTTTGTCTTTTATCACAGCACTAATTTATTTATTTTTGTTCTTGTTTTGTACACTAACATATTGGTTTTTAAAACGTATTTATCAGATCATAACATTTTGACAGGATTAGTTACTGCCGTTGCGACATCTAGTGATCACTTTTAGTATGATGAAACAATATCATTGAATTTCTTCGTTTATTACTTTTTTATTTCATTAATTTATGATGTATTTTATAAACAACTTAGTTCTTATTTAATATTTAACATTTTTGTTTCATTATTACCCTTGTTTTATTGTATTCTTATTAATTTAGGGATTTTTTATTTTTTATGTTTGGAGCTACTAGTTCTTCCTAAATAAACATATCTGGATTTTATTAGCGATAATGGTGGGAAATATCAAACATAAGCAATTTATAACCTTGATTATTTACGCATATTGTTATACAAAACAATCGTTCGTCTTTTTGCAATCAACAGATGGCGTTGTTAGGCAAAAATTACTTTTTGTAGATTCCGCGAACTCTCTAAATTAATAATTAAATAAATTAAAACTCTTGCGACCAATCTCACACTTATTAAAATTGAATCAACGATGAATAAGTAAAGAAATTAATAATAAAAAACATGACATTGCATTCATTGTTGGTAAAAAATAAATTATTATTTTCACAATATTTTTAACATATTCGATCAAGTACCATTGATTAGCTTCATTATCGGTATTTCTAAAGTATCGATAAAATGTTTTTAATCAAATTCAAGTATAAATGTTTAAATAAAAAGATAAAACAATTTCTTTTTTAATCAAACTGACGTGTTTCATGATAATTCGAAGTTGATTTTGTGTTGACAAGTTGACGTTGATTATCTACTTTATCGGCATTTTTAACAGATCGATGAATTAATGAATTATGATTAAATTAACATAATTAAAACATTCTCGCGTCAATTAATTATTATTAATACATCGTTGGTATCTTTAATCTTGTTAGGGTAAAACGAAGTTTTCAGTAACATTTGGTTGGTAATCTGTAATACAGAATTAATGTCGGTTCCTTTGATGTTGGAGGAATCGTATTTTTTGACCTCGATTTAAATTCCGCCATCTTTAAAAAGGGAATGCAACATCACTCGCTGTGCTTCTCTGGAGAGAACCTTCTAAAACATGGCGGATAAAGTTTTGGCGGGACACCCCCAGTGTCCTATCTGGTTATTTTGCGTCTGTAGATAACCTGTCTCATTACAGACCTTGCGTTAAAGACAGCTGAGTGAGATTCGGTGTCAAAATAATAATGATTTCAATTCGAAAAACGTCGCCGTTACTTTAAACGATGTGAATGAAACGGGCACGAAAACGTTTTAAAACCCATTGAAAATGCCACAGCAGCCTCAAGAGAAAGAATCTCAAAGTGTCGTTTCGACACCAAAAGGGGGAAAATGTGAGGAAAAGAAGTCAAAAACTCTTCTTCACATAATCCCCAAGTTGCCATCAAGTGATTCACTCAGTAATAGCCCCGGTCCTGCTTCTCCTGGTAAGGAAAATCTTTCTACGTCCAGAGATGTTATCAATTTTTCGCTAATTGGTCTTTCTTTAGAACGCCAAGATTGCTTGTTGGTCGATAAAGTAAGTTCGTTTTTAATATTGCAAATCAAATTGTTTTATATTCTTTTGTACTAATGTAAACATATTAATTTTTAATTGCAAGTCTACTGAGAATGCGGTTAAGTTAGCACGTAAAGAATCATATAAAGTGCAGAGAAAACATTATCGGAAAGAAAAGAAAAGAATGACAAACGAGCTTTTAAGTTCATTAAAAGATACGTCTGTGGTTGTATTGGCGGATTGGTTAAAAATACGAGGCACACTAAAATCATGGACAAAACTTTGGTGTGTCTTAAAACCTGGTTTGCTGTTATTATATAAAACTCCAAAAGCTAAGAGCAACCATTGGGTTGGAACAATATTATTAAACTCGTGCAAAGTGATAGAAAGACCAAGCAAAAAAGATGGGTTTTGTTTCAAATTATATAACCCCTTAGATCAAAATATTTGGGCACCACGGGGACCAGAAAATGAAACAATTGGTTAGTCTAACTATTCTATGATTGTTACATGTCAAATTAATACATTTTAACATTACCATCTCAAATTTGTCTCCTTTATCTCCTTTTTTATAAAATTCCAACTTAAAATCATTTTGTTCTTGATACAAATTAAGTCTCAATTTAAGTTTGTTCTCACTCTAGAGTCGTTAACTCACAATCTAACACCTTTATGAATGCAAATCCAAGTTTATTCCGTATTATTTTGTGTGGAATTCATTGGGAATATTATGTACACAAAAAAACACATAAAATTACGTCATTCCTTTATTCCTTTTGTAAACATTATAGGAGCTATTGTTCTAAAAAACTGTTACAAAGGTAGTATTTTTGTGGAAATACTGGAAATATCTACTTATTTATCTAAATAATTCTAATTTATCCTTTATTATTATTTTTTTTTTGGTAATCATTAATTTTATTTTAATTGGAATCTTTTAAACACTTCAATCAAATTCTTAACTCATTACTTTTATTGAACTAATACTACTATCTGTGCAAAAAGATCTCACTTTAGAGATCGATATCTTCGCAACCGCTCCATAAAAAAAATTGCAACAAAATTTGTTGTAATCACTGAACATTTCTACGTAACTTATGTTAATCTGAAAATTTTCGGATCCACGGTTTTCTTGTTACCGCGAGTTAAATGAAAATTGTACCCGATTTTTTACGGAATTGGCAACTTTATCAACTTTGCGATTTTTTTTCTCGAAAACTATCGTACGAAAAAATTTTAATTTTGAATAGGTGGTAGTCTGATGTGTTCTCAATGAGTGGCATGAAAACGGTTGGGTGGATTTCTTCGCGGATTTGACCAAAATATGTCAAATAATGTTGGTTGTCGGATTCCGTTATCAGTTTTTCAATATTAAGGCTCTCTATTTTTTTAAGAGCGATTTAATGGAATTACAAATGACGTCGCGCCTTATTTCTTTATGTAGGCAAGATAAAGGCGCGACGTACTGTCTGGGACGCACCATCTGTTCCGATTGGACGGAACCTTCCTCTCCCCGCATAGCTGATTTCTGTTTCTCTTTAATTTGTAATTCCATTAAATCGCTCTTAAAAAATTAGGGAGCCTTATTTTTGAAAAACTGATAACGGAATCCGAAAATCCGCGTTATTTGACATATTTTGGTAAAAACCGCGTTGAAATTCGCCAGGTCGTTTTCGAAATAACAGCATCCTACTAAATCGCGATTTTCCGCGAAACTATATGGAATATCGAAAAAATAAAATATGCCCCACATTAAGAACACATCGGTTTACCACCAGTTCAAATTTGAAATTTTTTCGTCAAATAGTTTTGGAGAGAAAAAATGGCAAAGTAGACAAAGTTGTTGGCACTCTCAAAAATCGGGTACTTTTTTCACTTAACTCGCGATAAAAGTAAAACCGCGGACCCGAAAATTTCCAAATTAACATGTGATACGCAGAAATGTTCACTGATTACAATAAACTTTACAGCAATTTTTTCCATCGAGCGGTTACGGAGATATCGATCTCTAAAGTGAGGGGCCTTGACTTTTTGCACGGATAGTAGAACTAAAAACATTCGAGTTCTAGGTTTAGTGTTAGTTCTACTTTTAATTGTAATTCAGCGCTGACGTCACGAACGGGCCTTCGAGCTATACACCTGTTTCCAGGATGTATTCTACCTTCCTTGGTAGAGCAACGGTGGGGATTTGTGTGCATTAAAAGTATTCATATAACGGGTACTCCCTTCTCCGTATTAATCCGTTATATCGAGGTTTTACTGTTTTATATCAAATATGATCAATTTTGTACAAAACGTTGAGTTGCTTCTTCCAAGGAAAAGAAATTGGAGTAATCGGTACCGAAAAGATAAGATAATTATTTGGCATAATCTCCATATTATTAAGTTACAAATTAAAAATAATATATATATAATGTAAAAAAGTTGTATTATTCGATACATAAAAATGAAGTCAATAAATGAACTGGAGCCATGCACATCATTTACTAGAACACCGACCTGACCCGCCTTTGACCTAGTCAGGTGGTCAAAGGCGGCTCGGGTCGGTGTTTTGATTTTTCGTATCTGGCACATCATCCAAGTATAAAGATTTATTTGTTTATACATGGTATAAGACCGACCCGACCCTCCTTTGACCTAGTCAGGTGGTCAAAGGCGGCTCGGGTCGGTGTTTTGCTTGCGGTGTACATATCTTAATTTTTTCTGATTTGACGATCTTGCCTTGTTGGTTTCTCTGTGGAAATCTCGACTACATTCTCATGGTTCGCGCTTCAAGAATCTTTAAATTATCCTTACCTTCTCTTTTTGAAACTTCTTGGGTTGATTTCAGCCGAACTTCATCCTGTGTCTTTCTCCGCTACTTTATTTCATTTCAGTTCTAAGTAAAATAAGTTTTTTCTAAAAATTTGAGATGATAAAATAAATAAAGTGTATTGATTCAAAAACTTGGTGAGTAAAAACATTTTTTTAAGGGGCTGTCGTACAACCTTTACCTACATCATACTCAATTTTTCGAGCATCTTCTCAAGCGTCGGGAATGTGTTGGTTAGACGCGTTAGAAATTTCGATAAGAAACGACGCCGCTTTGGTTCGTTCGGCTAATAAAGCAAGTATTGGAAGTACTAGTCATGAAACGCAATGGTCTGAAGCCGATTACGAAAAACATTTTGTTCATGGTAATTTAATTTAGTTTAAATTTAAATTAACTCCGTACGATTCGAAATCAGAAATATTCGAAACACTCCCGGATAAGCATTAGTAATTATTTCGGAATTTTATTCCGCAAGTTTGAGTCATGTCATTTAACTTTTGTAAGAAGAACGGAGTTAATACTTGTACTTCAAAATCATTGTGTGTTTGAAAATAATTAAATATTTTTTTTTAGATTTAGATGATGTTAGTCAACCGGATAATGGTACTCATTTTTGTGCCGCGGATTGTGAAATAAGTGATACAGACTCGGATGTCTCAGGAAAAGAGGAGTATATTGATGATGATCCAGTAGAAACGCCTTATGTACCAAACGTTGAAGAAGAATTGGGAGATGTAAATATTTTTTAATATTGTTTATGTTAATTTTTTTTTTGTATTCTTGTGTTTTGAGGCTGGTGCTCAAGTTGAAGAATTAGCAGATGAACACAAATCATTAATTTGGTATCTTGTGAAACAAGTTCGTCCGGGAATGGATTTGAGCAAAGTTGTTTTGCCTACTTTTATTTTAGAGCCGCGTTCGTTTCTTGATAAACTCACCGATTCTTACTACCACGTTGATATTTTATCGCGAGCCGTTTTAGAAGATGACGCTTTTACTCGGATGAAAACCGTCGTGAAATGGTACCTTTCCGGTTTATACAAAAAACCGAAAGGATTAAAAAAACCTTATAACCCGATTTTGGGGGAAACTTTTCGTTGTTATTGGCTACATCCAAACGGTTCGAAAACGTTTTACGTCGCCGAACAGGTTTCTCATCATCCACCGGTTTCTGCATTTTACGTTACGAATCGTATGGATGGCTTTTCAATTTCCGCTTCAATACTCGCAAAATCGAAATTTTATGGCAACTCAACCTCTGCGATTTTAGATGGTACTGCTGTTTTAACTCTTTTACCGCGTGGTGAAAATTATACATTAACCGTCCCTTACGCCCATTGTAAAGGTATATTAATGGGTACCTTAAGTATGGAATTAGGGGGTAAAGTAAACATAGAATGTGAAAAAACCGGTTATCAAACTGAAATTGAATTTAAATTAAAACCTTTTTTGGGGGGAACCGAGCATACGAATTGCATAACGGGTAGATTAAGACTGGGGAAAGAAACTCTTGCCACTTTAGAGGGATTTTGGGATGGTGTTATTAATATAAAAGATCGTCGAACGGGTGATACTCAAATTTTTTGGAACCCAACTTCGGCTATTCGTAAAAGTCGCCTTCTTCGACATACAGTTCCGGTGGATCAACAGGGTGAGTTTGAATCGGAACGTCTTTGGCAGCACGTTTCGGCAGCTATCTTGAGAGATGATATGAACGCAGCTACTGAAGAAAAGACTACTTTAGAAGAAGCCCAACGTGCTTCGTCGAAAGAACGCAAAGCGAAATGCGAAGATTGGATTCCGATTCATTTTCAACAAGACTTAAAATCCGGACAGTGGGTTTATAAACATTCCGATTTACGGCCGTGGGATCCTAGAAATGATTTGTATCAGTACGAACATGATTTTTTGATTTCCACGCGAACCAGACACCCGACGCCGATGATAAGAACGTCGAGTTTAACGAGCATGCAAAGACAAGATGCTGCTATGAAGAATAATAAGCGTAGTTTTGATGGGGATGGACACGATACCGGGACGGAATCTGAGGAATATCATTCCGATTCAACTCAAAGTGTTAAAATCAATAAAACTACATCAAATAATACGTAAGAAATTAAATAAAAAAAATTAAATAATTTTAAACAATTTTTTATTTAAGAATTTTAACAGCAATTTCCGAATTGCAAAATAATCTTCAAGAACACAGCAACCGGATACAAAAGTTGCAGGAAAGTTTAACCAGACACCTGGAATTGGAAAAAAATCGTACAAATTACTTACTCGCAATCATTATTCTATTTGGTATTTTACAAGCAATGGTATTTTATTATTACAGTTAAAAAAATATATATAATGGGACACCTCAATTCACCTCAACAATCAAAGGCAGAAAGGAAAATCAAGAGGTCGTTTTTTCGATATTTATTAATATAATCGTGTACTGAGCTTTTTTTTATAAAACACACCTAAAAATTTACTAAGAAACTACGTTATATACACATAATTATATTCATATATGAAGAAAGAAATAATTCCACAATTTTTAATATATATAAAAATATTTATAAATAACGCTGAGTCTAAGTACATAATTTTTTTAAGATTGCGGTAATTAATTTTTATATTGAGCCAACATCTGGATACCTTTGCAATACATATTATAATTAGTTGAGTTGCAATGCTATTATTTACCACATTCTTCAATAAAATATGTATAAACCCAGCGAATATATAAACACCGTCTATATGCAAAATGTCCAATATTTTCTTTTTGTGTTTTTATTTGTGTTTTTTGTTCAGGCCTATGTCAATATTTATTATTGTAAATATAACTTTTATTATTCTTGTTGAATATTTTTGTTTTTCTTTTACTTTCTCTCTTTCCTTATCAATTCCCTACGACGATGTGATTTCTCATCCAACTTGGATTTTCTTTCTTCTAGCATATTGCAGACTGCCTTCTTCTCTAAAGCTTATTTCTAGCTAATCTTATTTCTAAAAGATTCCAATTTCTTTACATTCTGGGCACTTTTCAAGATTTCTACTTCATATGTCAACTGAGACGTTATTATGTTATTCGTAACTGCCTGGCGAACACTTCTCTCAACCAGGATCTTTTGCGTCAGCATGTCGTTACTCAGTTTGACCTGGTCTAAATGTGTTGGACAAGGTTAGAGTATATTGGAGGGGGTAAATAAAATATTAATTTTATAAAAAAAGGATTTTATTAATAATAAACACACAAGAGATTCTATTTTAAACATATTTACATTGAGGCTTAAGAATGCCAAAAGATCTAGAGAGAACCTAACGAATTAATGATAGTTGCTAAAATTTACAAAAATACGTTTGTTTAACATTTATTAATAATAGAATGTAAATAATCACAGAGAAAATATGATGCAGAGTCTTTATTTATAACGGAAAAATTATAAATAAATACTCTATTTATATCTGGAGAATGTTATTTTGTTACATTCCTAATATTACAAAGATTCTTTTAATCTTTTCATTACCTACAACGAACAAAAAAAATGGTTAACATTTTATATAAACTTTAACATTCATCCTTTCAACATTACGTAATCTAATATATTAATATATGTTATAAAAAATACTGGCCCAAAATCGTGACCAAAAAAATAAATTGACTAGTTTTATTACTTCTTTGATTGTTTCTTAAAAGTGTTGTGTAAATTGTAGATATGTTGAGCGCGTAAATGGCCGAAATGTTTGTGATACCATTCCGGCATTTTACCTTTAACATCCACCCGTGACATATGTATTATTTTTGAAGAATGTGATCCTGATGGTTCTATTAAATATCGTGATGCTAAAACGATTCCTCTTACGGAGTTTGGTATGGTCATTGAATCTTTGTGTTCAACGGAAGTTTCAACTAATAAACAACCACCTTTTCCTATATCTTTTTTCCAACTACGAATAACACAGTAATCTTCTAAAGGAAGTGGATTTACATTTCTTCGGGTATATTGAAAAATATCCGTGCACTCATCAACCTGAGAAATAGTCCTGGTCGAATCAAGTTCCTCATCCCAAAGATGACGTTCTTTAAGTAATCTGTTTAAGATTTCTATTGGACTAGCATCAACTTCTATGGTAATTTTCCATAACCTTAATGGATGTGAATCGGCGACTTTTTTATAAGAAATTTCAATCTTCTCGAAATGACTTGGAATCAAAATCCATCCCCTAGCTTTTTCTTTTACTTCATTCAACAACGCCGATTGACACTTTTCTAAGTAAGATCTCCACTCGTCGTTGTTCTCGACACTTAAAGGAACCAACTTAACTTCGCTAAAATTACACTGATTTAATAAATCAGTCGGAACGTGAAACAATTTATCAAAATTTTTTATTAGGAATAATAAACATTCATGGGCCGCTTTGTTTTCGTCCAATTCTTTTGGATGAGGAATACCCGTAACCTGTCTGTTTACCACTTGGTTGTGATGAAACAATGTTGGAGCGAAACACAAAGCCAAATTACTTTCATTCATTTGATTTTCCGACGAATATTCAGCTATTTTACTCAAAAAATTTAATAATACTTCAAGTACTTGGCGGTGTTCATCCGGCATTAATAATAATCCACATAAAACGGCTTCTTTGCGTAATTGAATTGGTATATCTAATTCAAAAATAAATTATTACTTTAATAATTGTTTAATTTCATTAATTTAAACTTACGTTGAAAGATAGATATAAAAGTTTCGGATAACTTATTGGTTAATACAGCTTCAGGTAACTCTCGAAAATATTGTTTGACGGTATCAGCGACATCATAAGCTTGGTGATCGTTAAAATTAATGTTCTCACCATATTCTTCAATGACTGTTTTAAGGTGTTGAATCCTCGATCGAACCCCGGGTTTTCGAAAAATCCCAACATTATTCGCAGCGTTTTTAACTAACCAAATAAGAGCTTCTTCGATTCCTTTCGGAAGTGGTAAACCCGTTTTTTGAACGATTACGGTTATAGGAACTCCAAAAATAAGTTTATCTTTAAATTTAAAAAAATTATATAAAATAAATAGAATAAAACCTTGATATTACGGACTCATGTACAGTGTGTTAATTAATCATTGCAAGTATGCAACCAATATCACAGTATTGATTTTGCAATACGCGATTTGCGTATTCAGATATATTCAGTGTGATATTGGTTGCATACTTGCAATGATGACGTCGGGTACGATAATTAATTAACACACTGTAGATACCAAGTCACTTACAAGAAGACAAACCGCCGAGGTCGCTTGCTGGCGAGGCGCTAGAATGCTCCAAAGTGATGATTTCGTATTAATCCAACGCCTCGTCCGCAAACCTCGGCGATTTGAGATTAAATCGATCCTTATATTTTTTGCTATATAAAACTTATAGAGAATTATACCTTTATAAGCAGGACATTTAATTTTTCTTATAAATTTTGAGATATCCCAATTCCAACCCGTTTTATGTGTTGGGCAATATTTTTCCATGTGAGCAGTTAATTTGAGCAAAGCTAATTTTCGAAGGACTTGGAGTTGATTTGCCGATAAAGTGTAAATTGGGCGCCCTCCTTCTTCAATTTCAGTTGGCACTTCGTCGAAATCTTCGCTTGTTTGATGACTTGGCCATAACAAACTAAATATAAATTTAAATTAAATAAAAAAATTTTTTTTTTGATATTTACTTACGTATCGTTTGGGTTTGTTAATTGTAACCACGTTTCAGTTTTATCAAAAGACCCGGTTTTTCTTCTCCTACTCCTCCTAAACGGTGATTCAGGGTCTAAAACAGGATTTCCTGAGGTGCTAAAATCGTTCAATTGCTTTGAGAGAAGATCCAGAACGTTCAATCCACTATTATTGTTTACTATTTCATTCCTCCTCCTTCTACAACTCGGCGAAATCACTCGTTTAAATTTATTTCTTGGGCTTTCGGGGATTTCTTCCTCCTTTTGATAGCTGCCTCTCCTTAAACTTTCCGATTCTGTTCCTAAAGATGCAGTTTCCTCCTCGTTTTCCAAGTCTACGGTTCTTGACCATCTCCGAATATCCTTTTGATAAGCCCAATTTTCGCTTAAAGCGCATTGTTCGTCTTCGGAATCGTCGGAACGCGACACCCTCTGTTGGTGGAACTGCGCGCATTTATTGAGAATATGAAGCCGTCGATATAAGGAGTGAAGAACGCTGGATTCAAGAAGCGGGTGATCTTGCTCCACGGCTGCGACCTCGATTGGAAACTGCATGTCTAAATGTGGAATGAGAATTGATTTAGTTTCTAAATATAAAGTATTTTCGCAAACTAAGTCTAATAAGGATCAAAGGTTATCTTTCGAAGTTTTTGAATGAAATTTAGAGTGACGTAATTTACCTTTGTACATTATCACATAATTTTGGTTATGAATTGGAAGTGGTGATAAGCTAATTAGTTTTTCTAAATATAACTCGGTTTGCAAAATATTGAGAAGCAAAGGTTATCGGTTGTTGTTAAAACATTTTGAGCCTCACCTTCGTACATTTGGGCATATTGAGGAAATCCAGCTGCTCTTAACCATTTACAAGCTTCGGTTGCTTCGATCTCTGCAACAACAAATCAAATTAAAAAAAGTATATTAATAAGGGCTGGGAGAGTTGGGACTGCATATAAATATTAGGCAGTCACCAACCTGCTATTTTATGCGCTCTGAGTTGTCTCCAAATTTGCTCGGCCTTTCTAACCGGCCAATTATCGTTCACTTTTACACTTAAACTTCTAAAGAACTTGTACTGTTTTATCCGAACGGACATTTTCAAATTTTTAGATGTTACTCACCAGACAGGTGCCTATCAGACTGGGATCGGAGTTGTGTTTTCACCTGGAACCGTTACGATTAATCATACATGGCTACTCAAATGGAAAACTTTGAACTCGACACCCGAGTTCAAAGGGGACAATCTCCCGTACCTTGGTTATTTTTTTCAATACCGACGTAGAAGAGGACTTCCGTCGTTCCGATCGCCTCCTTTCCACTGGAAAACTAACCGCACAACCGCCACGATCGACCCCTTCTTCCCCATCTAAATCCGACGTTACACAAGGAGACAAAGATGAATCTGATGTGCAAGTCAAATTTGTTGAGCTCTCCGACGGCGAAGTTTGAGTACAAGTGCTTATTACAGCTTCCACCAATTGTAAAGATTCCTAAAAAACAAATTAAAAAAAAAACAAACAAAAAAATAATTCAAAATTACCCTCGAATTTGAAAATAAAAATTCCCCTTCATCTTCCAGCCAAGAATTATCCAAGTATCCCCCGACATGGTCTTGATTATACTTTTTGCAATCTTCTAAGAGGTCGTTTAGATCTCTGGCGAGTTCTGGATCGAGTTCCTGTTCGTGTTTAGTATTAAGCTGAAATATACAAAAATTTAATAAATAAAGCGGTAAATAACAGAGGTTGACTTTTGGGATTAAAAGAGAGGGCTTTTTCCTTAGGAAATCAAAACATATATGATGACCAAAGTGACGTGATACAAGTATTTGATTCCCAACGTCCCCAAATAATCTTACAATGACCGCGAGCTACGAACCTTACGACTTTTTCAACTTATAAAAGGCGAACAAACCGAGAATTTATCCAGTTTACAAGTTTCAGCCTGTACAGAATCTCCCGGAAATTACAAAGAAGCAAAAATGAAGTTCCCCATTTTATTAATACTCGTTTGTACACACGCTAGTGATGTAAATCTTAAACTAAGTGACAAAATTGCTTATGTGAATAATAATTTTTTTTCCGGTAGGTAAGTGTTGATAAAAGAAAATGTTGTGTGTCTACCTGGTTGAAACGGGATATTCGTCAAACCGATTTGGGTCCTTTCTGGGCAAATAGAGGCAAAAAGGATCCGAAATATCTATACGATAGGCTTTTCGCCGAAGTTCCCTATTGGATTTTGATTAAAAAGGATCCCGATATGGAATACGACCCCTATTTCACCACACGCGGGAAGAAAAATTTAAAAAAAGTTTTTAATCAACTCCATATTTTGCGAAACGTCAAATTAAATACAAATTAATAAACCCAATTTAATCATATATAATTATTTACTGGTGTAAATGTCGCTTAATATATTATATTATATGATTGCCGTATATTTATTAATTCTCAATACCAAAAACATTTTTAGGTGCCACGGATTTTTGTCTTAAAATGTGCTCTATGAAATTTTCTCGTAAAATCTTGCAGGTGTTTAGATAAGCTACTGTTTCCGGTTGCTTACCCTATATATATTATATGTATATACAGTGTGTTTGATTTTAGCTGTCACAGCAGATATCTAGAACTAGATTATTGTTGGAGAAGTCTTGAAATTTATGGAATTAGGTATTGTTCATGATACATGGGGCGGCCGACGTCTTCGAAGTCGGCCGAGATTATTTCTTATATCACGAACAATACCTGGGGCGGCCGACGTCTTCGAAGAAAATAAAGGTAAGAAATTAAGATTCTAATATAACTCATTTAAAGCGATCAAAATTAATCAATTCTTCATGATAAAATTGAAATATTAAAAAAAATCGTATTAATGTAGAATTTTTCGATTTAAAAGATTTTCCACACATTTTAATTCCTAGAATACATTATATTTTCAAATATTTCATTATAACCTTAGCAGGAAATTTACTTAGATTGTTAGCATATTTAAAAATAAACATAAATTAATTAAATAAATATAATTAAATAAGTACAATATAATTAAATAAACATAATTACAGCCGTAATAAGGAAAAATAAATAAACTTCATGAACAAAATCAACAAATGTGTTGAAATATATAATATTTTTTCTAAAGTGACTAACTTTCTAAATAGTGCCAGCAAATAGTTCTAATGAAAAAATGATGTCATTGACGATATTAGTCGTAATATTCGCGTGACGATGATCAAACATAATTACATATAATATAATTATCACCCGTATATCCACCTGCAATAAGAGCCTTTCGCAATTCCAAATTAATTAATTTTATTTTAATGCAATAAATGTAATATGATGTAATGGGTGTATAATCGGTGTGTAATAAGAATTTAAACGGTGGGTTATGAATGGCGGAGTTTGGTTTAGCTATTTTCACCCTTATCGCTTTGTAGATAAGGGCGAAGAAAATATTAAGAAAACTAATCTTACATACAGAGTGTTCTTTTTTGTAAGAAAATTCTAATATATTTAATTTAAATTAATAAAATTAATTAAAAAAAATTTTTTTTTTACTTACGTGATTTTTGTGTATAAAATTTTCGATATCTTGAAACGGGTCGTAGAGGCTCATAGTTTTGGATCACCTGCCGAACGAAAAGTTGTCCATTCTACGGGGCCCCGTTACCACTATACCTGCAACAACGAACACATATTGATTAGGACGTCGTCCTTGAACGCTAAAATATATTTACGTAAACGATTTATTTAGAATTTCTTTCTTTTCTAACCGCATACCGTCGGCTCTTTTCTTTTTCCCCCATTAAATATTTTTTATACCTACCAAGGTCATTTTAGTACGCTCAAGTAGTTTCTTGGAATAATTTATTTTTTCATCAATTTTTAGTGGCACTCAATTTTTTAATATTCATTATGTAAGAGTTTTATGGTTGACGCGGTTGAGCCGCTTCGTGAAAATATCACCTACAGAGTTACAGAGTTACGTTCAGTTATGTTTAAACAATTCCAACTCCCTCCTGAGTTGGGAGTGACTTGTTAATTTAAATTTTTTTTTAATTTTAAAATTTTAACATTTGAAATTTCTTTCTTATATTTATCAAGATTAAATTTTGAAAATTTCATCGAACTTACCTATCTCAACAAATATTTTAAAAAGATAATCAATAAATTGATAGTTAATTAGTAATGAAATTAAAAATTAATACACTAAAAACACAAAGTTTTAAACAGAGATGTTATGTTATAAATTGAAACTGAAAACACATTCATTTGGCCTCTAAACAGGAAAACACTATGTATATACCGTACATACACAGTGTGTATGTATGAATGAATCAACGGCCTCAGTTTATTACGACAGACGAATGCCTAAGTACGCCTTTCTGTTTCTGTTTAATTCAACTAATAAAATAGCTTCTTCTTTTAGCGTTCGAAAATAAAACCACCCAAACAACGTTAATGAAAAGAAAAGGAAACAAATAATTTAAACGACTATTTAATAAAGAAGAAGGAGAAGACAGCAAAGCTAGATAAATTTTAAAGCCGTTTTATTATTCTTTTTTTCAAAGCTTCACATGTGGGATTGTTTTAATTATAGTACGTTATTTATAAATAGGACGATCAAGTGTTAAGCAGATGGTGTTATCTACAATTATTATAATTTTATATTTTATTTAAAATTATTTCCGCATAATTTTTATTAATTAAATGAGTATATATAAAAATTAACACCCACTTACCCAATTTAATGTTATAAATTATAATTAAAAAATTTTCATTTAACCCAAAACTTTGAAACAAACACTTTTGATGAAGAAACCAAGAAAAAAGGATCGTCACGTTCCAAGTTTGAGTGTTAAACTGTAAATGGCTGTAGTATAACAACCAACGCGTTGAGCAGAGATAAGATAACAACTCGTTTATGGCCTTTTAAGCTTATTCAAAATTATATTCTTCAATGAATATAACACCAATAAAGAAATCGAAATTAAAAAAAAATTTTCATCAAAAAATATTGAATTACTTTTAATTATTAAATAAAAATTTATTAAGTTACTTAAGCATCAACAAGTAATCAACAATATCCGGGTTGGATTCGGGATGAACAATTTAAGTAAATAAATGTGGTTATTTCGGCAAAAAAAATTACTTCAAAATGTAAGGAAGCAAAATAATTTTTTGAAAGTCTACGAATTAAAACGCCATCTTTGGTGGGTGTGAGAAGGCCAAAAAGATTTTCTATTCCATCTTTTTATACTTTTAATGCATTTTCTTCTTGGTATTATAAGCACTCATCATTCTCAATTAATTTACTGATGAGAATTTTAATTAATACCGACCGTTATTAGTTAATAGCATCGAACAATAGATGGCAGCATAAATCACGTGGAAAACGTGTTACGCATGCTATATAGCACATTCCTTTTTAATTAATTAAAGCGGTGGTCGACACGTTGTCTTAAGTTCAGCAAATACATTTACTATTAAAGTAAGTATTTTCTGTTTATCCCATCAATTAATTAAATTGGGCATAATTTTAGATGGCTTCTGCAATCGCTCAAGATAAATTTTGGACGGACCGAGCAATTTATGAGGAAGCTGAGAAGATTTACCACGAGAAACAAGCACTTCCAGCATCTTGTCCAAAGGTAACATTCATTTATTCCTGAAAATTATCATAAATGTTATCATAAAATTTTTCATGCAGTCCACGTTAACTCCCTTAGCTGATGAAGTGGCTAAGGCAAGGCAACGATTTATTGATATTATAAATACTTACGATGTATGTAAATGGTTAAATATTTTAAAACATTTTATTTTAAGTTTTGCCATGTTTCCTTTGATATCTACAAAAAGAAAATTATTTAATTTTAGTCAAATTCTGAAAATGTTACGCCTGATACAGCCTCAATGAGTTTAATCGAGAAAAAATATTTAGAATTCGAAAAAGTCATCAACAACATCCAAGAACAAATGATGAAAATGGATCAACGTCTCCGCGCTATCGAAAGTAAATGTGGCGATTCGAAGAGCTGCGCGAAATCCTGTGCGATTGATATGAAGAAAATCGACACCAAAACCACCACCGACGACGACGATGTTGACCTATTCGCCTCCGATTCTGAAGATGAGGAAGCAGAGAAAGTTAAACAACAGCGTTTGGAAGAGTACCACGCGAAAAAGTCGAAGAAACCCGCTTTAATTGCTAAATCTAGTATTGTTTTGGATGTCAAACCATGGGATGATGAAACCGATATGAAAGTTATGGAACAAAATGTTAGGAAAATTGAAATGGAGGGATTATTATGGGGGGCTTGTAAGTTATGGTTAAAAAAAATCTTTTTTTGATTTATTTTTGATTTGTTTTTAGCAAAATTGGTTCCTTTGGCTTATGGAATTAAAAAATTACAAATATCATGCGTAGTAGAAGATGAAAAAGTTTCTGTTGATTTGTTACAAGAGCAAATTGAGGGTCTTGAAGACTATGTAAGCTAAAAAAATTATTCTATTTTATTATAAATTTATTTATATTTTATTTTTAGGTGCAAAGTGTTGATATTGCAGCGTTTAATAAAATTTAAATCATTATGAAATTGTGAAACTTAATTTGAAATAAAATATTTTCCATAATTTTTATATCGTTTCATTTTAATAAACAGGTTACTCTTGGCAGTCAATGCATACAAATATATCACATTTTTGAATTTGTATTATAAGTATTAACCTAGATTATTAACGCAAATGAACGAAAAACATAAATTAAAGCGTTATCACATTTGTAATAAACTACGATACTTTTACAAAAACAAAATAAACAATACTCTTAATTATTATCACATTTTTTTTCAACCTAATCTACTTTATGATAAATCCCCATCAAATCATCTTCGCTACTCTCCTCAATCACAATAGCGGTACGAATACCGAAAAAGCGGTGGAAACGAACGGTTAAATAATCAAATAATCTATTCTCGGTTAACAACCGAACTAAACAATAAATAACTAAAAGCGCTATTGCAATAATATTCGCGATGACAAAACGAGAAATACTCAAACCAATATCAAGCCACGAACCCTCGTTGGTTACTCGAAACATCATATTCATAACCATGATATCCGAAAAGAATAAGATAATCGTGAAAGCGCCTAAGATCGATGTTCGGCCGGAAACGTTCATCATATGGAAGTTAATCGTTGTTATAAAGAACGGTACTGCTAGTTTTAAACCGATTAAAGATGTAATCAAGTATGGATTGAAGACTCGCACGAAACACCGCGTCCACATTGGGTCGAATGTATTTAAATCCGAGATATTTCCAGGTCCAAAAAATGATAACAAGATATAAGCCATCTAATATTAGTTAAGGAATAATGTAATCTATATATAAATTTAACCTTTAAATCTTATTTAAAAAAGGATACGAATATAAAGCATTTTCGGAAATCATGGTGCGATACTTCAGTTTTCGTGGCATCCATCGCTCCAAATTTAAGAGCAACCTCACCACTTTGCCTGGATTCTTCCATTTCGATGAAACTCCAAGTTAAACACAAACAAATGAAAAACGCCAAGAATAATCCTTCCCCATTCGTAGACATCAAAAAATAAATGTTGAAGATCGAAACTTGAATTCCGAGAGCGCGGTGAAGAAGTCGTCTCGGATGCAAAATCATCGTAATTAAAGAAAGCACTACAAAAAAAATCATTCGTTATTTAATTTCAACATTAAAAATTTACTTACCAAGGATAATCCACGATGAAATGTAAATGTAAGTCATTAATTCGGGGGATAAATCGTTGTAATATGACGTAACGGCGATGTTTATGACGGATAAGAACATACAAACGAGTTGGGTGATTAATACGCCTAAATGAAAATAGTCAGTCTTTCGCATAATTCGATCCATAGTAAACATTAATGATATGTACATAACTATCACAGCACCGATCATACTAAAAACAATAATTAAGCAAAATAAATACGTGATATTAAAAATCTTACCAAACAACATGATAATTTTCCCTGAACATCGGCGTAACCTGGTAATACACGGGCAAATAAACCGTTAAAATCAACCAAATTACTTTATCGATGCGCTTTGCGCTAAAATTCTCCGTCAACATCCATAGCAAAATCCCAATGCATGTATAAAATATATATTCTCGGTGAATAAGCGTCATACTCTAAAATAATCGTAATAATAACAACATAAAAAAAATTTTATATAAACATACCAAAAAATAAACACCAAAAAGCATCACGCCATATTTGATTAAATGTTTCAATTCCACGAAATGTATTAAAACAAGTAAATACTGTAATTGGTCGCCATCATGCATTAGAAACAAAAACATTATGAACGGAAAACTTAAATATGCACAATATTTCACTTCAAGACCTTTGTCTAAAACGCAATTCAAAAAAAAATTTAAATATGATATTTGTGGTAATAAAAAAATGCTACTTACATAATAAAACACACATCGCTACAAAAAGTATACCCAAAACTTTTGAACACATGTCGATTAATTCAGCGTCTTCAATATAATGCGGATTGTCGATTCTTTCGGTACTATACAGCATCACACAAGCTGTGTAAATCATAAACACAACTAATCCAGCCGCAAGGCACATCAATATTGGTAGTTTTAAGTAAGTGTTCATCTCAAATTTGCCTTTTTCAAGCAAAGGAATTAACTTTTTGATGTCGTATATCTGAATAAAAAAAATTGATTATTAAAATTTCAATTTCATTCATTTGATCACTTAATAAAGGATGATTTCTTTCTATATTTGACCACAACGATCAGATATATTTACTCATCAGGTCATTTCTAAAGATTGCAAAAGAAGTTCGGATATGCGTTTGCTACAAACTATAAAGAAAAACCTTGAAGAACTAGTAAGTGGACCACACCCACTTACTAGCTTCTATACATACTCCCTTATCAGGGAGTAATCAAATATCACTTCAAATATCAGCGTTGGAATAATTTGAAATGATGTTCAATACAAATATGGACATGAATATAATAAATTTCATTTAATTTATTATACTTACAGCTTTTTCATATTGTCGTGTTTCAAGTTTTAATTGTATCAAATCCAACATATCAGTAAGATTTCTTAAGGCATTAATTCCTCTATAAAAGAATGAGATTTTATTACGATCCAAATAGCTTTCTTGTACTTTGTATTGTTCAGATAAGGTCAAAACATTTGCATATAAAATATAAGCCAATTCCCAATCGACCAAATCAAAATATTGTTGTTGAAAAATCCCCTATTAAAGAAAATTAAACGTATTTAAGTTCGAAATTAAAAAAGTTTCAAAAACCGTACCTCAGAATTAATTGGATGATTAATTCCTAATAAAAACGAGATAATTGCGGTGATGTCAGCTTGTTTTAAATCTTGTCTTTTACTGTTTGGTTTAACACCAGCGCCCCAAATGATGAAGGGAGCTTCGGTTTCATGCGCGGAGCCGCTTCCGTGAGAACCCCAGTCGGTCATCCCATGATCAGAGGTAAAAATGTACGTTGTTTCATAATCGTCAAAGAAATCGTCCATAAATTTAACAATGTTTTTAATTCCTTGATCAACAAACGCTAAGTTGTCAAAATATTTCCTAATAATCAAAAAATAAAAATTAACGATTATAATTATTAAGATAATTAAGCCAATTTTACTTAGAATTTGGTTTATAAACATGCCCGGCGGTATCCATTCCCAATAAATGCAAAAAGAAAACACTTTTGTCGTGCTTTAAACTTGGATGATTCGTCCTAAAAACTTTTTCAACCCTTCGAAACACCCAATCATCAAGGAGAATTGTTGATTGTTGACCAGAAAAATCTTCGTAACTAGGTTCGTAATAATCCATATAAATTTTCTTTAATTTATCTAAAAAAATAAATTTATAAATCCCTATATTATTCTTTGTATTTTATTTTAAATACCTTTATTAAACATTGGAACTACATCAGGGCTACCCCACAAAAAGGAGCGCTTGCTTTGATTAAAAACGTGATCAAAATCAATCGGATTATATTTCCACCCTTTCGTAATAGCGTGCGGGTCTTCATACATTCCAGCGAAAATTGCAACATGTCCAGGTCTTGATTCGGTGGGAACTCGAGTGTGGGATATTCCCCAAGCTCCAACATCGTTTTTAATATTACTATTTTGAAATAAAAATGTAATAACAAAAAATAAGACTCTAATTTATGAACAACATACTTTAAGTAAGGAGCAAAACTTTCGTGTTCCCGAGAAAAAATTCCTTCGGCTCGTAACCCATCGGAAACAAAAACAACAACTCGTTTGCAAAGTGATAATTTAGCACTATGCGATGGTAACCCATGAAGAACTGGAGAGGAGAAGTAGGCGTCCATAACACCGTACAATAAAACGAAATGAGTTATTATTCCCATGAGTATTAATCGTATAGTCCGGCTTCTTTCCCGGAAAGAATAATCGAATAACCTAAAGATAATAATTAATAACATTAATATTGTTAAAAAAGAAATTAATTATTTGTAATTAAGAAAAAAATCATTTATTATTAACAAATATAACAGAAAAAAATTCATACCTATCGACTAGCCACATTTTGAGGTTATGTTTCCCCCCGAACGATTTTAAGTTGTTATCTTTACCGCTGAAAATAAAATTTATTAAACGGAGATAAAAAATTGCACTAATTCTATGTTTATTTGGCAAATCAAACCGATTATCATCATAAAAACACGAATTTTTGCAATGATTTTGCGGCGTTTGAACTACGACGAGAAGTTAGCACCTAATGTACTGGAAATACGATTTGTCGATTTGAGGTTATGTCAAATCCAACATGTTAATTAAGCTTTTATAACGTTTTATACAAAATGTTCAACAATACGAATCATTTTATTATTAATTTAGGCTGAAAATTGCGTTAACTCACCAATCGATCACTATTTAACACGAAATCAGGAAAATTTGAGTTGACCCAACGCGCTGTTTGAACTAACTATGACGGGAAGTTGACGTGAAACATTCTGGATTGTTCTAGAAACAACATGACGTTAGTTACAAATTGGGATTTATTATTTTAAGGAAATACGTCGAAGTTAAAATAAAATTGTAATAATTAGCTTGGAATTTTAATTTAAATATTAATTAAAATTGTTATTTTTTTAAATGTTATTTAAATCAAATGAAGTTAGCTACACAAATATTTGGAATTATTACAACGTTGTTGTCTTTATCTTCCCCAATACATATTAAGTTCTTGTGGAACGATGTGATATCCAAAAAAATTCTGTTCCATTCCTCTGTTCTGTTTTACGTTATTGTTTTATTTTGTATCATTTTGTTTCTTTTTACTTATTTGCTTACAAATCGAGTACGGCTTAGTTTAATATTTAATTTAGTTTATTATTTAGTTCAATTTTATTTAATTATTATGTAGTAATTCCGAAATCTGTAATTAGGGGAAACCCTGTTTATTTTGGAAATAAATAAATAAATAAATAAAAAAAAAAGTAAAAAATCTAAAACAATAATAATAATGCATTTTTATTGAGACCACAAAGGTCTGTCAAGTTTGCAACCGTCATTTAATCTTCTGATTGAACCGGGTCTGAAGAATTAGATTGTTCAATGTCTTGCTCTTCTTCTTGCTCACGCATTTCTACAACCTTGTCTACAAAATTGTCAGCTCCTGATTATATGAATTTAATAGTCTGGCAAGATCGACCACTTGTTCAATTTGATCAGGATCTGGCATTGATTCTCCCTGGGTTTCAGTGGTGGAAAAAAAATGGACACAATTTCATTCCAAGATTTTCCAATAATTCTCACGGCAATAATTAATAATGTTATCAATTATTTACAGTGACTCCAAAAACTATTCGCTCACCATGCGTATTTGCACTATTAGTTTGATAAAAATAAAATAAATTACAAAAAAAAGATTTATTGTAATACAAATAGACGTTGTAATGTCCTTATAAGAAATTAGCAAGAAAAAATTGTTCTAACAATTTCACAATAATAATAAAAAATATAGATCAATTCACGTGCACATTTTGCACTCCAAAAAGTATTCGCTCAGGTAGTTTTAATAAAACAAAATACACATAGTTTTTTTAATCTAGTAGGTAAATCATCCCAAATCAGTTACGCATGCGTCGTACTACCCCTTTGTTAATGACGTTTTTTCAAAACAAGTGAATATTTTTTTAAAATAAATTAAAATGGGTAGAAAACAGTGCAAAACATCTATAGAAGTTAGAAAAATTATTATAAGCCTACGTAAAGAAGGCAAATCTATTCGAGATATTGGTAAATGTGTAAAAAGGTCGTATTCGACCGTAAAAAGTATTATTGGTAGATTTGCTTCAAATAATTGTTTCAACAACGCTGTCAGAACTGGTCGTCCTCAAAAGCTCACTTGTAAAGAAAAGAGAATTGTTGTCAACAAAATTAAAAAAGATCCTAATAAAAGTGCAACAAAAATTGCTATTGAAGTTGAAAGTGAATTTGGAAAATCTATATCCGTAAATACCATTCGTAACGTTCTGTATGCAGCTGGTTATCATGGTCGAGTTGCCAGAAAGAAACCATTTATAAGCAAAATTAATAAACAAAAAAGAAAATTATTCGCTGAAACCTATAAAAATAGTAGAAATGAATTCTGGAACAAAGTAATATTTACGGATGAGAGTAAGTTTAACATTTATGGATCCGACGGGCGGCGAATGATATGGCGGCAAAAGAATAAAGAACTGGAAGAAAAAAACTTGAGACCTACATTTAAACACGGAGGAGGTTCTGTACTAGTATGGGGCTGCATGAGCTCGAAAGGTGTTGGAAATATGCATTTCATTGATGGAATCATGGATCACAAGCAATACATCAACATTTTAAAAACAAATCTTCGAAGCAGTGCTGAAAAAATGAGGCTAAATAACGATTATGTATTTACCAAAGACAACGATCCGAAGCACACAGCCTGGAATACTAAAATGTGGTTACTCTATAATACTCCAAAACGGATTGAAACCCCTCCACAATCGCCTGACATTAATCCTATTGAAAATTTGTGGAGTTTACTGTATCAGAAAATACAGTATTCAGAATCAAAAAGATCTAAAGGCAGCTTTGATTACTGAGTGGGAGAAAATATCTATGGATACAACACAAAGATTAGTAGAATCACTTCCAAGACGATTAGCTGAAGTCATTAAACGAAATGGAGGCCCTACCAAATACTAAAATTTAAAAGATAATTTGATTTGTTTTATTAAACCTAAGTGAGCGAATACTTTTTGAGTGTAAAAATTTGAGTTTAATTGTTTTTTATTTTTTATTATTGTTGACTGATTGTTAGATCAATCTTTTCTTGTTAATTTCTTATAAGGACATTACAACGTCTATTTGTATTACAATAAATCTTTTCTATTATAATTTATTTTATTTTTATTAAACTAATAGTGCGAATACGCATGGTGAGCGAATAGTTTTTGGAGTCACTGTATTTATTTATTTATTGAATTAAAAGTAAATAATAATAATATGAAAAAGTAGTGTTCCATTGGTAAAGTAGTAGTGTAGTAGAAAACATGTTGTGGTAAATGTGTAATAGTAGAGAGCTTCATTTGTAGGTAGCGCTGGCGTGTTGAAGGAAAGTTGTGGAAGTATAAACGAAGTTTGAAAATAACCATCTATGTAACCATCACAAACGCGATACAAGTGGTGCGTGTGGAAGTGTTCTCGTAGTTCGCGTTGGTTTACGAGTAAAAATCAACGCTAGATCGGCTTGGATAGTGTGATAGGATTAAGGAAATAAAGTAAGAAAGCGAAGAATATCGTTAGACGTCGCGAAAATTGCATTAGAACGGGCCGTTTTGTGATCGAAGCCAGTGGCATTAAAATGTGAAAGTAGTTATTTTTATTTACGGACGGTTTTAGATTGGTTCGTGATCGGGATTTCGCTTGTGCATCGGCCGAATAAGAAAGAGTATGGACGAGAACGAGCAGGAATTGAAATCTCCAATAAAGAGACTGGGTTCGACGAGGAAACTTTTGGTTTTCAACAGTAAGTTTAGAGAAACAACAAACGAACAACTATTTTCGACATCGTACACAATGTGCACGTTCCGTGCGAGCGCTACTAATAATATTTCTGTGTTTTATTGTTCAAATAGTCCGATCGGAGGTGTGTGTATAACGTCGGATCAAGGTCAATAAATATCGAAAAAGTCCGGGCAGGTGTACGGCTTTGAAAATTCCGTTTACCTCTCCTTTCTGTAAACAAAACCTGCATCTGCGTTTACGGACAATGCGCCAACCACAAAAAGAAATCTCGCCCTTTTACCAATTCGATATTTAAAAATAACTCCGCGAACATCTGGATTCAATTAAACACGCTTTTTATTTGTTTACTCGCGCCTTTTTTTATCATGCAAAATCTACGCGAACAATGTCGGCCCCCGCGAGAATGTTTATATAATTATTACGTGAGAAAATAAATCCAAAAACCCAAAACAATAACGTTTCACTTTCGTAATTTCTATCCCATCTTACGATCATCATCATATTTTTCTCACAGACCACATGTTTCAGATATTAAATTTCAAAAATACCGACCGACTAGACCCTCAATTCCCAGAACCCAACTGCCCTCCAAGGAAAACGAAAAAGGGACGGCCACTAATTGATGACACACACACATACCCGCTTACATACACACCCCATAATATTTACAGAAATTGCGTGTTTTCTATACTAAAATCGATAACAACCCTCATATAACCATCAAGATCATGAATAATTAACTATCAGTCTCCATTAAGTAATTAATATTGAGTTATAATGAAATCCATTTTAGAAAATGGTTGTAATATAAAATAACCTGTGTTGTACTATCCAAATATGAACGTCGAAATTTTAGCACACCCTCGTGACACCGTACAAATCTATTGTTGTGAACGATCATGAGTCACTTTGTTAATCCCTAATTTATTATACTTAAATTTTTTCTTCCTAAAGAGCATAGAAAAGTTTTCGTACTCAAATATTATCTTCATAGAGATGTCAGAAACGTGCAAACACAAATTTTATCTTTTTGGAGAGTGGATACAGACTAACAACAACATTAAGACTGGAAACTTGAGTTTGATGCCTCAACCGTAAGCATTACAAAATTGAACCAACAAATGTACTTGAACTAAAGCAGACGTAATCAGCGCAGCTCAGAATGAGTGTTTGCGAATACTATGAAGTACCAGCTAACATACAGTGTGTTTAATTTTAAATGTCACAATAGATGTCTCGATTATTGTTACCATCCATACTTAATATTGGCAACCAAGTTCAAGCTTAAGCAACCAAGTCTTGAAATTTATGGAATTCATGTTATGTCACGAACAATACTTGAGTAGGTAAATTTACAAATAATATGATAAATCATTGTAACTAGGTTCTTTTATAGTTTTAATAAAATTGGACAATTTGATGCTCAATTTTTGTTTCAAATATGCCAGCTAATAGAATATTAAATGTGTAGTAATATTTTGTCATATCTCCAACAATAATCAAGATATCTGCCGTGACAGCTAAAATCAAACACAGTGTATACTCTATATAAATATATATATAAAACTATATAACCTTCCGCTTTTCAAGATATTAATAGGTTTGCTATTAAAGCCAGACAGAGAGAGATAGCCTTACTTAATGACTAAGATAGAATTGTAATTCCTGGCAACAACCTGTTAACAAATATTCGGTTTTCTCAATGGTAATTTCTTAACAGCCAAAATACATTTATTTTTTTAAGACTCGCTGTGAAGTAATATTTTGAAACACGCTGTATACAAAGGTTGGTTAGGTTTTGTTCCGAGATTGATCTGAGTCACCTGCCTTTAAGGTGAGGCCAGTCACTTTTTTTTTAAGTATACTTACCAAGTACTCGCGGCTTAGTAACTCAGCCCCAACATACAAAGTTGAGACTTTAATCCTTAAATTTAATAGAGTCTGGTGATTGTGATACAAGAAACGTGTTATATGAACCGTGACATATCGCAGCCAAGATGCCGAGAGCCCGTATCATAATCGCGGAACTTCAGAGGCGTAGCGGAACAAAACGCCAACCTATTATTAGCGGTGGCGACGGAAAAGGGACTTTATTCTCGGAATATAGTAGACGGTCCTATTGATTTTATGTCGTTGTCCGGGACAATCGGAGGGACCGTTTTGTTATTTTATCCTTTAATGCGAAAACGAATATTGACATTGATCAATTTTCAATTTAATTTCTTTGTTAATATACGTTTATTTTTAACGTTAATACATTAAGGCCAAGGCTATGGACAAGCCATATTTGACACTTGTCATTAACGGCGACGTTGCGTACACCATATATTGAGTGTATTTGAGAGATTTCGAGCGGCCACAACAAAACTAGGTCAACGCTAACTAGATAATTCGATGCGGTTTCGAAATCGCCCAAGATGTTTTTTTTTCTTTCTTATACTCAAAAGTATGATGATTTCTGTTTATAAGAAATATTTAGAGGCGCGGTCATAGTGGCCAAGAGTAAGATCGCGTTTTGGATAAGCCTTATAAATAGAGACAGGAAGTTGGGACAATGAAACCGAAGCCGAAGTTGTGGAAAGAACAGCTAAAAATACACCGAAAGGAAGTACAGCTGTCGGGTCCCGAGTAAAAACTCGGTGTAGGATGTATATACCAGATTTTGACTCCCGCTTCCTTCATTAAACGCCGGGCCGTAACTTATCTTTTTAACGCGCAGCGAGAGGCTTTCGATTCTAATAATACCCAGCAAACGACACCGGATTCAATACGTCGTGCATATAGAGAATATCCTCACCGACCTTCGTACGTGGTAATTCAAAAATGAGTCCTTTACCGACGAAGTCTCAACGACTGATTGTTCCCGATTTGGTTTGGTACCTCGTTTGTCTGGCGCTTAAATTTTCGCATCTAATTTGAATATTAAACAAACCATACATACGGTTTCTGTCATCGACACCTATTCCTTAGATATTTCATATTGTAATATGTACGCGTTAAATCATATTATGAGGTAGTTGTAAAAATATGCTAATGACCCATTGAGTCATTTTAATCATTTTCTTGATTTCTGTACTTGGAACTTCGATATATATAACAACAACCTGCGGCAAGAAACGTGATAAGAAAACTGCGCGAATATATGATATGCGCAAATTGTTATAGTTATCCATTGTGTAGAGTTATCAGGTTTATATTTACGCGGCCAAATCAAATATACGGAAAAGTGATAACAGTATCGCGTCCTAGCCTGAACTTGGCAATTTCCCTTCCAGTACTCCTCTACCGACGACTGCGTTCGCGTTTTATTCGTTCATTTTGTGATTATCCCCGTTAATGAAAGCAATTAAGTTAATATGTTTTAATTTTGTGAATTCGGTGGACATTTTTGTTAAGTTTTTATGATGATGAAGGCTGTGTATAAAAAAATTCAACAAATAGAAGGGGGTGAAGGTAAGAAACGGGGCAATTATTTTATGGTTAATCTTAAAAGAGTAAAAGCATCGAGATTGATTGTTCGTCCCTTCGCGGTCCGCCTCGAATTATAAATATTTAGTAGTCATGCAATATTCAGCAGCACTTAAAATTCGTCGGCGGGACGCAAGAAATCTATTAGAAATTTACAAGAACCTCGTACCGTTTGTTAGCATTCTGAACGAGAGAGCATAGAAGAAATAAATAACGAGAAGATACAATTATATTTTTGTCACCTTATCACATACGTTAATATTTTAAACCAACGCACCTGTTTTGACTACTATTTTTGTAATATTAAAAGGTGTGGCTGTACTAATAGATAAATATTAGGTGATTTAACGCAAAGTATTTTCATTGTTACTGCAATTATGCGATTATCGCTAGCTATGCTGCATACCATTTCTTGGTTTCGAATTGATATTACACGATAAAAAGGTAATTTATAGACCTTTGGTGCTATAAAGAATTCAGTTGGCGTTTCGAACGGCTGCTAAAAACAATATATTAAAAGTAAAAATTAAGATGACTTGGTCTAAATTTGAGTGTATCGATATGTATCGATCGGGAAGATATCTGCATAGATCTGCATCGTGTTCGGAGAGTACATATCAAAAAAGTAAGTTGTAATAATTCGTTAATGTAAGCGTTTACGACCCAAGTGTTTTTTTATTACGATTAGTTCTTAAAATATATTGTTTCACCTTACTGCTTCCTACATAGTTATGAATGCCAACCTAATACATAATGACGTAACTTGGATTAATTCCACGAGAGCATTCCAAGACCCAAGTTTGCAAATGCTTTAATAGAAAGTTTTAAAACATGAAACAAAATTTATGGTACAGAGTTTCAATGAACTGCCTAATTAAATAATTTGAAAAATTCTATGAATTTAGAGAAATATATAATATTTTATTAAATAATTTGTGTAAATAATAGAGATAAGATAATATTTAGTGTGTAATGGTTTCCGGCAAGTTTTTTGTTGTTTTTTTTTAATACAATAATAATAATAAAGGATATTTATCTTGAACGCAAAGTACAATAGTTATGTGTGACCTTAGTATATAGTACGTATATATCAAGAGGGTAGCTGATAGTCTGCGGCGAGTTGTGGGTACGCATGCGCCGGCGGCGCCCGATTGGTGTCCCTCCACTTCGGGTACCCGCGGAGTTCTCCACCTTACTTTTGCTTACAACGGTACGGGCAAACGAGAGATTCGAGCCGCGTAAACTGACGGTCCAAAAGGGGTCGCCGTAAAATTTGTTGTTACTTGCAAAACGATTGCACGTGCCTGAAGATACGCAGACGGAGAATAAGTGAAAGTTGAAATCGCGAGCGGCCGCGGACTGTCAATCGCGTCCGGACGATATGTGAATAGATCCGGGAGATGTTCCAGTGTATCATCCAGCAAAGGAACGGGTGGATCCATCCTCACAACACCGAGACGAAAGACGTCTTTCCAGGTTCGAAACAAAGGAAAACACGATCCGGCCGCGCCGCGACGCGACCCTCTCTGATCGATAACTCTGCACTCGCGACTCAACAGTTGGACGCGGAGTCGATAACGGTTTGTTGTTATTTATTCCGCGGCCGACGTTCCTGCTGCTGCTGCCGTCATCGCCCTGCTCCTCATGCCTTGCGATGGTTTTGTATCTAAACAGTCTTGACCTTCGTTTTTCTAACGCCCCGATCGGAACGTATTTTTAGCGGCGCATTTTCTACAAAAATGTCCCCAACCGGCGCTCCACCACATGTAATTTCGATGACTCAGACTTTCTACCAGTCTAAGTATAGTCTCGCCCCCTAACGCTAAGATTTCTTTGTGCATGCGATCGATATCTCTAGCTCATCCGTCTTTCCCTCTTTATCCTATTATGATTTTCTTCTCAACATTTTTGATCAAATAACATTGCTAAATAACTTGTTTTTGTACACCCAAACCGTTTTTACCTCAAAGGTATATTTGAAATGAAAAAAATCACCTTATGAAGTTCTCTTTGAAGTGTGATTTCGCAGAATTATTATTACAGTATATAGGCTTGTTATTTCGAAACGTTGTGAGTGCCAAACTACACTTTATCACGTTTACTGCTTTGTATGTGTTAAGTTTTGCGGTATGCGTTGGTTGCTGTATCAAAAAGCGGTAAAACTCATAATGTTGTAAGTAATTTTTTTAACTAACTTGAACAACACATGTTATAAGCGACTTTGGCTACATTTTTCATTTTTCACAGAGAATGTAGGATTTTATCTGATTAAGCCGAGGTCGCTTGCGGGCGAGGCGTCATAAATGATACCACATCCACACTAATTTGAGCAACGGCTAAATGACTATGGCTTCCTCTGATTAAGTTGAGGTTGTATCTGGCCGAGACGTTCAATTAATATCATATCAAGCTCCTCGGCCAAAATTGACCTTGGCTAAACTCAGCACAGAGAATGTAGCGCCTCGGCTGTAAGAATCTAGGAAAAGTTGCAGTTAAACTTAAAGACTCGAAATTTTATTATTTTATTAATTAACAAATTCTTTGTGCGAAGATTTCTTAGTATCTTTTAATATGGAGTGGTATTTGTAAAGCTTTCGTGTTGTGGTTATGTACTTATGTGGATATGAGCAGCTGTGCGGAAATAAAATTGAAAGAAAGGGTTTTGCGTGATGAGACAGAGTCTTCTCAATATGCAACGCTGGGATGGTTAATTAAATGAAGTTTAGTAGCCGCGAAAGAGCGCGCCTTAATCAAATGAGGCTTAGCGTAATCTAATTTGAGTGATTTATCACGTAACGCGGCCCGTCCAAGCGGCTAAATCTAACGGAAAATGAAAATCGAATCGTTCGATTGCGCCATGACGGCCGTTAGAGCGTGGAGATTCTTAATAAATTAAGAGGCGGTCGAAGGAAACGCCAATCATAGAGGGACCCTCGATGGTTTAGAGACGTTCTGGAAGTAAAGATTTAATTGCGCCGGGTTTTCTACCTTGGTAATGAACTTGATGTGTCTGTCAAGATACCGGTAAAAATAGATAAAGCTTAAATCACGCCGCATCGCTGCATAGTAGAATACCGTTTCCGTCTTTTATGCCTCTGTCCAACAAATTCCAAACAAGTTTTCTATATCGCTAAGAATCTTTTACTTTAACTTTAATGGTATTCGTCCTCTCGAAACCAACCATCTGTGTACAAGTTTCTATAAGAACGTCCCGAATACTTAACAATAATGAAAATGTCCTTCAAATTTTCTTGCGCTCTCTATTACGTAGTGTTTACATATCATTTTAAATGTTACTATTTTTAATCTATAACTTTAAACATGACTCAATACACAAATTTGAACTAAATTTTACTTTATGAAAATACAGATTCGATGTGTTACATCATCCCTATACAAGATAATCGTCGGCTTCTGAATCATTTTTCTCAGATGAGATTGTTTTCATCTCACCGACAAGATAAATAAACAAGAAACCAACTGTCATAGTAAGAATAGTAATTCGTTAACCAAAATAGAAATGGATCGTTCGGTCAATGTTCAAACCTTTGTGAACTGTGGTGACAAAGTGACAAGGTTTAACTTTTAACAAGAAATTCACTGTGACGTAACGATTGTTTTAATCGACTAAAAGTGATCATATCAAATAAACGATTTAATTTTACCAACTTCATCCAGTAAAATCGTCGTTATAAGACTATAATACCGAGATTAACAAGCACCTTTAGAACGTGAAGCTTGTTGCAACAATATGTTATGTGAGACGCATATTAAATAAAAATAAAGGGCCATTAATTAGAGACATCTCTGAAACTGTATCCAACCTATAATGTGTAATTCAAATGGTTTTATTGTGATCCTACAGAAATGAATTGTAACAGCGGGTTTAATAAAAAAAATTAACATGTTTGAAACGCGGAAAAATTGAAATGTCTCGTTTTAGTTGAGCTTTCTCCACAAGACTCCCATTAATAACGTTAGCGAAAGCAGTAGAATGCAACAATGGGAGCGAAGTTTTTATGTAGTTATTTTCTCACGAGACAAAGAGGTGCAACCAATGATTAACCGTGAATCGAAAACGGATTAGTTGGCTATAATTGTTATTGCTCTTACAATTAGATAGCGTGTAGTAATATTTTTTTGGGTCTATCTATGGTTTAAAGTGCGCGTTGAAACAATTCGATATGTAAACTGTACGCTGCTTCAAAAATCATTTGTATTCAACAGATTGACCGTTCCGGATGCGCCGTATCTCTTGTAATATTGCCAACATCCTTTTGTAATGGGGAAATAATGCTAGTATAAAACTAATTGACGAACATCCTCTTGCCGGCTCGGGAACGTTTTATATTGATTTATTTCGACTTTTATTATTCGGAATCTCGTTCCTCATTCATTGTTATAAGCATAATTTATAGGCTCGCAGGTTACGCAACGTCTTCGTTTCGAACGCAACGGCATTTAATTCCTCGCAAAAATAACCAAATAACAGTTTACCGAGTCTCTCCGTTACCTCTAAACGTCGTGTAATTGAACCACAACTTCCTTATATATCTACATGTTTTAAATGTAAATGTTTTTATATTTTTAACTATATGTTATCACTTCCCACATGTTTGTCACACTCAAGTGGTTCAAGCATTTGTAAATATCGCCCGGTGTTTATGTTATTGACCTTTTGCAAAACGTTCATTCATCATTACCCTAGATTTGTCGAGAGCGTTTTGAACCGCCCTGTCGCGACAGTGTCTAACACAACGACCCGTAGCGAACGCCTGGAGGTCGTTTTAATTAAGGGTCAAATTCGATCGTTTTAAAATCTATTAACTTCATGAAGTAGCTCAAAACAGCCCTTATACTAAACGTCGTTTTATATAAATCATTTTGATTATGAATTGTTGGGTTTGAAAATGCATATGTTTTATCGGTTGTTTCACCCACATTGTACTTTTCTCCACGTGGGTGGACAGGAAATACCAATTCGCAAGTGATACCCACGCGGTGGTCTCTAAAATGCCCCCTTTTACGACTCTAACCGACGGTTCGTTCTTCGTTTCAGATATTAGGCTTCAGTTGAACGAGCAACTACGATGCCTGGACATGCGCATGGAGGCCCAAGTGGCCTTAGTGACCGAGCTACAAGATTTCTTCCGCCGTAGAGGGGAGCTGGAGCTGGACTATTCAAAGAATTTAGACAAACTGGCGAAGAGCCTTCAGCTTCGACACAAGGAGCAAAAGCAAAAGTATAAAAAAGCCCTTCTCATACACTCGAACCGTTTTCTATATGGAATATTCTTTCAGAAGGGAACAATGGCCTTTATTTTCAAGTTACGCTTGTTGGCAACAGCTGGTCACTCAAACGAAGAACTTATCACGTGACCATGTGGCCCTCGCCGAAGTCTACTCCACTCACTTAGTTTCAAGGTTAGCGCAAGTTATGGAAGACGTCCAAAGGATATATAAAAGAGTAATTTCAATAACTATTTATAGGAAATGTCAACTCGATTTTTTTCTTTTTGTATGAATCTTAGTGCAGGGAAATTGGATACGAAACGCACGAAGAAATTCTCAGAGTATTACATGAGCTTCACACGACCATGAAGACATATCACAGCTACCAGGGCGAGCTCCGACAAGCGGAGGAGAAGCTCAAAGCCGCTGAAACTCAGCGGAACAAGCTCAAACAATCGCTACCTCAGGATAAGCTCGAACGGTCTAAGAAGTACAAATTCATGGAAAAAGAAGTAACGAAACGTGCTAGTAAATGCTCGGATGCTAAAATAAAAGCGCTAAAAGCTCGTAATGAATACATTTTGTGCCTGGAAGCCTCCAACACTACTATTCATAAGTATTTCGTCGATGATTTATCTGACTTAATCGACGTAAGATACCAACCCCCAAATTATTTTCTACAATTAAAATTACCATTCATTTTCAGTGTATGGACTTTGGGTTTCATAATTGTATATCTAGAGCTTTACTTATGCATGTTTCCGCTGAAGAAGGTCGCCAAAGGTCAGTGCAACATGGTATGGATACTCTCTCAACGTGCATCAACTCACTAGATTCGGGTTCCGATAAGCAACGATTCCTAGAATACAATCATAGCGCGTTTATGATCCCTAAAAAATTGGAATTCCAAGGCCAAAAAACAGATGACGTAAGTATAAGCATAGATTATCTATACCCTGGACCTTTTAAGGGTGTCACCTTACAGCAACCGGAACCGGAAATCCAGAAGATACTTCACCAGGAGATGGAAACCAGACTGAATCAACTCCAGCAACGTGTGACGACATTACGAGCGGAGTCTGACGAAGTTTGGAAAACGTTAGAAACTGCCGAAAGCACGTTGTTGGAAATGTTAAACGCTAAGGACTACGATTGCAGTCAGTATTTTGGGGAAAACGCTCTCCCCGCAACGAAACCGCCCGAATCGCTATCGATGAAGCAAAGGGCCGATCGACAAGAGACTGAGGAATTTTATTTAACGGTAAAATAATTATCAAGATATTATATCTTTAATAAGCATATTTTTTTTAGAAATTTCGTGAATACTTATTAGGTTCTACTAGAATAGCTAGGTTAGATGCTAAGCAAAAATATATAAGTCAAACATTATTAGCCGAAACTCCCGAAGCTGGAAATACATTAAAACCGGTTTCAAAGATACCACGGCGCAAGCGTATTGGTCGACTACAAATGAGCGGTCAACCAAAATTATTTGGAGGATCACTTGAGGAGTATCTAGAAGCCACCAATCAAGAAATTCCCCTTATTATTAAATCATGTGTTCGTGTGATAAATTTATACGGTAAATTTTAATATTGTTATAAAGAAAATATTCAAAATAATTTTTTATTGTTATAAAAGGTTTACATCACCAAGGAATATTTAGAGTGTCAGGGTCGCAGGTTGAAATAAACAATTTTAGGGAGGCTTTTGAGAAAGGCGAAGATCCTTTAGCCGAAATGACCGATTCTTCCGATATTAACAGCGTCGCGGGTGTTTTAAAACTTTATTTACGTGAATTAAGAGAACCGCTTTTCCCTATTATTTACTTCGAACGTTTTATGGAACTAGCACGTAAGATTTTTATTTCACTTTTTAGACATTATTTGATGATCTCATTTTTTTAGAACTCGAATCGAAACGTGAATTTATAACGAAAATACGTGAGTTAATTTTCCGACTTCCCAGACCTGTTGTGGTTGTGATGCGTTATCTTTTTGCATTTTTAAATCAGTGAGTTATAAGATTAATTTTTTTGGTGAAAGTTTTATTAAATTTTTTTTATAGTTTATCAGAATTTTCTGATGAAAACATGATGGATCCTTACAATTTAGCGATTTGTTTTGGCCCGACGTTGGTGCCCGTCCCAGACGATAAAGACCAGGTTCAATATCAGAACCAAGTTAATGAGCTTATTAAAAATATTATTAAATACAATGATTCTATTTTCCCTAACGATGGCGGTGTGGTTTATGAAAAATACATTTCGCTTGAACCGGATGATCAGTAAGTTTTGTATAAATACGAGGTTATTTACACTATTTAATTCATTTTTTAGTGATGTTGGTGATTCACCCTCTGAGCAAGGCCATGAAGATATCGATTCGGAAGTTTATCCTTCAGAAGATGGTACAATCAATTTTAACTTTTTAGAATAATTTTTATTTTTTTAATTTTATTTGTGCATAGATTCTGAATGCATGGAAGCGACTGCTCAATTCGATTTTCAAGCGCGTTCGGATCGAGAGCTTTCCTTCAAAAAAGGTGACACGGTAACTTTATATTCGCAAATATCGAATGATTGGTGGCGCGGTGCTGTTAATGGAAATCAAGGATTAATACCAGATAAATATATATCACTAAAAATGAAGTAAGATTTAATGATTAAAAATTCAAGTTTAACGTAAATTTCTTTTTGCACGTTGAACAATCATCTTATATTAAAAATTAATTAGTATATAACGCAACAATTAAATTAATCGGTTATATCAAGGTTTTAGTATATTAAAGTTATATTTTGTTGTTTTAGAGATGATGATCGTGAAAAAATTGAAAATTTAAAGTCGAGTTCGTCGGAGGAATCGATAAGACGCAGAGCGTCTAGTTCGAACGATTCGATGCTGTCCGAGAGTTCAATGTCGGCAACGAATTCGCCATTAGTTCAATGCGCACCAATGACTTGGACGGCTGTGCCTAACATGAACGAAGAGACTAACAGTTCTACAGTGCTTATGAATCAGTCTAGAGAGGTACTCGAAACGACAGTCTAAAAAAAAATGTTCGAGTTTGCAATTTTTTTTCCGTTCTATTTTTTTTTTTCAATTAAAAAAAATTATTTTAGTTTTGATTCGTAGTAATAAAGAAATTAACATTTAAATCAAAAAAAATTTAGGAATAATTCTAATTCTGCTTTTATGTGTAAATAGAATTTCTTTATTATTATTGATCGCTGTGCTTTTATTAGTGATTTTATTTTGTTTTTCTTTTTAAATTTTTTTTATTAAGTTAATTAATTAGGAGCTTGAGCATACAGAAAAAGCCTCTCTTCTAGGCTTTCCATATCAAATTAGCCAAATTTTTTCAAACATTTTTTGTTCTCTACAACAATTTTAACCCCTTTAATACACCATTTTTATATCTTTACAGTTATTTTATAGATCATTAATAATTTTTTTATTACTACGTTTATTTCGGAATTTCTATTCAGATTCTTATTTTTGAAATGATTTGTGAAATCAGTGTGATAGAAACAAATTATATATAAAAGTGCTATTTTCTTTGAACTTTATACTTTTTTTTGTTGCAGTGATGTTTAATTAACGTTATAAAGGTTTCAGTATAGCTAAGAAATTGTCGTTGTTAATTTTCTAGTCTTCAATTAGATATTATAAAGAATTTTTTGGCAGTGTATGTATGGAAAAGCTTCTATGTAATGACTTACTTTGAAAATAATGAAATTTCAACCCCATTGTGACCCTTTTTAGGGTCTTTTATTTCACCTCTTACTATATCAGAATGTGACTCTCACTGACATATTCTAAAACTCTCTTTTGTTTTACTCTCTTATTGACTTTATAATGACGATAGAGATAGAGAAATGTGTCAATAACACAATCGTAGGTTCTTTAATATATATAAGAATAGATTAGAATTAAAGATATAAACGTAGTAAATTTATTTTAAATAAAAAAATCAATAACATCACAGTAATATTAAAGGGTAACTCTTTTTTGATATCTTTTTAAGGTTCCTAACATCTCATTATATCAACTCAAATATTTATTTTTATTAATCCTTTAATTTTTGTTTGATATGGAAGTGCTCCATATAGAAAAAAAGTGATTTCACTTTGCCACGTGTACTTTTAAAAAATTATTGCATGGTAACTGCATGAATATATGTTTGCTTTTAATGTAAAAATTTGTGTTCCGTTTTTTTGTTTTCATTTTTCTCGTTGAGTATATTTTTTTCCGTTGTTTTAAATAAAACGACGTCCGCGACGTTGTATGGTGGTGCAGGTATTTTTTTTTGTTTTAAATTTATTTTTTTTCGATTGATATTTATTTTACGAGACCGTGACGAAGATGTATGTGTTACTTTTATTAAAGATAAGTAAAAGGTGAAACGTGCATGAACGTGCTTGTTTTGCGCAATGTAGCGTTATATTTTAATTTTTTTAACAAATAAAAAACCCGATTTTTTTTCATGTATCTAATTTCTGATCTGTGATTTATTTTTTTGTTGATTTCTGTTCCTCCTGTGTCGTTTCAGCATGTCGTTACACACGCGGTTTTATTGCTATAAATTAAGATGCAATAAAACCGCGGGCAGACTTTTAAGTAACCAGTTGTGTAGAGATATTTTTTTGAATTTTTCACTATTATTTTTTTTATTGATTTCATATAGTACATTTGCTAGAAAACCGTTCCAAGTCTACGTTATTTAAAAAGGTGAGCACATCTATACGCATGTTGGGTAAAAAGTAAAAAAACTAAATTAATTATTTTTGGTTACGTGTCTCGTTTTATTTATTTTTTTGCATGATCTCTTCTATTTCTTACTATTTTTTGTTTTTCCTTTTTGTTAAATTTTTATACTAACATCCTAACATATCTTTCATGGTCTCTTTTTTAAGTAAACCCATAGAAAGAATGTTTTTTTTTTTGAAATAAAATATATAATAAATAAAAGTCATTGTAAGTACAAGGAAAAAAAAAAATAAATGTTAAACCACCCCATTAACAAGAAAACCAAAATTTCTGCAACAAATATTCTTTTCTTTGTTACAGAAATTAATCGGACATAAACGTAATAAATCATTGGATGGGACATCATTACAAGACGACACGATATCACACAGAACAACCATAAACATCAACCAAACCTCCCAAAACATCATAATAAACGGTTCGTCTTTATCGCTAAATAAAAATTGTCAAGATTCATCAAACAGCGTTGATACCGTTGATACCCAACACGGATCACCCGTAGAAATACGCAAAAAAAGTCAAGAGCCAGCCGAAATCGACGAATCAAACGTCGATTTTAGCCAAAACCGCGAACAATGGCAACGCCGGGCAAACTCGCAATCCCATATCAAAATATCACATACCTTAAAAGCAAATCGAAACTCAGAAAATTGGATGCAAAGGCAAAATTATACTCCAGATCTTGTTATGGATTTACCTTTAGTAGGAAATTCCGGTCCAAAAGAAATGGTTAAAAAATCGATGAGTTTGTATTCGGATCATGGGGAAGAAGAAACAAAGATTTTAGATAACCCGGAAAGTCCAGATATGACCACGGCTGCTGAGAGATTTGCTAAACAAAATCAATTAACTGTTAAGAAAAATACTAAAGTTCGAATCGATTCGGGCGATGTTACAAAACAAGTTTCCGATTTAGTGGCCATAACCAGTCCGATTCCCGATCGGAAATATGCGACAATTTCGAACGCGACAACCACTACATTTAAGCCGCAAATTAAAGTGAAACCTCCGGTGCTCAAAAAACCGATGTTTTCGGTTCCTTTACCCGCTCAGATACCAACAGATTTATCAAAGGACCAAGGAGATGTTTCCACTTAAGATTAAAAAAAAAATTAAAAGAGATGAGGTGCGGAACGAATTTTCCCGTAGACAATAATAATCCACTCAAACAAAAATGAAGGGAAAAAGTCCGAAATTTCTCTTCAACTGAGAATTTGGCGACTATTTTTTTATGGTATTTTAAGAAGTTTTTTAATATATTTAAGGAACGTGTTTATACCGAAAATGGTAATTATTATTTTATTGTTAATTTTCGGGATTGATTTTTTTGATCACACTCTTTACAATTTATTTCACATTTTCACTAAAAATATTTCTAATCAATTAAGAAAAAAAAAACACGTACAACTTTAAATTGTGCCATAATAAATAATATGGAATGTGCACAATAAAATAAAATATTTTAGGACAAAAAAATGAATGCATTAAAAATTTTATTTTATTGATCACATAATATTATGTATCCACTGGTGTACATATCGTTTTTACATCCAAGTACAGACGATGTTCTTCGATTATTAAAATTTCCTTCGCCAGAGCTTTTTTGCACAACGACTTTTTAATCGATATAGATGGTGCTTTTTAATCTTATCGTGTATGCTGCAATAACTTTGCGGCTCGTATATTTTTTACATTCATGTGATCCATGTGATTTAGTAAGAACCGTTAACCAGAGAGGGTTTTATTTCTCCCGCAATTTTTCTCCCTTAAAATATCGACCAGTTTTTACTCGAACAATCGTAATCTACAACGTATATTTATCTATTATCATTGTGTAATCTGTATTTTTGGAATCTTAATATCCAAATATTAAACGTATTTATAATGGGTATTTATTGCGGAATACGAAAAAAGCTCAAAGCTTTTGATGTTTTTCGTACAGCTTTATCTGGCGTAATCTGTGTCAATTTTCGTTCCTTTTTTAACAAAATAATTTGTTGTATGCAAAGATTTACTTTAAATTTGAGAATTAAGAGATATTTTTAAATCATGTTTTATTTTTTTAGTTTCTCAGGTTATTTGCGTGTTTTAAAAAGTCTCCATTTTCAATGTTAACTGTAATTTTTTGTATACAATTCACCACGAGACTGAAAAAAAAACAAAAAATAGGAAAATAGATTTTCACAGGGTGTCTGAGAGCTTTTATTGTTTTTGTTTCTCAAAATTTTTTGGTTTTGTTAATTTTAATTCAGACTGAACCGTACTTCTTGTGATCGTAAGGAGCAAAAGTTCGTAATTTGTTACCGTGTCGTTTTATAACAAAAAAAAAATACACAACAACAACTTATAAAAAGGGAAAAAACACCAATGGTATATAACCGTTCAAAAAAATCCGAACACCGTAACATTTAGGTGATAAAGGTAACAAATATCTAAAAAAAATAACTATGTTTATGAAGACCTTGCCTTATCGAACATAGTGAGCGTAACATAAGTTAAATACGTTTCCCTAGCCGTATAACATTAATCGAGCGCTTCATCGAATTTGTCCTTTCTCATAATATAATATTCGTTACAGCGCTCGTTTTTTTTCTTATTAATAATTATATATACTGTATTTAATCTATAAAAATAAACTTCAAATCGAATCGTATTTGTTTTTTTTGTTTTATTTCATTACATAATAATAATACTCATTCCTTTATTCACTTAAACTCTGACTCCATCATCGTACACGTCTTCCTTCTCCTTACATGCTTTGTTTCGCTCACCAACTCAATATAATCACTCAACACTCGCTGGAACTACCTTAAATAATTCGACTAGACTGTCTAGTACACTCCCAGATTTGTATTAAAGGGCGAAGGAGTACATTTTTGCCCTTATATTTTTAATAACGAATAATTTTTTTCTCTATCATCAGAAGTTGCAACAAAATTTCCTTCACTTTCCACAATTTAACCAATTATGTCAATATTTATCAAGTTATTTCATGTAACCAGAGTAAATGTTATTTCTATGTAATGTATTTAATATTTTTTTATTATATAAGATATAATATTGATACAAATGACGAATATACGTAAAATATAAATAAACTAATAGTCATAAATACATCATAAGATACATTATTTCTGATCTACAAGCGGGTTGCACTTAAAAAAAATTATTCAGGGATTCAGTTCACTTAATGTTATTTAGTCACTGTTAATGTCTTAATTGTTCTGGTGCGTAATAATGTTGTTGTTGATTAGATACGCCTTGATGTACTGGAGGTGGAAAACACCGCACGTGCTCGACGGAAACGTCCTCGCTTTCATTCGCCTTTAAAAATTTATTTAAAATTGCGAATATCTGAGAGTTCAACACTTGAAATCTTCTTATACGATCCACCATACGTTTCAAACTCTAAAATAAAAATAATTAACTCCGTCGATTAAAAAAAATCAAAAACACTTACAATTCCTTTAACTATTTCATCTTTCATATCAACTCTTTGTACGCGTAAAATGTGATAACAAAAATCGAGCGCTTCGAATCGTCTTTGTTGACCCAAGAGTACAATCATTGTACAACCAGCCCAATGAAGGCCTTCACCAAATAATTCCCTATAAAAATAAATTAGAATTGTGGATTTAAAAGATTTAGTTAAACTTACTCGACTGTAAACTCAGTTTCTGTTACTGGAATGCAATAAACAAATTGTAAAGCGGACCATAACCTATGGAATTCCGTACACTCATCAATGTTCATAACACCATTTTTAGCGGGCGGTCCCACCCAAATCGGATCGTCTAAAAAGCTTCGTAATCGATTTAGAACGACCTCAAATATTGATAAACCACAACAAAGGCGTTCTCTTGTTAATAAATCACCTTCGCGCGCAATCATTGCTTGCTGAAATATATTTTATTTAATATATCTAATTAAAATAATAAAAAAATGATATATTTACTTTTGCTGTTCCTAATTTTTCGATATTCGTAACAATTTGCAATGCGGCATATTTTTGTTCTAATCGTTTTTGTTTGGTTTCCGGCTTTTCCCCTTCCTTACAAAAAGGCCGAGGTAAGATATTTTGAAACGGTGCCGCTTGTAATAAATCGCAAACTTCTTCTTGTGACAAAGCTTGTTCCATTAACAAACAAAACAAGATTGTGTTTCCAAATTCTCGGAAATTATGGAAGAATTCCGTTCTTGCATCTGGATATTGAACGATATCAGTTAAATAAGCATGATAATAACCTAAAATACCGGGTGACCCATATTCGTATCTGGGTAATTTACAGCCTTGTGGCATTGCATTCATTAAGGTCTTTGTGAATTGTAAAATATTTCCTTGAATTAAACTTTTAACGATTTTTAATAGTTCTTCCATAACGACGGCGATTCCTTGATAACCCAACAGTTTGCACATTGTATGGAAATGTTGAGGTCCAACAAACCCACTATATTGTTGATATTGAGTTGTGTACGCGATATTTAAAAATTTCGTACCCCAAATATAATTATGGGAAATTTGTGGTGGTTTATCTCGTTGTATCGGCCCGGAAAATGTAATTTGACCTTTATACTTTGTAAAACGATTTGTAGCTGCGTTATAAACATAATTAGGCAAGAAATCATAGTTTAACTCCCAAAATACATGCAATGTTATGCGCCCATATGGAGCTAAAACGTTGTGATTCGCTTCGCGAAACATGCAATCGAAATCATCCAACGCCAACCATTTACTTAATAATTTATGGCAAAGACGATTTACTTGTAACAATCCGTCCAGTTCCATTATTCCTGTTATATCGCCAGCTTCGAATTTGCTTATAGCAAAATCTAATGATTTTTGCATATCCGCGTTAATTCTTTGTGTGATTAATTTATTTAAATCAATTGATCGACCTAATAATTGCACGTGACGTTGTTTTAATAGCGTTTCGTAACGATTCGCTCGCGGATATGGTAACATGTAAGCCCCTAAGGCGGCGCATTCCATTCGAAATCGTTTATCCAAGAAAATACTCGCAGCCAATTGTTTGTAATAAGCAAAAATTTGTTCGCTTAGTTTATAAACAAACTGATCGAAACATAAATTTACTTCCGCTTCGACCTCATCGTATAAAAATTGTTTTCGAAATATCGTTAAAGCGTACAAAGCGCTATCATTGTAAAGATCTAACGGATAAAGTACGTATTCCATCATTGACGGTTCTTTGGTTTTTAATATATGATCAGTTAAAATCCACGGCATTGACATATCTATTGGAAATTGTATTCTTTTTTCCATCGTTATCAAATCGTTGCATTCTTCGTTGTGGTTATGTTTAACCGTACATTTCTGAATTAAATAACGTTTAATTTTTTTTTTAAAGGCGCTTAAAAAATACTTACGTTTATTCGCCTTGCCATCGTCATTTCTAAATAAAATTCGCGATACCACAATTGCGATAGATCGCAACATTTCTGTAAAGATTCGCTGAAATTGAGCAGATAATTCCAATAGAATGATGTCTTATGAAATTGGTCGATTTGCATCAGGTACTGTCCGTCTATGTCTTTCCGAAGTGTTTTCTTTCCGCCCGATTTATCAGCTATTAATGATTCCAACATCGTTCGAACCATGTAAAGTTGAGTTGATGATGGACCTAATATAAGATTTTAATTAATGTATACAAATAAATTAGTGATGAAAATTGATAAATAATCATAACATGACTCATTTTTTTTGTAGAACTATGAGTCGATCTTTTTACGTTCACAAACCGGATGCAAATATTATCTTATTAGCTCAAATAATATTTATCAAACGAACCATAACATTTTGTTAATAAATAAATTTTTTCTTACCTACAGTTCTTCGCGCTACTTTGATACTAAACCCATTATCAGGATCTTTCTTTCCTTTTAAAGCTGGATCTAAAGATGGATCCATCCCACGTTGCCAATCCGCACAACTCTCCCTAACAGACGTAATAATACACCTTATCAAATCTTTCTTATTTTTGATAGCCTTCCTCAAAGGTTCCCTCAATCCCAACTGAACGAAATCTTGAAGTTCCGCGTAAATATTCCTTCTAATGGCGTCCGTAAAAACGGTCTCCATTCGTGCCATTAATACTTGAAGACCTTTAATCATTGCAATTACTTCAATCAGAGCCAATTTTTCTTCGTCGCTGTAATTGTATCGGGTTGCTCGTTCGTATTCTTCAGCTTCGACGGGGCATTCTTTGTTTTGATGGTGATCGGTGGGGTGTAAAAGTTTCCAAGAGTATAATTCTGTAACCACACTTGTCCATTCGGATAATAATTGAAGACCTGTTAAAGCTAAATCGGCGGTTTCGCGATTTTCATCATCGCTTCCGCTTTCTTTGTATGTTGTGGTGACTTCGTTGCTATATCTTGCGAGTTCACTGATATATTTAACATGTTCTTCGCGGACTTGAGGAAGATGTACCATTAAATCGGCTTGTGGCGACGGCGTATTTGAGTATGATAACGGCCATTTGCTTGGGTCAAAATGTTTACTACGTTTGATATAATTAAATGGAGCTATTTGCATATCACCGAATAACGGTACAACTTCCAAATTTTTAAAAATTTTATCGATTTTATCAAGTTTTAATTTCTTTTTTTGATCCAACTTATTGATGTTACATAATTCCGAGTCCATCAAAAACAACCCAAATCCCATTACTTTAACAAGCATGTGTTTCTCTTCGGGCGTTAAGTACATTTTCATTTCAAACATTTGCACGCAAATATTTACGACGTCCGCCAATAACTCTTCGTAACCGGGTACTTTTTCTAAATTTTCTTTCACCGTATCTCGAATTTTATTCTGCGTCGCTAGAAACATCGACAGATTTTGGGATTCTTGTAACGTTTGAGAGTCCGACATTACTTTTAAAAATTGCGCAGCTCTGCGGTAAGTGGAGTAATCGTTTTTTACACTTGATTTCATATTTTTTAATTCGTCCAATACCGCGAACATGTTTATGAATTTTCCAAGAGTCAATAAATACGCTTCTGATACAAAATCTTTACGTTTTTCAGCGTGACATAATCGTTTTACTTCTTGTGAGAATCGTTCAATAGCTTTGCGCTAAAAAATAATTGAATGACATTTTTTTATTAATACTAATTCGGGTTGTGGTAAATTTTTCTGCCATCCTCAGGTGTTTTATTATGTTATTGTATAATTTGATATGCATTAGTTCAGAGGGAAATTAAAATTGCGCCATTTAAAAAAAATTTATTAATAAAAGTTCTTTGTAATTCAATTTTAAATAAATATTGTTTATAAAAAATTTTGATACAATCCATTTTATATCAGTATCCAGCGACACTTTGTAGATATCAAAATTTTTTATTAAAATAATTGATTCTAAATCACATTTTAAACAAATTTATACGAAACATTTTTCGGTACAAGCAATAATTTGCTTTGAAGTGACTTGAAACCTTATCAGAATTCCGCCTCAATAAATCACGGACGTATCACTATGTACGCTACATGAACTAGAGACACATGAAAATTAACAAAACTAAGTCAAGAGCAGGATTTCCCACGCTTTTTTCGTCGAGTCAATAATACTTATGGCGGCCGACGTCTTCGAAGTCGACCGAGATCAAAATAAATTGATATAAGAAATAATATACATTTTTTGTATGAAATTTAATAAAGTATTACGCCTTCTGGACATCTCTCTACGCCCCCTAGTTTGGAAATCCTGGTCTAGAGGATGGCGGATTATGGAGCTAGCTACCAAAGCAGGCTACACAGTCCTTAACACCAACACTAAATCTGCGTTTCAGAAAAAGCCAAAGCTTGACGCATCAGCAATTAGTGCTTGTAAACAGATTATTGCATAAAAAATCAAAATTGCTTCACGTCTAGTTCCATGACAATAAATTACAAGAACTTAAAAACATTTTTTAATTAATGAGCCATTATAAAGAGCATCAATTTTCCTTGGCCAACATCAAGCCTATGTAAGAATGCCAATATTATTCTCATTGGAGTATTATTTTATATTTTTTTCCTGAAGATGACAGCTTAATCATTAAAATTGATATTAATTATTTAAAATTTTCTTAAAAAACTTTCTAAAATGATTACAAATGAATTCTTTGTTCAGAAATTTTTCAAATTTTGAATTCCTAATGTGAATAACAAAATTTTTAAACACAAACTCACCTGGAAATACATAAAATTAAGCAATTTATTGACTTCGGGGCCAAGAACCTCAACTGTTTTCTCATAAATTTCAACTCGATTAGGTTGTTCGTTTGATTTGGGTTGAGGTATAGCCCTTGAGCAACACCTCCAAGTATATAACATAACAGCATGTTCCTGTCCTTCCTCCAACAGCTCATTCTTAAATTAATTTAATAAAGATGTTGTGGTTTAAAGACTAATTAATCACTTACCAAACTTGCATGAACAGTTGCTTCCTCTATATACTTGGCTATCCCAGTAACAAAACCATTTCTATCTTCAAAATTTGTATCAAAATTTGCTTGATAAACCACTGAACAAGGTTGAGCTTCAATACATGGTTGTTCATCAGGTAAAGGCAATTCATCTAGGACATCAACATTTGATAGGGCGTCAGTTAGGGATACTCGATCAGTTCCAGCCATTTTCACAGCAATTTAAATAATTGTACTCGTCACAAAAGGACGCGGTTTAAAGTTTAAAGTGTTTAAACTCTAAACCATTAATTATCACTTAATTATTCTTTCACTATCATGTTTTTTAAATCAATTTTATGGGTACAATTTACCGTTAATTCGAACATGGCGCTTTGATATGAGTAACTACACTTTTTTGGCGGAAAAACTTTTCTGAGAATCGCGTTTTTCTTATCGTAAATATTTGCGCAAAAGGTGCGGCAAATTACTTAGGCTGCTAACACACGTTTTGCGTCATCTTCTGTCTGGTTTTACTGTGAACATTCTATATTCTTTATAACCTTACTTATAACTGTAAATGACAAGTTACACTTCAGTTATTATCTCATAGATGGCACTTCTAATAATCAATTTAAAATTAATTTTATATATATTAAATTATTATTATTTTCTATATCATATTTTAAATAACATTTATGTGTGTATATATTTGCTTTGAGCTTTGTTTATAAAAATATTTCTTTATAAATTTAATGAGAAATTAAACTATGATTGCGACTAATAGATGTCGCTTAACTAAAAACCATAAATGCTGTAAATAATATAATTATTAATCTATTATTTTTTTATTACCGGGTTTGATTCCTTTAATTCTCTAATTTGCCCCAAATTCAAAGATTTCAGCGTAAAATCTTCGGTTGTTTCTTTGATCAATCTACATCATAGTTCTTTGATTATCCAGGAATCTTTCCAGATGAATCGCCCTTTCCTTATTCCAAAACAATTTAGTCTCTTGATGCTCTGAGAAAGATCTTGTTAGCTTGTCTCGTGGACTGATTGTAACTGTTAGAAGTGTGTTATTACCTGAAGGTAATCGCGCTTGCCAAGTTGTTCTTATGCCCAAAAGGGGAAGTGTTAATCGTATCAGATTCTCGATTTTTGGGTCGCAGTTTATCTCCCCAAAGGATCTGAATGGCTTTTCACCGCACGGTGAAATTTGATAATCGGGGTACAATAGATCTTTGAGGTCGCCGTACAAAGTTGGTACAAATTTATGTAATGTAACACATTACATAAATTACATTTGATGCTTAATTATTTTTTTAAAATATGGCAGATAATAAAATACTAAGCGTGGAGTAAGATTTTGTCAATAATCAAGATATCTGTGACAGCTAAAATCAAGCACACTTTTAATTATATATAATAATTTTAGTTTAAATACCCATTAATTTATTGATCCGGAGTGAGAGATATAGTAACAAATTTATATAGATTTATGTTAAAAAAATTGATTTTAGAGCAATTGTTTTCTTTATTGGTGGCGCCATCTAAACGTAGTATTGTGGATTATAAACGGATGTTAGATACTTTGATGCGAATCTTTTTCACTGTTTAATCGTTTAAATAAATAGACGTTAAAAATGAAATAAAATGCAAATAAATAAAAAATGTGAAATAAATAATTTTAATTAAAAATGAGATTTGAAATTTTTTCTAGAAACACATTTTTTTAATATTTAATTAGTATATCTATTTGATAGTAGATGGAGGGTTGGAACGAAAGTGGGTAGGCTATAGAATAATATAGTGGCAATCACGTGATCGCCTCGAAGGAGAAGTTTGGCACGCCGCACTCCTCGAACACGTTTGCGCAGTTGCTATAGTGTTTGTTTTTTGCGGAGCGGGTACGTATGTAACGTCGCCGTTTGGTCCGAAACTTTCTGATGTGCTAATACAGAGGATACGCATTATATATCGCGCGCCCGTTGACAGTTAATATTTCGACGTTCGCGGATGTCGTCGGAAAGCGCGTTTTTAATGAAAGAAAAAGTCGCGTCTGCGAACACGACGACGAAGCGTTAAAGGTGCGTAAAAGAGACGCGGACGCTCCGTGTGCGAAAGACAGCCAACCAGCCGTGTATGTGTATGTGTGTGTCTCTACTCCTCAACGGTCCCCCTTGAGACAACGACAACAACGAGGTCTTAACTTTTTATTTAATACGGGGCCTTCTTCCTTTTTTTTTTCGTTTCGGGAAAAGACAAACATTTCTATCTTAGAATAGATGTATTAATTGTGATTTATTCTTTTAACGAAAGGGATCGGTTTATTTGCCTTATTTACTACTATGTTGTGTAAAGGTGCAAGTAGCGTGTTTAAACAATCTTGGATACTAATTCGAGATACGTAGGTAAGATCTTTTTATTTTGATTTTTTTATTGTATTTTTGTATTATAAATACATATTAATATATATTGATTTGTGACGTATTTTTGTTTTTATTTATTTTGTTTTTTTTCTTTTTTTTTTTGATTGATTGATTGAAAATGTGCGCATCAATAGGCACAGGTTCATTCATAACTCGTAATCAATTTTATCAAGTTTTTAAAAGGAATTTTCGACGATGTGGCGCCTAAGGAACGAGAGAGTCAAAACCCTGAAGTATAGAAAATCGTAAACAGCCTTATGGCTGTCTCTTTGCTGTTGTTGGTCGTCGTCGTCAGGGTCTCGGGCGGCAAGAATTATTTCAAATATCGATTCTTTGCTCCGTCACAACACTGTGTATGTGCCCCACCATTCGGAGCCGCGTAGTACGGTACAAGGCGTGGCTACGACACGTGCGGTACATTTAGCTCTTTTTTGGTGGACCATAATTTCCCCCCTTTCAAACAGCCCCATTCTATTTTTCTTAATAATTCTCTTAGTTTCATTTTCCACCTTTATTTTAGTGGGGACACTCAAAGAGCAAATTATAGAGTGTGAACTCGAAACCCGTAAAACCGTATAGCCATAAAACGTCGCCACCAAAACAAACCAATTCATTCATCGTGGGGCCCCCCGGTTGTTGTTTTCGAATTTCGACGCGCCAAATCTTCCGCCACGAAACCCAACCAACCCGGTTATTAATGTGTTTACGGTTTTTCGATTTTCGTACGCCTTTATTTTGCTCTCTTTATTTCACCTTCGTTTTTGCCACACGTGTACGCCTGGCTATTTCTACATAAACTACGATTCAATTCTCTCGTGGGAGGTGAATCCTCTCAACTCATCGCCGCCTCCTTCCACTTTAATTTCAATCTACTACTTAAACTGTTTTTAACGAGATTATTTTCAACCGTGAGATCTTTACCATTGATTTTTAACCTTAATTATCAAATTTTTATAATAATAAATTTATATAACATTTTTCTTGTTTATTTCGGACAGGAATGTGTAATTTACTTAGTATTTACATCTTTTTTCTTTCTCATTTAGTCTAATTTTGTTTCAGCGCCAAATAAAACCACAAATATGTAACTTGTTTAGGATGTTTTTCCTGAAACATTTTCGGTCGGGCGTGGTCTGTGTATAATTTCTTCATATACATTTTACATCATTTTTAGTTTTTTAATATCTCAGAACACCAAAAGCAAATTACACACACTTTTGGTTAAATGATCTATACCATGATCTTACTTATTTGGATTCCTAATTCAACATTGTTGGATTAGCTTTTTATTTTTACACCCTATTCTTCCCATAAAGCTTAATCTAGTCCCCTTGATAGTTTTTGTGCTCTTTTTGTTAGTGTTATTATAAGGCACAATGTTAGCTCAGGTTGTACACAGCCTAGAGTTGCCTCGGCACATAATTGATACTCCCTCTATCTTAAAATAAGTGTCTGATCTCCCGATTTCGCGAAACTTACCAACGTCGCGAAATATACGTTACAAATTTGTGTTCCAACGTGAAGAAGTTGCAGATATTGCAGCAAAGAAAATGTGTACCATTATTTGTTAGAAGTAAGTATAAATGATAAACCGAAACATGGTTCGATAAAAAATGCAGCCGCTGGATATTCTATGTCGGAGAAGGCTATTAGTCGAATTTTGCATCGAGAAAGGCACGGAAAGTTGGAAGATAGTTTTAAATCTAGATTGATTAAATTTGATTTCTGCGTTTGGAATACTGCTAGGCAATGCTTGATTATGATTTGACAAGCTTCATTCATGATGATGAGAAATGGTTTTATTTAAAGAAAACATCGAACAAGTACTACCTCGCTCACGAAGAGATAGACCCTTATCTAACATGCAAAAATAAGAGATTCATCACAAAGTTTATGTTTTGGCTGCTTTGCTCGTCTATGGTGGGACAATTACCGTAATCAGTGGTTTGATTAGGGAAATATGTCATTATTATGTAAGAAATGTTGTTAGTAGAAAATATATTTTCATTCAAAATTTGTTTTTATTTTAACTTAATTTAGGACTTAAATTTGCATCACATCATTCAATCAATTTTTGGCTTCATGATACTGTATAGGATTCAAGTATATCCTGCTTATAACCATTATGCCTTAGATGTACATAACATTTTATTATTAATATTATTATTCATAATTTTTCAAACAAAATATTAATATTAGAAAAATCCTAACAAAATAAAATTGTTTGCGAATACCTAATGGAAAGCAGCATACAACACATTGAATAAATTTTTGAATTCTTAACTAGTTGCGTGGGGTCAAATAGGCGCGAGATTATCAAGTACGCTTTGCAACCCTATATTTCAACCCACTCTCTCCATGCCACGCTCAATGCGTGCGCTTAATATGCTCGCGTCTATTTGACACCACGCTTGTAGTTAAGTGTTAAAGAAAAAAAATTCTTTAGGTAATATCTTATCTAGCTACGAATGGTGCTTTAAGAATGCGTAGGCTGATGGGGGTTTTCTTACATGTATAAAGGAACCAGTATTTGTCAGAACTTCTATTTTATTATATTATTATGTATATTTTAATAATTGTATTGATGTTATTGTTAAAGACTTCATGATTTAATATTGCATTGAATTATTATTTTTCTAAAATGCACTAGACATTGTATTCAAATAATTCGTTTCCGGATTTCTATCGACGTCTGAGGCATTTTTCGTCGTTAAATGCGTTTTTTCAAATACAAAAGTCATTATTTGACGTTTACCGTTTAATTTGTTTTGTAATAGTTTTAATTTGTTTGAAATGAAAAAAGAAAATTTCTTACTTTTGATGTCTTGATACCACAATATTTTGGGGAGCGGAATATTTATTTATCTTGATTTAACTTTTGTTAAATTACTTCTTAAATTGGTTAGCGTTGAAAAATTTATTCATAATTAACTTAACACACCGGTTGTATTCGTTCCACATCGACAACTAGATTGCTTACAATTAACGAATAACATTGTTCGATTAAAGTTATTTTACGATTGGGTTATAAATATCAGCGATCAAAAGTGTTTTGAAATTATTGGCAGTAATACTAACGTAGAGCCATAACTCTACCACTTGATTTTATCACCTCGTTTGAAAAGCTAAACGGATTAAAATCATTTAATCAAATTTATTATTTTTTTAAAATGTAACAAGAAAATTTTAAATGGATCCTGAAAATTTTATGACTTGGCAAAATAAAGACAACGACGACGTCTTGAAAAACAGAACGTCATCGGCGTAGACGTAGAGAATACGGTCCTGATTGAAGGCACGGAACGATAGCGTAAACAATTTTAATACGTGTGATGTCGGTAGTGGGAGAGCCAAGCACCAGTGAAATTCCACAATGTTGCAAGAGGCATTATTTTCGCGGGTGTTATTATTGTTGGCCGACGTTCGCTCCACAAAAATACGAACAGTTAATGGCGATTATCGGCGCCCGTGGCACTTCACTGCTCTTCCAACTTTTGCGGCCGGTTCATTTTTGACGAAATTCGTTCGGATTATTTTTTTGAGAGCCCGTAATATCAAATCGACGCGTCGCTAGCACACGATGCCAGGTAGACCCCAGAGTGAGGTGGATTCTCAAAAATGGACTTTAGAAGCAGACTTTACCATCTGCTCTTTTCTCGGTGTCAATGAACTTCGTTAACATACACGTGGATTTTTTTTAAATACGGGGTGATCTTTTTTGTAAAACAAAAACGTTTTTGTATTATCACCGTTTTTATAATTGCCTTGTATATTTAAAGATACGAGAGTAGTTATTTAGTAAAAAAAGTATATTTTTGACATATTTATTTGTTATTTAGTTTGCTTATCTTAATGTACTACAAGGTATTTGAGTTCATTGGATTACCCGAACCGGCAATTATATAATATAACTAAACGGGATTCCTTTCGAGTCGTAAATCTGATATGTTCCCTAGTTTATTATCGTCCTACTTATCGTTTTTATTTGGTTTATACAAGTACTATCTTTATCAAAACATTAATATAAATAAACAAAAATTTGTTTTTTAACTTCTTCGATAATGACTCATTTTGTTTTTATGCTTCCAAGATTCTTGTTGAAGTCATTTTTATTCAATATTATTTCCTGAAGATCAAAATAATCAAAAAGTATATACTGGACAAATTAATTAAATTCCTGATTTTGTTGTGACACGAATTTTATTAATGATTTTGTTGAATTACCTTGAAAATGATTTATGGCTAAAGCCTGAGTCGGTTTATTTACCATTATTGCTTAGGTAGTCTGGAACGAAATAAATTCTTTACCTTTATTGTTAAAACTTATCGAAGTTGACTTTCAAGGCGACTTGATGTCAAGTACCATTTGGATAGATGACAATAAATATGTTATAAAGTTAATTAATTAATTAAGTTTGTATGCTGCAAATAAATGTTTCCTCTATGTTAGGCGTTATTCCAAATGTATGCCGAGATATTTGGCATCCTCTCCTTACGGAAGTTGTCGAATGTTAATACTCACAGCATAAATGTTATGTTGTGGGTGAACTTTGTTTCATTGGCAATGATGCGCCATGCTTTTAAGCAGTGCCTCACTTTATTTAGATTGTCTTGTGGATTTATTGAAGCCTTTCTTGGATGCCAAAACTGGAGAGGCGTCAACATATCTATTTTCGGCCACATGTTCTCTGGAGATTAAATCGATCACAGAATTGTATCACAGAACCATGTCATTATTGCATTGATGCTGTACTATTCAGTGGGAATTGGAAATCTGAAAATGGAGATTTGTCCATTTTGGTGTTCAATTAAACGAAAAATCGTATTGTAACCAACTTTTCCCACATGCCCTGAACACCCTCACGCATTCTAGTGTTGTAATATGATATGAAAATGAAAAGAATTTCTCTCGCTTAGTAGTCATCTCAATGTGAGTCTGCGCATAACCTTCTTCTGAAAAAGAAACATTAGTGCGTATGCGCAAAAGAAATCGTAGTTAATTAATGTAATATAATATAATCAGCTTATTACGTCTCTGCTGTTTGGACAGAATTTGATCTAAAGGTCAAATTGTATATTTAAATCCACAATATTCTTATTGTACCGTTAAACGTTATTTACCTAAGCGGCAATAAATTATCATAAAAATGTTACCGAAAGGAGTGTATGGATAAATGGCTGGCTGGAAAGATAATGCCAACGCTAAATGTTAAGCAAACGGTCGGGTCCCAACTTTTGGCTATGCATACTGCGCAGTTTTTTTTTACTTGCCTCAGCGAGAGAAAGTTGTTTAAATTACAATCTTACGATAGCGCAAACTCTAAATAACAATTGCGCCCATTACGGGTCGGTCGAAACCGTTTGAAACCGCTAGTAGTCACGGTCTCGGAATTTTTGTTGTGCAACGATTATTGGGGTTTCGCTAATTCTCATGTAGTAAAAACCGATCGGGAGCGAACTCTCTTTTCTTTTCATTTATTTTTTTTTAACGTTGTATCCGGGTGCGTTTTAAATAGTGAAACGTGTGACTTTTTAAGCGTACGCCGCTCACTTCTTGGTCGAACCGCTCTGACCTTGATTTTTGAACAGCTCAAATTTATTGAAGCGACGTACTCCGCCGGATTGTCGTAGGTTATTATCAGTTGTTAGCCCAAAATAATTTCAGGTGAATTTTAAGTAAATAAACGCAAAAAAAAATAAAAATCAACTTTTTTTTTAATTCAACGAGCCAATTCCGTGCTCTCTCACACTGGCCAATTTACATTTAGAGTGGCTTCTATTGGCTTCTATTGACCTTTGCGTAAAAATGAAATTAATTAAATTGTTTTTCGTTCGACATTAAGGGCGTCGTTAAATTGAGGACGCTGTCGGCGTTCGTCCAGTTTGCCGAGACACTCGCCTCTCATCGGTTTCGGTTGTTTACTTTTAGTGTAGTCTCTCGAAAACAAGTGTTTATCACCGTTAATGTTGTAACCGTTTTTTTCGCATGTGAACGGATTAACAGAAAGTACTAAATATAATATATATCAAAAAAATATATTTAGACGATTATCTATAAACGTGTAAGAAATTATTTATATTGTGATTGTCTCCTTTGATTCTTTTAAAATCATTTTGCTCGACCTTCGCCTGTCGATGCATATTTTTATTATGAAAGTAACGCGTTGTCTCAGTCGACGTAATATGCGAAGGTGTTACTCCGGAAAACTCATTTATCTTGTTTTATTTTCTCCTATTTCATTTATTAATCCTACAATAATAATGAAACAGTTTGCTTCTCGATAAATTTGGATTTTAACATTCTAAGAAATTTTGAAGGTTTTAATTTTTATGATTCTAATTGAACATCGTAAAGGAATTTAAAGAAGTAAATTATTTGTTTAGAAAGCAGGTAATTTTTATTGTTGAAAGTCCATGACAAATACAATGACAATAAAAAACTTTCAAAAACTTTTTCAAAGGTTTTCCTAGAATATAAACTATTTGAGAAGCATTTCAGTAAATTGTTTAGAAAATTACAGAGAAATATAAAGAAATTTAAAATGAAAGTAGAAAGATAAAAAAAGAAGCTTTATTGAAACATTAAATTTTATGACTTTAAACCTGACATTAAACCATTAAATACATTTTCGTTAATAACATTTAACATTAAAATCCTCGCAATACTTTAGTGAACAATAATTAACTGTTATCATATATATATATATATTCGTCGTGTAACGATTTGTAGTTTTTATCGGCGTACGTAAACCAATCCTCACATTTTGTTTCGTCTTTCGATTATCGTCATAACGTTGTCGTAAAAACAAATACTAAAAAACCCCACTTCTAATGTTTCTTACAGATAATGCGGGAACAGCAGGGATACGCGAAGAGGTTGCGCAGGAAAGCCTTAGTAAAGGACGGCCCCGTGGGGAGGATAAGATGCACGCTCTGAGCGCAAAGCGGGGCCTCTGCTTTGCCGGATAAGACACCCCATGGCATCGAAGTCGTATTGCGGAGTTGCTGACACGGGCCGGCTCTGTACTTGGTTGCTGGTTACGTGGGTGGTTTTTGGATTTTACTGCAACTTGCCGGTTACCCACGCTGGTTATATTACCGAATACAACGGATTTACTCCATACAATAAAACATCAGGCAGTAAGTAAACTTTTTTTATTGTTACTAAATTAATTATAATTGGTCTTGTTTCACATTGTTTCAAATTCAAGTATTCTTCATTCAATGAAGGTTTGCAAGATTATTAAAAAAAAATACTATATTTCAATCTATAAATGTTGCTCACTATAGAAAATGCCGAGATGAAACCGATCGAGCTTCACCACCATTTCTTACTCATCTTTATCAAAAAGACATAACATAAAATGCGTAATTTCAAAATTCTCAGACCATTTGTTAACAATATGAACAACTGCCTTTGAAGATGACTTCATATCTGAAATATGCACAACAATATGAAGGATAGGTTGTTCTATGAATGAATTTTTTTTTTAATTGCTGATATTATTTTTACATTTAGATTCGTACTTGATACTGATGAGTGAGGTGTCTTAGTTCTGTTGTTGGTGTTTTTTTGATTCAACCCCCAAAGCGTCTTTAGGAGTCTTTTGAAGATTACACGAGATATGATGAGTTTTACTTAGATGAGTTAATTACTTAACCTACAACTTTAGAAGTCCATTGAGAAGAGAAATTAGTTGGTGGTTATTGTTGTCTATTAAATTTTTGCATAAGCCCATCAGGTTGTTTGTTCATTTTATGTTAATTAATTTGTTGATTGGTAATTGTGTAATTAAAGTTGGGGGCGTCTATTTCCAACTTTTCAACATCTAGTTCCTCTTTGGTTCCCACAAAATCAGGTTACTATCTTTGACTTTTCTATATACAGATTTAATTTAATTTATTTAAGATTTCCTAACATAAAAATAAATAAAAAAGTAATTAAAAAAATTTATTAACGTAGTCGGTAGTGATGAAATGTTGAAACTAGTAAATTTGGCTTATTAATAATCAATTGGAATTAAAAGGAACTCTCTATTTTTTATTTTTATTTGAAAAGTAAAAAAAACTAATTTGAATGTAGAGGATGATGCCGATACAGTCTTATCGGTTGATTTGACAATATGAGCAAATTAAAAAATTTAATTAACAATTTATAACAATGTGGAGAATAGATTGTTTGTGTTTTGTTCAATTTTGTAGGAATTTTGAAAATTTTGTTATTGAAAATTTGAATCATTGAGTCAGTATTGCAATTCCAAAATTCCCAGTGTTCAAAACGAGCATGAAACGTCTCGCCCACACGTCCGTTTGTTCTAGTTGTTATCTTTTTATAGAAGTAGTGAACCTCGCAATTAGTATGGGGCTTCATAAAGAGCTTGATAAACCTGTTTGCCAACCACGGCGACCGTCTTTTATACTCTAATCCGATCTGACGCGCCGAGAAAACTACGTGTTGTTTATTTGACATTTTATGTGCGCTAGTTTGTGAGGTCGCCTCTAGAATTAGTAAACAATTTTCTATACTATTTTTATACCATTTTTCAATACAGTATCATTAAGGAAGCAGGTATGTTATTTTCAATTTTCCGTAAATTAGACAAAATAATATCTTAGGTTCGTAGAGGTTTCATTTTATCGATTATAAATAAAGAAATGCATAAGAAAGGTGTTAACTAATTCAGAAATTATGTGAAAGAAGTTTAAACGAGGTTTCAAGGCTAAGAATGAGTTGGATTTATAAGGAATCGGAAAGTATAGAACCACATGTTTCTATCATGAAATGAGTAATAAATTTGTGATGGAAAAACAGTAAAAATAACATTGTATGTCGTAGTTTTTCAATCAGTGAGAACATAATTCGTTGAATACTTCTTAATGGTATTTATAAAGTTTCTAAGTCCAACTAAGATGTGCAAATGTTCTTTACAGGCACGATTTTTTTAAAATAAAATAAAGAATTGCACTTTTTTTTTAATGGATAATTGTTATATTTTTGTTCTACCGGTTTCGACTCAACATAGAGTCATCTTCAGGAACACGTCAAAATTTGAACTAAAGCCCTGGTATTATTATTAAGCATTTACTCATCGCATCCGCCCATAATTGCGCATTTATTAAATTTTTGATTTCCTTAATGTTTTTTTTTTTTTAATCACGAACAAATGCTTAATAATAATACCAGGGCTTTAGTTCAAATTTTGACGTGTTCCTGAAGATGACTCTAAGTTGAGTCGAAACCGGTAGAACAAAAATATAACAATTATCCATTAAAAAAAAAAGTGCAATTCTTTATTTTATTTTAATACGAATAATAGAAACAAATAATAATTACACCAAAACGATTTTTTTAATATTTAATGCGTTTTTTGTCATCTTCACGTAACATTTAACGTAAAAAAGTAGTTTGAAAGTGTTTTTCACGTCCAACTAAGAAAAGTTTCTAAATCAAACTCCAATCTATAAAAAGTAATACTTTATCGATTATGGCAAAAGAAAATAACCGACGAAATCGTTTATTTATATTGCATTTAAAAATAGTAAAAAGATAACAAAACAAGAAATACAATATGATAGTACAAAAGCATTTTGGCTTAGAAATGTATTTTCATGTTTTAATTCAAAGTTTCATTCACTCAACTTTTCAGTGCAACGTCACTGGTTTGAAAGTGCTTATTATTCATGTTTTGATAAAATCATAAAAATTCAATTTTAAATGAAACGATGTGATTTTTAGGATTTGCTATTTTAATTCGTTATCGATGGAGAGGTATTTTTTAATTGTCTGCGGGCGAATTGTTTGTTTGGCTTAAAAATAGCTTGGAACAATAGATGTATTGACACGACGGTAGACGCTAAATAGAAAAGAGAGACCCATTTCTATTTCGGCTCGTTCATCTCAATGAGTACCGTGTATAAATAGCAAATGTTTCTCGGCCCTCAGCGTCGTTGTGGTTGTCGTCGACGCCGCTGCGAGTCCGTTGCGAGAGTCCACTCTCCGTCACAGCTCGTCCGCTTGTTTACTCTAACGGAAATCGAGGTTTGAATGGTATTCCGTGAATCATCGCCGCAATTGTCACCCGAGACCAATGAGTGTGATGTCATTCAAAAATTGAACAATTCCTCCACACAAATGTCGAAAAAAATTTAACCCAAGTAAATTGTTATTAGGTATATTTAGATGTTACACGTTGACGTAGAACGCCAATGCCGTTTTTGGTTCCTATTACGTCGTTCGAAACGTCAAACGGCCCGAAACGAAAACCGTTGCGTTTTTATGGGCAGAGGAAGCGTTATGGAAAGGTTGACGTCGTTGTGTTGACCTAAACCGAAATGTTCGGCCACAATTAAGAAGGGGGATAAAGAAGAGCGGTTAATTGAGGTGTTTTTTTTTTCGAAAGTAATTAAGCTTGGGCCTTATCTGCCACTTACATCCATTTCCCCTCGTAACAACGGTGAAATAATGAATGCATGCCAACGATATTATTAATTTTAATGAGCGATACGGTTTCAAGGTGTAATTGCAGTTACTGTCTGTGATCAACATCACATCCCCTTTTTATATATTAGTCCAAAAAATACATATTCTTACTATTTTTTATATATACTTTCACATTTCATACATTGTTAATATATTGTCAATGCCAAAATACATCAAAACGTATTCGTTTAAGTAGGCGAAATGTTCAAAATAATACTGTAACTAAGGGATTTTGCGGAGGATACGTCACATATTCATTTTGGCGTTGGATTAATAAAAAGCTGTTGTAACTCGAACTTCTATGTTTCAAATTATTCTCGGAGTTGAATAATTTTTGATCACCCAATTTCTGCTTCGCTAATTGGATGCAATTGCAAAGGCAAAATTCTCCCTAACTCGCTATACTCACTGCATTATTGGGGAAACCACAACTTTAATGCTGTACTATATGAATATCGTATTAATAAAATACGTGGGCAGACTGTTAGTCATCACTTCGTTGCTATGAATGATTGCATCCCGAGTCTTTTTCTAGAACAATGTTCTATGTTTCCATATTTATATCTTCATTAATATTGTAAAATATGATGGTGCCAAACATGAATAGCGAGTGTGTCATGCAATTTGTACTAAGAAATTCTCGTTACCTGTGATTGGCATACATTTCACAATAATTTCAATTGTCTCAGCTCATCTTTGGCACACTCTGCACAATTTTCCAAAATTTTATATATAATTATAATTTTAATAATATATTATTACATTTATTTGTTGTATACAAAAAGTATTTCCGTATTACTAAAGTATGCCAATGTCGTGGAAAAAGATTAAGAGAGAGAGAGAGAGAGGGGATTAAGATAAAAGGAGATAAAAATGAAGACAGCGAAAGAAACAGGAGCGGCGAATGCCGATTTAATACACCCATGCTTGAGTTCGAATAATATTCCTTGGTGCGACGGCCTTGCCGTAGTTGTTTTTTTCCTTTAATCGATCGCGATTTGTCAAAAATAGAGCACGCGGCCTCGCGTTTGCCCGTGTCCTGTTTTACAGTCGTAAGACCGACAGGTGTAACAACCCTCATTCGCTCCTACACCGACGACGATTCTGACTACCAAGTTTTTCCGTCTCGTCGAGTGTGAGAGCGTTCGGTTTCAAGTCTCGCACCGACAATGTTACAACTTGCCAAGTTCACTTCTAGAAATAGGTTGACAATGGTCACACATTTGTCCCTGTTACCACTCGGAGCTCCGACTCGCCGCTTTGCAGTTATGGCGTCGATAAAATTAAAGCCAAATCATGGGGATTTTACTATGTTGCAAACAGTTATTGCGCTACTTGATAAATTTCGAAAGTTATGGACAATAAAGATGTTATTTATGCCTCCGCTTCCACTTATCTTTGGATGTATTGTGTATGCGTCGGCGATAGCCCCTCTTAAACCAGATGCTTTCGAACCCATAGCCAAAAGAATGTTAAAACTTTTGGTTTACGTTCACTAAATTATTGACACAACTTTCCAACTCGATGCAACTATACACATTTTTTAAATATTTTGATATCTAATATATGTATTTTTACATGGTATTTATATTAATTATTTCTGTTATTTGTATTATATTACATAAAAATATGTCGTTTCGAAAAAAAAAAAATGTGCCTGCTATACACCGAATTTTTTTGTTTATTTTGTTTATTTTCTTTATTTCATCGTCTTTATGATGCTTTGTATAATTTAATCTATCTGCGATCTTTGTATATATAACCTTGATATCTGTTAATTATGCACTCTTTATTTAGTCTTATAGCTAAGCAAACAATTTTGACGTTTAGAGCTTTCAACTTATCCATTGCTGAAACGAATACTTCTTTAAAACTAACAATAAATATTTATATTTTTATTGTAAATATTCCATCTTCTCTCAATAAATCCATTTTAATTCTAATAATCTCTTTTAATTCTTGTTCAAATCAATTTAATTCTTTTTTTATGATTATCCACTTGAATAATGAATTAAGTAGGATTACCGATAAAATCTCTTTTGCTGAACTATATTTGAACGGGAATTCAGCTGTCACTTCCGTCCACATTGTCTGCGTACTTGATGTTTCGAAATGTCATCGACATATAATCTTATCTGTTATACTGATATTCTTGAAATGCTTTTATGAATATTTAACATATTTTTTGCGTTGAGAATAAAAATGTTTCAGTTTACAAAAGGGTTGTTATTGTTTGGGAGCTTGATTCTTTTTTTTAACGACTTATCAATTTACTTTCCACCGACCAGTAATCTAATACTTTCTGCTGACGCAAAATGTTTTTTAAATCTAGAACAATGGAGGATTTGTAGTAACGGGTTACAGAAGGAAATATAAGCATCCTTATATTTTTCTTTCTTTCTACAATCATTCAAGCATAAACAAAACGAATAACAACAAATATAAACGTAAATATTTTAATAAAGAAAAGTAAGTTTTATATCATAATTTATTTTTACTATTTAAAATATAAACAGATCTTGCTTTATGTGAAACAGCACACCTTTTTTATTTGCCCCAATTTCGGTTTGTTTTGATGTTAGTCAGTGACCGTAAATTTGAATGAGAAACAGCAATGAAAAGCTCGACCTAATGGCGATGATGTAACGGAATTTCGAACGCCTGTATAACAGCTGATCGTTGCAACAGCAAAAACTTCAACAAACCGTGTTTGTTTTAGTAACACCAGCCCGGTGTTTATCGAAAAGCATCTTTTTGAAGAATAACCGAATTTTCAAACCACCCGTGTTCGACCAAAAAGCTGACCGTACACTTTTTAACAACCTAATAAATCAAACACGCGCTTGTAAATGTTTATTATTGGCGTATTTCCCGAACTGTGTGTTAGTTTTCTTTACAATTTCACTTTTATCTGGTAGTGAAACCGTTTTTCTTAATCTTAAAAGAAACTTTTTAATTTCGTTTTCTTATAACTTTTCCTCAGTTTTTTCAATTACAAATTTTATGTTTGGAAGATTTCATCGTAACATTTTTCATTATTTTTTTTAATCGTAATTATTATTAGAGCCAGTTTTTATAACATTAATGGTAACTTAGGCAGTGTTTAGCACGTGGTAAATCGCTGAGTGGAAATTCAACTGTTTTCATAACAACTGTGTTCGCAAATAAACTTGAAAATTTGTCCTTCTGGGAAAAGTTGGAGTAAACATGTCTCGAGAAATACGCCATACCTCAATATAGCATCATTATTTGTTAACAAATGTGTTATAAAGTAAGTAAGCCCGGAATCTTTTAGTTACCTGCGCGTTTAACGGAAGGTTGTTGAGCAAATCTTGTTTAATCTAAATTAATTTTTTCTTTTTTGTTTATAGTATGCAAGAGTGTGGATATCCGAAACTCAGGGGAGATGTTCGAGAACTTACGAGGCTGCAGAGTCGTGGAGGGTTACATCCAAATCCTTCTTTTTGACCATGAAAACAAGTCTACGTTCGAAAACATCAGTTTTCCCGAATTACGGGAAATAACGGGTCACCTACTCTTGTACAGGGTGAATGGACTGACTAGTTTGGGCAAACTCTTCCCGAACTTGGCCGTAATAAGAGGTCAACAGCCGTTGCTGTTGGGCTACGCGCTGATCATTTTCGAAATGCCTAGTCTGCAAGAGATCGGACTCTATTCGTTAACGGACATTATGAACGGTGGTATTCGTATTGATAAAAATCCTCATTTGTGCTTCGCCAACACGATCGACTGGAATAGGATTATGCACAAGAAGAATAAAGATGCCGAACAGTTTATCAGGAGTAGTAAAAAAGAAAATGAGTGTCCTATGTGTCCGAGGGAGGAAAACGGAAAACCGTTGTGCGAGTATTGTTGGAATAGCAAACACTGCCAGAAAAGATGTAAGAGTAATTGTACGTCGTGCAACGACTTGGGGGAATGTTGTAATAGTACGTGTATCGGCGGGTGCTCGAACAATGACCCCCAACAATGCTCCGTCTGTAGGAACATTACCTTTTACACGGAATCTAATAAAACAGTGTGTCTAGACGATTGCCCACCGGGTTTGTTTAAAGTACGCCAATTTAAAATCATAAAATTTCATATCCCACTTATTTTAATATTAACATTTTTTTAAACAGTATTTAGATAGGAGATGCGTAACTAGAGAAGAATGTATTAACTCGCCAAAACACATAGAATACACCACCAGCAAACAAGAATACGAATTTAAAACCTTTAATAACACCACATGTGTCTATAAATGTCCACCTAAATACACCGACGATACGGACAAGAAAGCGTGTGTTTCTTGCGACGCTAGATGCCGGAAAGTTTGTCCAGGCATCAGTGTTAATAACATTGAAACAGCAGAATCACTAAAAGAATGCACTCATATTACTGGATCTCTAGAAATTGAAGTTAGTGGAAGTAAGTTAAACAAGTTAAGCAAACTTGAAGTTATTTTTTAACACTTTTTACCTTATAGAAAATATCGTACCTGCATTAAACGCAAATTTAAATATGATTGAAGAAATTGGCGGTTATTTAAAAGTAGTCCGATCGTATCCATTAATATCATTAAATTTCCTCAAAAGTCTTAAAGTGATTCGCGGAAAGACCTTTGAAAATGGAAAGTATTCGTTTGTTGTCTTGGACAATCAGAATTTACAGGAACTCTGGGATTGGACTAATCGAACGTTGACGATTGAACAAGGAAAATTGTTCTTTCACTTTAATCCAAAATTGTGTTATAAAAATATTAAAGAACTTGGTGAGAAAGTTAACATTACTAAATTCGACGACTGGGATGTGGCAGAAAATTCCAATGGCGACAAAACTGCTTGTACAATAAAAAAATTAATTATAAACATTCGGTCAAAATCTAGTACGTCAGTTCAACTCTTTTGGGTACCATTTAATATTACAGACTCAAGAAAATTACTGTCTTATCAAATCTATCATATTGAAGCACCCGCACAAAATTTTTCTATATATGATAGTCGCGACGCTTGCGGTGGAGATGGGTAATTATTAAAAAAAATAAAAAACCTTCCAGACATAATCAATTTTGTTTTAGATGGGCAATACAAGATGTTCCAATTCCTTACGACCACCATAATGTATCAAAAATCGAGGCAACGTTAAAAGATTTAAAACCATACACGCAGTATGCGTTATACGTAAAAACTTACACAATAGCACAAGAACAAAGTGGAGCGCGGAGTGACATTTGGTATTTTAGGACGAACCCGGGCCGTAAGAAATAAAAAAAAAATTAATACTAAATAAATAATAATTTTTTATTTCAGAACCCTCATCACCGACCTTCTTAAATTTACGGGCCAATAGTAGTAGTACTATCGAAGCCACTTGGTTGCCGCCAAAAAATCCAAATGGAAATTTAACTCATTATAGAGTGATCGTAACTTTGAAAGAAACCCAAGAAATACGAGAATACGGTAATTCGTGCTCTTTAAAGTTTTCTCAGTCAACACCTAAAACGGTGGACCCTGCAAAACCAACGGATCCGCCTCCTTCAAAAAATGATACGTGTGAGTGTACTAGTGATATGCTTCGGGAATCGAATCTACTCGTTAATAAGGAGGCGGAAACGGAATCTCAAATTAATTTTGAAAATGAGTTACAAAATCGGGTTTATATAAAAAGAGTTACTCCGCCAACGCCTTCAGTTACTCTAAGCAGAAGAAAAAGACAAATGTTTCCATCGCATAGTACTAACGTTTCTGATTCACATGGTAAGTTAAAATAAATAATTAAGCGTGGTTTGTTGAAACAGTATTAATCTCACATCTCAAGTTGAAAGCACTAACTTGTATATGTAGACTTCTAAACGACTTTACTTTTGTGTTAATGCATATTGATGTATCTATGATAATTGAGAATATCAATAAGAGAAATGTCAACTTGGGTTGGGTTGTATTGGTAAATTACAGTTTATATTAATAACACCGATTTCGATGGTAGCGCACGGGATTCCTAACATATTAGAAAAAAAATTTTAGAAGAAAATTGTAGCAAATTTGATCCTTAACAATTTTGCTCTTTCTCACTTTTGCTCTCAGATGCATAAATATCGAGAAAAGTGCGAAATTGTGAAATCGCGGTTTTACAACTTGTTGATGGTTGTTACAAGTTTTATTCAACACAATATTACTTTAGACTTGTTAATATTTTAATATCCAATCTTTTTTAACTGACATAAATTACCTCCAGATTGCGCTTAATGCTGCATAATTGCCTTAACTATGTTATATTATTTATTGATGACACAATTGTCAACACTAAAAATAGCAAGTATAGGAGGAACTGTAATATTCTAAAAACACTAAGGATAAATGCACTGTTCATGCATATGTATGAATATTTCACTGTGTAATACTTTCAATTATGAATGCAGTAGCAAAAATTCCACAAGTGGTTTTGCAATGTCTTTTCATGGTGGCTAATTTGCTGTTTATTGTCAGGCACGCGAGCATCAACTATCAACAAATTTATGTTTTGCTCAACTACATCACAGCGCAGCTTATGAGTTAGATCTGTTTTATCTTGCACCACTTATTTTAATAACAGCTATTCTAAGTTATTCTAAATATCCGAAAAAGTCACTCTGAAAACTCAATCTCACCAGTTTTCATATTTTCCACCAAATTTACCGATTAATACGTACTTTACAATTCTATCCCGTAAGATGCTCAAAAACACATTAACATATTTATAATTGATACTGCTGTGAAACCAGTTTAACAATTGCAACCAATTAACTGCAATTTCCCTACATCAATTTTATTGCTCTTGAATCGTTTTGACATTAGATGACATTAGCTTAGCGACTTGGAGAAGAAAGAAATCGCTTTTTAAAGTTCTTGAATCCAACAAGTGATTTTAAAGTAAGATATATTAACATCTTTCTAGGTTTGGTGAAGTTGAAATAGTGAAGTTGACTTTTTAGTTTTGTGAATCAAATCAATTATTTCAAATTTATCTCATTAAGAAAATAGGTGTTTTTAACATAAACTGTAATTGAGTTTAGACATTAATATTAACGCAAACATTATTATGTTTTTTTTTGTATTTAGTAGGTAATAAAACTTACGTTGCCACATATATTGTTACTGATACTAAGTTTTATGTAACAAATTTACAACATCATACGAACTATGAGATATCAGTACAAGCGTGTAGGAAAACGGAACCAGATAAAGGCGATTTTCAACCAAATTGCAGTGATAGTACTGTAAAAGAAATTCGAACGGACAGCAAACGTAATTATTTTTGGACCACTCTATTTATATATTTATTATATATTTTATTCTTTTTCTAGCCGATGCCGATAATATTGCCTCAAACATAACAGTAGTTTCAGTTACGGAAAATTCCATAACAATATCATGGAAACCGCCGGTAAATCCAAATGGTCGTATCCGACATTATTTTGTAGATATCTGGAAATCCGGAACTGCGCTTCCTGAACGCTGCATTGATAGCCAAGATTTTAAAAATAGCAGCTATAAGTATACTCTTGAACCACTAACTCCTGGGAATTATACAATACGAGTCCAAGCAATGTCTGATGCTGATACTGCTGGTTCTTATTCATTACCCGTTTCCGCTTATATCCACGAACCATCCGGTTCTTGGAATATATTCGGTGGAGTTACTGCATTTTGTTTTATCGTAAGAAATATTTTATTCACATCAAATCCTTTATTGAACGTTAATAGTATTAATGTATTTGGGAACTATTAACGCTAATATGCATATATAAATTTATATATAAAATTAATAATTTAGGTTATGGGTATTATCATATACCTACTAATTAAAAAACGTCAACGAGATGAAAGCCCTAGGATGAATCCGTCAATAAATCCAGAATACATGTATGTACCGGACGATTGGGAAATTCCACGAAAAAAAATTGAGTTACACAAAGAGTTGGGTCAAGGAAGTTTTGGCATGGTTTATGAAGGAATTGTACGTGATATTAAAGGAAAAGCAACAATTCGTTGCGCTATTAAAACCGTTAACGAACACGCAACAAACGCGTAAGTACAAAAAATAATCATATTTAATAAATTAAAATTAAAAAAAAATATTATAGAGAAAGATTAAATTTCTTAAAAGAAGCATCAGTAATGAAAGCGTTTGATACAGCGCACGTAATAAAATTGCTAGGAGTTGTATCTCAAGGTCAACCAACATTAGTTGTAATGGAACTAATGGCAAATGGCGATTTAAAATCGTATTTAAGGTTGCATAGACCAGATACGGATGGTTATACTCATGGTATTATTGGGCAACCGCCCTCCTTAAGAAGGATATTACAAATGGCCATAGAAATTGCTGATGGTATGGCTTATTTATCGGCGAAAAAATTTGTTCATCGTGATTTGGCTGCGAGAAATTGTATGGTGGCGGAAGATTTAACAGTTAAAATTGGTGATTTTGGTATGACTCGGGATATTTATGAAACGGATTATTATCGAAAAGGAACAAAGGGATTGTTACCAGTTAGATGGATGGCACCAGAAAGTCTTAAAGATGGAGTTTTTTCAAGTAGTAGTGATATTTGGAGTTATGGTGTGGTATTGTGGGAGATGGCTACTTTGGCATCACAACCTTACCAAGGATTATCAAATGATCAAGTCCTAAGGTATGTTATTGACAGCGGTATTATGGAAAGACCTGAAAATTGTCCGGATAAACTCTATCATTTGATGCGACAATGTTGGAAGTACAAATATGCGGAAAGACCAAGTTTCCTCGATTTAGTCTCGATGTTATTGGAAGATTCGAGTCCACAATTTAGTAGGGTGTCGTTTTATCATAGCGCAGCTGGTATGGAAGCTCGATCAACCAGAAACAATCAACTGATCATTCAAGACGACGTTATGATGCCGTTAAGACTGACCAAAGAACTAGAGGAAATTTATCCATTAAATAGTTGCGTTGATGATTCGGAAGTTGAAGATGACTTGGTTGGCAGCCCGCATATCGAATTCTCTAGTTATCCAAAAGTGCAAAAGGACACCAGTACAGGTACTGCAAACGGATATGTTGGAACGAACCCATCGAATGGTACCAGAGCATAAGCAAAAGAATAAAAAAAACAATGGGAAATTCTCGAAATAGTAGTTCTACCAAAGATAGTGATAAAAGAATAAAAAAAATAAACTAAAAAAGTGTATCGATATGAAATAATGCAGAACCGATCGTATACTCTACTTACCATTCATTCGAATTGTATTCCATTTTATTTTTTTAAAACGGAATTAAAAAAATAGTTCATCTTGCCCAAGTACCGAACGACGTGCGAGTTTTAGCCATTGCCTTATGTAAAATTTATTAATTGATTGCGTGCCCTAAGCGCGCTGCACACCCCTCCCCCTCAGACCTATGGTCATCCTCTATACGTTTTGGGTTCCGTCGCCCGCAATCTCTACAACATAAGCCTAAGTTCCTGATATGACCATAATTTAAATCCGATATTTTATAAATATTAAAAAAAATCAAGCATAGAAATGGTCGACAAAAAACGTACTGTTAATTAATTTTTATCATACCTACTACTGTTATTTATATGTTTAATTCGTTATATTTTGTACCATTGAGAAAATTGTACATTCTGAACAATTTACTTTTATATAAAATTATTGTAGGATATGATATAAATCTGTATTATTTTTTTTATTACCTGTTTTTTTCCCAATTCAAGTTCTTTACTCTTGCATATACACATACTACTTATTAATTATAGAAGACGAGTACTAAAAATCATTGTAACCAAATTAACAGGAATTAAAAGATTATTTTTGGGGTATTAAAATTAGCTTAATTTTGCTTTAAAATGCTTGTTATTTCATTATAACATCTTAATTACTTCTTGAGATAAGGGCTTTTAAATTACTATTATAAATATAAGTTACTATTATATAATTCGATATAGTTTATTAAACTAATTAAACAACTTTAAATTATAGGCCTATTTTCGATAATGGACAAACATTGCTTGACCCAGCTTCCGTAATGAGCTCGTTAAAATCTCCATTATCGAATTTTTCAGCATTCTCGATTAAAACTTTTTCGACATCGATCATATTGAGTTGTTCTTGCACCCTGGTTTTAATTGGGCCTTCTAAAGCGTCCATGATTTGATATCGTAATATATTTGGTAAAATGTTTACTCCGAATTCAATGAGGTAATCAAACGTTCCCGCTCCATCGAATCGTACCTGAATATTTCCAAGCTCAATTTCTAAATCTTTTAATTCCGGTTTGTTTCTTGTGTCCATTGATTGTTTCATCCCTAATTCAATCTAAAAGAAATTTTTGAATTAATTTAATTTTTTGGAAAGGGAAATTTATTACTTTAATATAATCTATGGTGAACACAATTGTTCCTGTTCTTCCAAGAATTCCTCCAATAAATCCCACATCCCAGTGACTAGAACCTTGAACTTTTTGGGTTCCTATTTGAAAATTAACATAAATGGTATTATTTTGCATTTGAACATTGATGTTTCCAACTCTGTGAATGGACGTGATTCCTGTTATCCACGTTTCCATCATTTGTACGGCCATCAAACCAATTGTTTGATTGTAATTATTAACTTTAAAAGGATCACACCCGCGATCTCTCAACGCGCGCCGTATTTCAGCAATAACTTGATCAATAGGAGATATTGAATTTGGAAATTTAATCGGCATATTTTTAGTTTGTTTATTCACTTCCGCTCTAACAACCGTTTGAAATTGAGAAGAAATGTGAGGTTTTGCTGATTCAAAAATAGCATGCGGCATGCTGTTTACAACTTGTTGAACGAACCCAAAGAAAATTCCGGTGTTGTGAAATTTTATGTCGACTCCTTTAAATCCAAAATCCATGGTAATTTCTTGTGCCTCCAATACTCCTTCCTCATTTACTTCTAATCGCGCACCAGCGGTTGCTTTAACCCCCGTTGCTTGGATTGTAAACGGTCCATTACTACTGCTAAATAAACTTGTCATGGAGTAACTCCCGTACATATTCACTAAATCAACACTTATAGCTAAATTAGCTCGCATTTTCGACACATCTATAATAACCTTATCGACTTTAAATTTTGATAAACCATGAATTTTAATTTGTTTTAAAAGAAGCTTTTCAACTGATGGTAAAGATGTTACCATTTCATCAACAGTCAATGGATCAGGAATTTCTTGAATTGGCAGTCCAACTGGATCTTTTTGTTTGTAGTGTTCAACAATGTTGCGGACATATTGAGAAATTTTTATTTGTCCTAATTGTGTTATGTTTAAGTCGTCTGTTAAAAATAAATTATTTAATAAAAACAATTTATAACATAAATTACTTACTGGGTACAACTTGTAATATAAAACTAAATAATAATAACGTGCGTATTATAAAAAACATGGCGTAAATATCTTGTCGTTACTGCTGAACTAACTATGGGCTACTGAATTAAGAAAAGGAGTCAAAGGTCATTATGGTTATCAGCTACTTGCTCGCGCAACTTTCTACGTCCGAACAATTAACTAAGTATTACGTTAAAATTAAATTAATAAAAATAAAATCTATTTTAATTTCTTTTCAATTACAAATTATACATTTATGGCAGTATGAATTATTACACATAACAATTAAAAAAAAACGAAATAATCGTTGTTAGTCCTTTGCATTATTTATAAGTTTATTTGCTTATAGTTCAAAGAAAAAACCGGAAACCGTTAATTAGTTTAGTAGCTTTTAAAAGAATTCCAGTTGGTTCTTTTCGCACTGCAAATATATTTTAGATCGTCGTTGTTAAGCCTTGTGTGGCGTGCTCGTGACCTTGAAGACACCTCTGCTTGTTCCATCAACCTGAAATCCTACACCGCCCGTCTTCCTTTCAATCATTAGACGGTTTATCATCAAGCCAAGGTCGAAATATCGGTAGTGTTGACGGATAATGTGTACCATTTTTTTGGATACCTTCTTCGTCCGTTTCTCTTAATGGATATGTTGCCATCACGATTGGTAGTTGAAGTTTGACTTCTTTTTCAAAACTTTTTGGTTCTATTATAAACTAGAAATAAAAATTTAAACAACAATATTTAAATTCAAACATTTTTAATAACTTACATAGACGTCGTATTGTATTTTGATTAAATGACATCCCCTGAGATTAGTTGGTGGTAATGGAGGAACGTAAAGTTGTTCGTTGGTCCATTCGTCTCTTTCGCCAGGGCGTATTTTCCCTCGAGTTAAAGAAGCTAATTCTCTTCTTTCCGACTGCACCACTTTTCCTCTTGCCATGTAAGTTATCGTTTCTGTTAAAGCAGCGCGTGTACTTTTAACAGTTACTCTACTTCGATTGTGAACGCTGGCAGAAACACCTATGCTTTCCCCGGGAACGTATCCTCCTCTATCTAGAGTTACTCTGCACACTACCGGGCCAGATCCTACGCATGTTACTCCAAATTTGTGTTCAACATCGCATTGAAATGGTTGCTAATTAGAAAAATGTTAAAAAAAGATTTTTTTAATTAAAAATGTAGTTACCGATAAAGTTGATGGTTCCAAATTTAAATCGATAGGACTCATAACAATAAAAACTTGTTGATTTTTATGCGTAAGCCCGTTAGGTTCTCTTAAAGCTGTTTTACAATAATATTGTATCCATCCATGTTTTCCAAGAAACGTTGACGGCAATCCTAATGGTAACCCTAATTTAAACGGAAAACTGTGTATTCCCGGTGAAAGTACTGAAGGTCCTTGCCCAGGTTCTCCAAGAAGTCTCATTCGAAAATCTATGTAATTTTCTCGATCGTAAACTCTTTCTTGGCGGGCAGTTCGTACTCTCACGACGCCTTCCCCGACCACGTGGAAGTGGAGACCTATAAATATCGAGGGTAGATTTAGAGTTTCCACCCAATAGATGGCGTTAAAGTTGGAAAACTTGTACTAAAGTCTACGGAATAGTTTCGACGTCGATTTGTCTCTCGCGGGAAGTGAATTAATAACGCGTCCGAAGGGCTATAATTCCATTAAACGGTTCGACGGGCGCCGCAGCGCGTGAAAAAATTAATTAATGAGCATAAATATTTAAGAGTGCTGTTTGACTTGCCCGAGTTTGTTTTGCACCGTCAAATATTTAAATTCGACTTCAAACCCCAGCTCACAGCGACTTACTTTTGACGCGTGCTCGTTTAATAAATAAACAGACCGCCCGATTCCTATTTGCTATTTAGAGTCAGCTGGCACTCCAGTTATGAATTCTTGCTCGACAACGCAAACTTTTTGTTAAGATTGCAACCAGCAGATTAGTTCATAAAATAAACTTAATCATCTCTTAATAAGAATCTAAAGAAACAAAAGAAAAACAAATATTTCCCTTCTAATGATGTAATTAGTAAGTAAATTGAAATCTTAGTCATGGTTTTTTGTACGTTTGTTTTTAGTTAAGTTATAAGCGTCTTAGTCATATGGCTTCACAAAAGAATGCTGATTATTTTTAAATAAATATATTTTAGTGCTCCTACGACACTGAATATCTAGGTAGAGGTTGCACAAACCTTGAGAGCCTACACGAAAAGAAAAAAAGAATAATGTCGCGGTCGTAAATGGCTGAAAAAATGGGAACGATTTGTAAAACATAATTATATAAATATACTGGATATGGATATAATGGTGATCGGCGAAAAGTGAAATTGTTTGTTGATGCAATTGCGTTTGGCTATATATAGCGATGGCGGCTGGTTTTGTATCTCGATGTTTAGTTTTTGAGTCGAGAAGGAGGTGGAGGAGCAGGACGAGGGGGGACGTGGGGTTTATTAAAATTTCGCCTGCCTTTGTAACTAAATAAAAGTTTGGTTGGTGCGCTGGATGAATAAGAAATGAGTTCCGGTAATGAGATTTCTGTTTTGGGCATAGTGCAAATGATAATAATGCAGGGGGCTGGTTCATCAATTATTCTTACCAAGTGCGGGCGTGTCATCCTGTAGTTCGATTAGTACACGTCCGGATAGGAACTGTCCCGGGAAATACAAAAGGGATGTATTGTCGAACAGTATTAAAAACTTGAGCAGCTTGCGCGGCATCGCGAACGGAGAAACTGCGGGGAACCTTCGGCGACGCGGATTCGGTTACTGGCGCTCGGTTACCATATTCTGTTGCCGTTGTAAATCGTTCGTCGTTCGACTACTTTCCCTCTTCGAGACGCCTATGGGTCCTTAACATCGCCAATCCCCCCTCGGTTCCCCGACTATACCTGACATACCTGTGCCGTATCTCTCTTTTCTTCGCTTCTTCGATGATGGCTACCAAACGCCCACTCTTGTTCACCTCTTACAACAACCTTCGTGCATATTCTACACCTTATTATGTAACATCTACACGTACGACTATTGACAGATTTAGTCGTTCGTTGTGTCTTTTCATCTGTTGTTCACACTTAACACACCTGTGCTTTAGCAACTCCAGGTAGAATGAGGTGTAATCGTGGCTAGGCAACTTTATTTACATCAATAGAGCATCGAGGAATCTCTTAAAGCCCAATTGTACATTAATAATACATTTAAAAGAACTTTTAAACTAATAAGTTGAATAAAGATGGAACGGTGGTTGAAACATGTTCTTCTTATAATGTAAGCGAAAAAAATTAAATAAATTTTTGAGTAACAATTAGCATAACATAAAAGTGATTTTTTAAAAAGAAGAGAACTTTTTGCGATGTCAGCGAAGGTGGGTTATGAAGGATATGACGTTCAGAGACGCTCTCCCTTTCGTAGCAGAATTTAATGAAAGCCCTTTCCCTGTGTTATGTAAGCCGCGTGCAACTCTGTCAAACGGAATGCTAAAATCCGGAGGTAACATATCACATTCGCCGTTAAATGACGGGACCACGGCATCCTCCGGGTCCGACGGCGGGATCGGTCCGGAACGGGCCAGGAAGGCATAGGGATGTTAAGGGGATGGCGTAGGGATCGCGCCTCTGCCCCGGCATTACTATTCCCGGCACGGCGTCATCAGAATCGGGCACACGAACATTCTTGTCTTTCTACGCCATTTTTTACCCTTAGAAATAACACGATTTATTGCTGTCTCCCGAATAAATCGTCTCCCGCACGCGGCAGGGTGGATTTTTGAAATCCACTTCAAATAGAAAACGGCTACCGAGTTCGCGAGATTTCTTATAAAAACAATAGTCCTCCTTAATCTATCACTTTACCGGCAAACCGATGTAGCCAGAAACTAGACATTTCCGAACGGGTCAAAATCATTATTTGTAATGAAAGAAAAGTAGTGCTAAGGACTCAAAAGGCAGGTAAGCTGATCAAAGCAGACGTTCGTTACGGAAAATGGGAATTTAGACCCACGTGGTTTTTTGTTCCCCGTTTAAGTTTGTTAGCACACAGGCGGCCCGAAATTCTTGCGTCGTTTCATTATAATATTTGTTACAGGGAAATCCGTCCCTTAAGAGGATATTAAATTTTCAAAATAAGCTCGCTACTTAGTTAAAACTTCTACGGGCCCTGTCGTGACCCAACGCGACCTGTCTTCCTCTTCGACGGTATGATAAACGTTCCATCGATTCGATTAATAAAACACCACCCCGTTGTATTACTACACCTAATTTAGCCGTTTGCGACTCGGCTTTAACCACCGGCTAAACTTTCGAGTCCGCCACGTTCGCGCTGCAAATCTGCATTAAAAAGCTGCCTCCCGGCATTATCTTTGCCATTTTTTGCGCCACCATAATCTCGTACGCTTTTAAACTCGTGGTTATAAATTGTTTCCTCCCGAAACAATGCCGTATCGCATCAAGAAACGCGGCTTACCATTATAGATTACGAGCATTTTTTTCCCCATGGAACCGCTCGTCGTTTAAGCGATCGTTTAATGTAGTTGTTCAGGTTCAGCGAAAAAAATTAACTTCTTTATAAATACGTTTCATTTTTTTATGGAGTACTGTAATGAAATCTTTAGAATGCCGTGAACTATTTAAAAATCCACAAAATAACTTTTTTTTTTTCGATATTTTCATTACATTGCCTTCCTTAAATATTATAATATAGAGCTCGATAAGATGTTGTGGGATTTAAATTCCCCTTGGTCGTCCCGTATCGTAATGGTCTCTTAAACTATCCTAAGAGGGCAGTAATAGGAGGTAGTTTCGTAAAATAATTAGCAATAAACTATGAAGTCCAAGACAACACCTAACACAGTATCTAGCAAATTGTTTCGGTTGTTATTTCTTGGTAGGTAGTAATATTAATATTACTACCTACCAACTTATTATAAACATCTTATTATAAACATCTCAAATCCACCAAACATAAAACAGATTCCTGTAATATTAAACTCCTTAAAAACATCAAAAAATCCAAAGAATTAGATTTATTGGAAGAATTCTACATTCACACCAATAAATCAGAACTAATGCTTAACGATTTAACTAACTTCAACAATAATAGATTTTTCCTAAATTTCATTTAACCCCCACTCCCACCCCCATTTCTTTACACCTTGTTGAAAGTCACCTTACTCCATACAGTCGGACTTTTGCGCTTCACGGAAAAGTACCGTTTCACTTTTTTAATTAATTTTTTTCATAATTTCTTCATAATTTTTGTTATTTTTTCATTTAACATTTCTTCTTTTTGTTTTATTAATTTGTTTGTTTCTTTTTACGATGATCCTTGGTAAGATGTTTCAAGATTTACTTTTACATGAAATTTAACCTCCCTTTTTTTACAGTTTAAAACTCATAACCTCACTTTTCAACGTGTTTTCAAATTTTCATTCTACAAACTTTAATGTAAACAACGTTTCTGTACCGATTCGAGAAAATGTATTGCTTAAAATGTACACAACCCTTTTGTGACTGTTTTTGTAAACCAATTACTGAATCAACATTAACTCTCCGTCTCAACATTTAATCTCTCTTTTGACGGTAAATATACCTTGCGTTCTTTTCTTAAATGTACACCTCATACAATAGAATTTTATAATTTTTTAGTCGTGTCTAAGAAGAAGACCATATTGGTCGAAACAATTGTCGCACCGAAATAAATAAACAATCATCATCGTAAAACTCACCTTTTATTTCATTATCCACACTACGATGAAACTGGAATCCCAGATCGCTAAATATTAATGTTGTTCATTAATATTATTCCAAACATCTTGTCATCAGTTGTATTCCAGGTCTTTGTCAACATCGTACTTGATCCCTAACTAGGTTTAATCTTATCGTCTAAGACATCACATGCCTCAGTATGTGATCTAACTTTTTGTTACACTCAAACCCTGACATATTTCGGCCCCATATTTTCTTTAATCATCTCATACATTGTCCTGGATAATGTCCCGAACGTTTATCAATATCGGTGTACTAATATAGGTGGTGAAAGCAGGTTACTTTATACTGGGTAAATATTATTAATAATTAATTAAAGCTCGAACTGATGGATTTAATCAAGGACTTTGTGAGACTATTTCTAAAGGATCGAAACTTATAATTGTCAATGTTGGAAACGAAAGCCGTTTTGAATTATGAAAATAATCGAATAAGTTTAATATAAAGTTATTTAAATTGATGATAGTGTAGTTGGTAAAAAGAATTAGAGTAAAAATTGTAATATCACATGGTAAAAATAACTCTAATGTACACTATATTTAATATTAATATAGAGTTCATATATTATTCACTTAATAGAGTAGTTTTTACAGTTCTCTAAAGGAGAGTTCTTTTTTACTTATGTTAGTGAAGTTATGTAATATATAAAACATTAAATTTTACACTAGACGTGTACTTTTCCTTCGGGTACTTCGTAGGCACCGCACTATTTTGCTCGGGATTACTCGTCGGTACCACGTGATCAACATGTGGTGTGATACAGCTAAAATTTAACGGTCATCTACTAAACGAGTCGGAACTCGATAGCGTGTCGAGACCTGATTTACGCGATATAGAAAGAAAGAACGATTATTTTTATTTTAATTATGTTTGCCAAAATAAAACATTCATGATGTGAAATTAGTGGAACTTCCGGAAGATTTTACATACAAGTTCCTTGTGAAGATTGGTAAAAATGTGCAACTTGATGCAACTATACAAATAGGAAACTTATAGAAGACTCATTAGATGCAGTTTTAATGGTGACTCGGTGGAAACTTTAAAATGAATTAAGTATTATATGTTATATGTATATAAATAGAATTTAATTTTTTTAAATTTAAGTTATAACAATATATTACAAGTAAAAATAAAGTTACGACAACATCTAGTTAGATTACATATAATACACTGTTATAGAGTAACGATTTTACACTATTTAATAAACACCATCTTCTCACTATTTAGTGTAAATTTTTAATCTATACTGTAAATAAATTGGACCGATCTGAACCATGTTTTAGAGTTGATTTTTACTCTATATTTTTTCCTGTGTAGTGTAAGAAGGTGGTGGTTTAGATCTAACGGAAAAGAGGTAAATAGGTAAAGGGTTAGCGGAAGCGAAGCAGAATGGTCGTGAGGCAATAATCGGGGATTGCGTTTATCGTTTCGGAACGGTCCCGGAAGAGGGTTGAAGTTAGATGTGCAGTTATGGTGGAGGATTCAATTGGGATTCCGGGTGAGTGACCGACGGGAAGACGTAGATGGCGAAGAAAAATGGGAGTTTAAAAAAAAAGCTCTGCGGGTAATTGTGGGGTTAAACGGCAAACACGCGGAAAGACGAAGATAGCCGGAGGGCTATGGTGACCGCGGCAACGACCGACAGAGAGCGGCACGTCTCAGAGGCCCATTCCAGATGCCGGAACACGAATATGTGCCGATGCCAGTGTATACAGTCCGTAATGGAAATCGTGACTTACCGCAACACCAGTAGCAACAACGGCGTTACGTCGGCGTCGGCGGCAACAGCAGCGACGATGGTGGCGTTGGTGTCGGCAGCTTTGGCACTGTTGGTAGCAGCGTTGGCAGCGTCGGAGCAAACCCGGACACTAGGCGAATCGAGCCCTCCGCCTACGACAACCCCTCTATACAATTAAGCTATCTGTTCGAAGCGTATCTATGTCATCTCGCTATCTCTACGCCAAATTGCGGGTTACCTGTTTGTGATCGAGTTAACCAACGACGGTTACGGTTTGCGGAGCGCCGTAGTTAACTTTCGAAATGTTAATCTAGGAACAGGCAGGACGAAGAACTCGCCGGCGACCTTTAAATGTCGCTGTGTTAGGCCATAGGTCCCCGACAGTGAAGTCCTCCTCAATAGCGGCGTGATTTTTCCGAGTATGAAAGAGACGACGTCAACAAAGTGCCGTACGTGGGGGAGCGAAACTACTCGTTGAATGCGCGCCCGAGAGAGGGGCCGCTTAATAACCCACCGAGGAGAGTATATTACGCTTAAGCCATTCATCAGGAGGTGTTAAGGACGTTTATCGTTGTTTCTGTTTCATCTTACGTTCATTACCGAGTCCGCGGTATATTAAGCATCTCCAACCGCCGCATTGTTTCCCAGTTTCACTTACTCCGGAGCCGCTGCCGCCTCCGACACCGACACCGCCGCACCCCATCCCAGCCCCCCGATTACAACTGTTGCCGGTTCACCAATTATTAATTAGTTCACGCTGCTCTACTTTCTTCCGGACGCCCTCGCCATCTACCGTTACGTCGCAATTATCTCCAACATGTGACGATGTTACAAATTAGACGAACGTGACCTCGCACGGGGCTTAGTTCTAAGACCTTCCCATCCTTCGTTCCCCACGCAAAATTTCGCCGCGGGTATCTATCTTCGATGTTTAATCCTCCGGATACCAACCGACTGGAAGTAACGTCACCTCCACCGCTAAGAGACAACGGATGATAACCATAATTAAGCGCTATATTCTAAACCGCAAAAAAACCTTCTCATTTTCTACGCTCCATCATAAACCACTTTACAAAATACACCGTCTTGAATATTAAGCATAATTTCTAGAGGAACAAAAAGTAAAATTCAAAATTAAGTTTATATTCTCAAAAAACTATAATTAGAAAAAATAAGTTGTCACTTGTGTAGGAATTACGCAAGACTGCTCTTGAGGTGGTAATATTAGGGATGCAAACATAAGATCGTATTAACAGCGACTTATAACTTAAAGCAAACGAAATATACCGTCTTGAATTCTAAGTACATTTCTCAGAACTAAAGTAGACTTAAAATTTAAAAAAAAAATAATAACTCTCTTAGTTTTTGTAATAGGTGATATAAGCGTATAAAAGTGGATTGCACTCGAGGAAAATACAAATGGTAGAGATGAGTTGTCACTTGTGTGGGGATCACGAAAGAGGGTTCTGGTGGTGGGGATATTAGGAGTGCGGGCATGGGGAGATCCTATGTGTAATGAAACTGTAACCGCGACTTATAACTTTGTTTTCCATGTGGCCGGATTCTGTGATCAGGGCTGTAGAGAACTGTTACGGCGCGCTCCGTGCTCATGATGAAATTGCATTCCTGTGCAGATTTCCGTGAGGGCGCTCGTCCCCTAGGCCCGCTATACTACAAGAGCAACAGTTACTTCTCTACTCCTCGGCGTATTTGTTTCAACACGGCCGAGGGAGGCGTGGTATCCAATATGCCTCTCCCACAGGCTCTGGCTGCGGCTCTGGTCGTGGATCTGGTTCCAGAGTCCGCGTTCGGAGCGCAGAAATTCAGTTCCGGCGCGGTCGCACTGTCGAACGGAGCTTTTTAGTCTCGGCACGAAAGCTACCGTGTCGGCAACTCGACAACTCAACACAACTTCCGAAGAGCGCGAAAGTTTATATTCAGCCGTACGGCCCCGTTTTTAGGTGCGTAAAAAATCTTTGTACGAAATTTGAAAAATTTTCGCCGATTATTTACGACGTGCTGTGAGTGAGCCGAGATCGTACTGACGCGGCCAATGGGTAATTAAGAGATTGCAATTTGCGTGCGGGAGGTTTTAGTAATATTGCGAAAAGGTAACCGATTTGCGATATTACTAAAAAGAGAACAGAACAATCGCCGTGATATATTGTGGTGTGAGTGGCCACGGCAAATTTTAATTATCTAATGTGTAAACCGAGAAACTCCGCGCCCCGTAAACGGCTCTCTGTTCTGCCTCTTCACCAATTTTCATTTGTCGCCGACACTCGATAAGGTTTCTTTTTTATCTTATTTTATTTTTCACTATTATACCTTTTTTTAAACGATCCAGTTCTCCGCGCCAGCGCATCTCCAACCGAGGCATGCGCCCGGTACGAATTTCAATTTTACCGCCGTTAACGGGAACATAACACGTTCCAACTCGACAAATTCCTTGCTAATTTTGTTTGTAAAGAATCTTTTTTTAAGAAAGAGAATGTAATAAAATTCGATTCACCCAAGGAACTTAAAATGTTCCAAAGAACCCACGATATTAAAACGATTGTGTACGATGACAAACGATATTTTAATTATACATTCCGGAACTTGAGAATTTCGGTAAAAATTTGCTCGGCCGCTATCGGTAATTGCCCGTGTAGGCGTAAATCAACATTTTTATTGTCGCAGCTTTTATTAAAAGCCATTATTTTCTAGTGGCAATGCGCGGGGCTCCACCCGGTGATGTGCGCGCTGTCTGTAGACCGACAGCGCTTGCATAGGGGCTTCCCCATAAATCTCATTTAAATAACACCGAATTAATAAGAATTTTAGCCTAAAAATTACCACCACGCTAATAGAATCTCCTTCCGTCCCACTTTCTCCCCAATTTATTTTCTTGTAATATTCTAAATGCTAAATTATTAACGTCTTGCGTCTTCATTATTTTCATAAATTTTAATACGAAACCCCACGATAGCATCAACAGTGAAAACAACTCCCTCTTTTACTTTCCCCTTTCTTCTTTTATCTTTCAAAACTCTTTTTGAAATATATATATATTTGTAATATATATTTTTTTAAATCAAAGTTCGTATTAATAAAACATTTCAATCAAATTCAGCATTCTTTAGAGCATGTATTCTTGTAGTAAATTCCAGGAACCGTTGGGAATTTTAGATATTTTGTAGACATTTGTATTATTGCTTCTGTATGGTTGTTTGTAAACACAAATTAACAGAATAGAACGATTCTTGTTAAAATATAAAAACCAGCGCCTCGCCAGCAAACGACCTCGGCGGTTTGAGAGTATATCTTCTTATAAGAGACTTTGTATCTTTACCTACAGTGTGTTAATTAATTATCGTACCCGACGTCATCATTGCAAGTATGCAACCAATAACGCGATTTGCGTATTGCAAAACGATTACTGTGATATTGGTTGCATACTTGCAATGATGACGTCGTGTACGATAATTAATTAACACAGTGTAGATATATAAGGAACGATTTCGCCCCAAATCGCCGAGGTCGCTTACGGGCGAGGCGATACATCCTCTAATGTTGACGATTTTGTGTTAATATATTAAATATATTAAATATTCATATTCTGATAACAAGATAAGTTTGAAGCAAGTTCTAATTAAATATTTTCTACATTCATTATAGGGGATTATGTATTTTGAAAGAGTGATAAAAAATTAATTTTTATTATTTTTAATCTATATTTTTTTTTATAATTTTATATTATTTTAAGATTAAAATTTATTTTATTGTCGGTTTTTTTTTAAGTATGTAAAGCGATTAAATTGATATAAATGAGTCTATTGATATATAATTCGTTAAAAATATTTGTATATTTTGAGCAGGAAGCGTACAGATGTACGCTAATTGAGTGTAGGTAGGATTTTGTTTTAAAATGAATTAAATCGATATTTTTAACAAATATTTTCAACCCTATTCGAGTATAGAAATTCAAAACAAACTTTAATAAATTGTTTTTTTTAGGGTTTCACCTATTCATTAAATTACATTATTACTTTTTACGTTTATTCGGTCAGATATTCAAAATTCAGAGTTGATTTTTTTTCTCTAGTTCAAAACTACAATAGGGCTTTCGCGTGAAAGTGCAAGTTATTACAGAAATTAGTATTTCGCGCACGTATTGCATTACTAGTATCGCGAATAAATAACAATGTGCTTGCGGGATACGAAACAATTGCGTTTGACTCTAAATAATAACCTTTTTGTCATGTGTCATATGTATAATTCGAATAGTTTTTAAGTGAACGCAGTAGCTATTTTAACGGAAAAGATTTGTTGGGTTAACAATAAATTGAAAAGTTTTTTTTGGGTGGTAAAAAATGTGAAAACGAGAAGGGAAGTTGGGAGATAATAAAATTAACATCCCTTGTCGAATAAAACGTATTCCTTTATGCCGGCACGCCGTGTCTAACTCGTTAAATTGATTTCTTGTACGCTAGGTTTTGGTGGCAGGCCTGCAGGCCAAGCTGGACAGCCCTGCTATCCCCTTCCAAACCCTCCCCCCCAAAACATTAATTTCCCGTACATGTCTTCCCGTTCCGTTGCAAAGTGAATGAACACATGCTCACCCACAATTTCCATCTAATCTGACAGCAATCTTACTTAATTGTCGATAGATTGGTCTTGACTTGCCCAGATCGGATACCGATTCATCACATACCCATTTCCGCAACCGGCTGCCTGAAATTGTTAATTTCTAACTGGACGAGCGAAATAATTTACACTTGTTTCGACCTGGGGGCATATGGCAGACCCAAATTTCCTCCCAACTCTCCGTCACGGCACGCAACTTTATCTCCCATGCCTTGTGTGCTTGTGTTGACCAAACTTTCGTCAAAGTACTGAATTTTAAATATTTATGTACCTACACTTCTGAATTATTTATATTTACTTTTTACTAAATCTGCCATTTTCTTGATTATTATTCTATTATTTAGTTTGAACAAAATTTACAAAAACTTTAACCAAAAATTATTTGTTTTATTCTATTTACCGGATCAATTAATTAATTGTAATTGAGGTTGTGTGCAGCTTTGAACCTATTTTAATTACATAATTGTTCAATTACGATATTAAATCAATATTGTAATGTAGCTTTTCTTTTCAATTATTTAATCATCCCATTGTCTCTCATTTACTATTGTTGAAAACTATTTTTTATTCGTTTTATTTAACTCGCATTTTGAAGATACAAGATAATTCGAAAATATCCATATTATCGGATGCACAAAAATTCATCCACATTCTCGAAACTTCAAAATTCATTTAACTTATGATTCCTATCAAATCGCTGAACCGAAAATTTATCAATTTTAGTTGGATAATTCCAATAGATCGCACTATTTTTCATGTTTTCATATTAGAGACGTGTCTGCAGAGGAATCTGCAGAGGAAGAACCATAATAATAATAATATCTCTATAATGATATAATTCAAAAACTATTTTCGTTTTAATTAAAACGTATTATTGACTTCAAAACATGATACGTTAATTTTGGGATGAACTTGAGATGGTGTAATCTGTGACCTACTTATATTTCAACCTCTATAAATGAGACGTTAGTTTATAAACAACCAGTTGTGAGTTGCGAGATGTTTCAAAAACAAATTCGTTGTAAGTAAAAATAACTTTATTTTGCTACATTACAAGTAAAAAAAATAAAAAAGTAGAACTTGATTGTCATCAATCAGGGCATAATTTTCAACGCCGGCTATTTGTCGTTACGAAACGTTCCCCGGTTCGTTTTAGGGGTGCCCGAACGTTTGTTAATTAATTATTCTTGGCTTGTATGTAAATATTGACAGAGAGTGGCCGTCGGGCGGAGCGTCGCGGCGACTCGGCGGTCGTTTTTTATCGGAGCTCGACCGCGTCGTTGTAACCGTTCGCAGGGTCACACCTTCTTCGTGTTTGCCCGAAATTACAAATGGGGCGCCCTCGCTTAATTGCCTTGTCTTATTGGCGACCGAATCTTTTGATCTCAACCGAACGTTGGTTTACTACATGGTTCTCATCATACTACGTATTGAGAACATCATTTTTTAAATTAAAATTGTTATAATTAATAAAACACCAAAATTATAAGATCTTTCAATATAATGATAATAATAATAATAATATTTATTGATCACAATGTACTACACTTCAGAATAAACAACTAAAAATGGTTTCCAATAAACAACTGATCAATCTTATGGTGAGGTTCAATATATATTGTTCTTCCACCTCACCATAAAGTATATAAAGAGAAAAAAAAACAGTATAGCGTGTTAAATATAAAAAAAACTACAACGGTATAAAGCTATAAACAAAACAAGAGTTTTAACTACTAAGTTTTAACATATAATACTTAGGTGAATACTACCAAAGGCCACAACAAGTCGTTATCGATACCATGTCAGTACTCGAAAGGGTTCCCCAGAAATTAAGAACAAATTTAGGTAGAACAAAAAGATTACAAAAACATTCAAACGCAAAAGCAAGATCTGTGACTATTAAGAGATTTACAGGTATTGCGAACACTGCTGCCCAAACAGAAAATCAGCATAGCGCCTCCTGGCGGTGGCGGCAATGCGCAACCAGAAGGGAGCTCATTAATTACTTTGCATATCTGGTATGAGAAGCATTTTTTAAAACTCATAGTGTGGAATATTGGTGGAGATAGCCTTCCCTTAAACCTCACATTAACCGAGTGCACGTCACCCCGAAAAGACAACTTTTTTACAAGATACGCTTGTTTATGTAGAGTGAGTAATTTCTCCCCTGCATGTTCAACCACTTTAAAACCGGCAGCTTACAGCTGACGTGATCTCTGCATTTCAACCCAAAAATTAGTCTGATACAGGTGTTTTGTACCTTTTGAATTTTCCTCATGCATCGCCATAATTAAACATTGATAGTACTAAACTTTCGCATAGGCGCACTTTT